GCTTTGCAATCCGCGAAGGCGGCCGCACGGTCGGCGCTGGCGTGGTGACTAAAGTAATAGAGTGATTGGATAAGGCTTTTAGGGTTATCCGTTGTGTACGGGTAACCTTTTTTAGCCGGGATGGGGCAGTGGGTTTGTGATTGGGACTGCTGCGAGTACATCCCTGTACGCTTCGGCGCCGGCATCCCTGCCGGCGACGATCCCAATCACAAACCCACTGCCCCATCCCTACTGTTAACGTTGCTGCGAAGGTTAGCGCTCACTTGCCAGCCAGTGAACACATGCTAATGAGATCGAATCTGCGTTGTTGACGCTGCGAGGCGCGGGGTGACTACTGCCCTTGCGGATCGTCGCACGCATGGATGCGTGCGCCGAAGCTTACATGGATGTACCCGCAGCGGTCCGCAAGGGCAGTAGTCACTCCGCGCCGAATAACTACAAAAAAACCCATTTTCCAGCCGGATCAGGTGTTGCACCCCCATACCCACATCGGTATAGTTCGCGTCCCGCTTTCGGGGTGCCTTGGGATTTGAGAATCATCAATTGAATTTCAAACGACCGGGGTTTGAAGGTGGGAAGAGACGTTTAAGGCGGTAATCCTTTGATCCTAGCTGGTGCTCATCATGAGTCAATGCGGTTGGAGCGGATTTTTTACGCTGGAAAACGTGGTTGTGAGCCGTAGGGCAGCAATCTGATCTTTAACAGGAAGAGTTTCAGGCACCTCTGGGTGGTGTGGCCTCAAGCAGGCCGTATTGCAGCAGAAGGGTTTGAAGTACCGTAACTTGGGTTTTGGAGTACGCTAGGTGCAGAACCAACGCATTCGAATACGCCTTAAGGCTTTCGATCATCGTTTAATTGACGTGTCCACGCAGGAAATTGTAGACACTGCCAAGCGCACCGGTGCGCAGGTAAAAGGGCCGATTCCTTTGCCGACGCGTAAAGAGCGTTTCACCATTCTGGTTTCACCGCACGTCAACAAAGACGCGCGTGATCAGTATGAGATCCGTACCCATAAACGGCTCCTGGATATTGTTGAACCCACCGAGAAGACTGTGGATGCGCTGATGAAGCTCGATCTGGCAGCAGGTGTGGAAGTACAGATTAGTTTGAATTGATAAGACGCTGGCGTATCCGAGAGGAAGCCGGCGTTTTTGTATAGGTAGAAAGTGGTTGGGCGGCAATAGTTCGTTCCAGACAAAGAACAAGGCTCCGATAGGGAGCCACTGATAGGCGCAAGCCCGGCTCAGTTCTTCTGATCCCGTAAGGGAGATGCGAAGAGCGTGAGTTTTTTGCGCTTTGAGAAGAGTCGAGCGGCTCTTGTATTTGACCAGGAAGATGACCAATGGCGATTGGATTGGTAGGTAGAAAATCAGGAATGACACGCGTCTTCACCGAAGAAGGCGCGTCGGTTGCTGTGACAGTTATAGAAGCTGCACCAAACCGCATTACTCAGGTTAAAACCGACGACACAGACGGCTACAGTGCGGTTCAGGTAACTGCGGGTGAAGTCAAACAAAACCGCGTCAGCAAGCCTCGTGCAGGCCACTTTGCCAAAGCAAATACCGGCGCTGGCCGAGGTTTGTGGGAATTCCGTGCTATGGCGGAAGACGGGATGGCGATCGGTGGTGAACTTACTGTGGAACAGTTCGAGGTAGGTCAAAAAATTGATGTGCGCGGCATTTCCAAAGGTAAAGGTTTTGCTGGCGGTATCAAGCGCTGGAATTTCAGTCACCAGGACAACACCCACGGTAACTCTATATCTCACCGTGCGCCGGGTTCTATTGGTCAGTGCCAGACACCCGGGCGTGTTTTTAAGGGTAAGAAGATGGCGGGCCATATGGGTGCCGCGAAAGTCACCACGCAGAACCTTGAAGTGATTCGAGTGGATGCAGAGAAAAACCTGATTTTGGTTAAAGGTGCTGTACCAGGACCTGCAGGCGGGGACGTTTTTCTTCTCCCTGCTGTGAAAGCCAAAAAAGGGGGGAATAGCTAATGAACCTCAGTTTGGCAGCAGACGGTGGTAGCGTCGAAGTCTCTGACTCGGCATTTGGCCGCGAATTTAACGAAGCCCTGGTGCATCAGGTTGTTGTAGCGCATATGGCAGGCGCTCGTCAGGGCACCCGTGCGCAGAAAAATCGCGCAGCGGTCAGTGGTGGCGGTCGAAAGCCATGGCGTCAGAAGGGCACGGGCCGCGCACGTTCAGGCACCATTCGCTCGCCCATATGGCGTAGTGGTGGGGTAACCTTTGCCGCGCAGCCCCAGGATCATTCCAATAAGGTAAATCGCAAGATGTACCGTGGCGCGCTGCAGTGCATCGTGTCAGAGCTCATCCGTCAGGAGCGCCTGGTGGCGATTGAGTCATTCAATATCGATGCGCCCAAAACCAAAGCGCTTCTGAGCCAGCTGAAAACCCTTGATTTGCGCAGCGTGTTGATTGTCACTGAAGAGGTTGATGAAAACCTCTACCTGGCCTCACGTAACGTAAAGGGTGTGGATGTCCGCGATGTTCAGGGCGTGGATCCAGTAAGCCTCATCAGTCATGACAAAGTGTTGGTGACGGTGGGTGCGCTGAAAAAACTAGAGGAGGCTTTGGCATGAATCCAGAGCGTGTTTTTACTGTGCTGCGTGAGCCGCACATCTCCGAAAAAGTGTCAGTGCTGGGTGATGCGTATAACCAGTACGCCTTCAAGGTGTCCACTGATGCAACCAAAGCTGAAATCCGCGAAGCGGTACAGACGCTGTTTAATGTTGAAGTGAAAAAGGTAACCACCGCCAATGTCAAAGGCAAAGTGAAAAAGAATGCCCGTGGTGTTACCCGTAAGAAGAATTGGAAAAAAGCGTACATCACTGTGGCCCAGGGCCAGGAAATTGACTACATGGTAGTCGATTAGGTCTAGGTATAAGCGAGTTAGGAATTTTTAGATGGCTGTTGTAAAAGCAAAACCAACTTCCCCCGGACGACGGTTTGTTGTCCAAGTTGTTGACAAGAGTTTGCACAAAGGTGCGCCGCATAAGCCGCTGCTGGAGCGTAAAAGCAAAAATGGCGGGCGCAACAACGCTGGCCGTATCACTACGCGTCATCGTGGTGGTGGTCATAAGCAACACTATCGAATAATTGACTGGAAGCGCACGAAAGATGGCATTCCTGCTGTTGTTGAGCGGATTGAGTACGACCCGAATCGTACGGCTCACATTGCGCTGCTGAAGTACAAAGATGGCGAGCGCGCTTACATTATCGCGCCAAAAGGTGTGCAGGCAGGCGATGAGCTGATGAGTGGTTCCAGCTCGCCGATTCGTCCTGGTAATGCCATGGCGTTACGTAACGTACCCGTCGGCTCGGTGGTTCATTGTGTTGAATTAAAGCCGGGCAAAGGCGCGCAGATGGTGCGTAGTGCCGGTGGGTCCTGCCAGTTGGTGGCTCGTGAAGGTACGTATGCAACATTGCGTATGCGCTCTGGCGAAATGCGTCGCGTTTTGTCTGAGTGTCGCGCGACGCTGGGTGAAGTTGGTAACAGTGAGCATAACCTGCGTTCACTCGGTAAGGCTGGTGCCACACGCTGGCGCGGACGTAAGCCGACGGTGCGTGGTGTTGCCATGAACCCGGTTGATCACCCGCATGGTGGTGGTGAAGGTAAGACATCAGGTGGTCGTCACCCGGTCACACCATGGGGTGTGCCAACCAAAGGCCATAAGACGCGTTCAAATAAGCGTACCGACAAACTTATTGTGCGTCGCCGAGGTAAGCGTTAACCGCTACCGACTTAAAGGATAGGAGAAAGCTAAGTGCCAAGATCGTTGTATAAAGGACCGTTTGTCGATACACACCTGATGAAAAAGGTTGAAGTGGCTGCGGCGAATAACGAGCGACGCCCTATTAAGACCTGGTCACGTCGGTCAATGATCGTGCCGGAAATGGTGGGTTTGACAATTGCTATCCACAACGGCCGACAGCATGTGCCGGTGCTTGTGAATGAAGACATGGTAGGCCACAAGTTGGGTGAATTTGCACCAACTAGAACGTATCGGGGCCACGCCGCAGACAAAAAGGCGAAGCGTTAAAGCGCTCGCGCCAGGTAAAGACGAGAGATAGGAAAGAAAATGGAAGTCAGCGCGTCAGCAAGACGACTCAGAATATCAGCGCAGAAAGCGCGTTTGGTTGCTGATCAAGTGCGTGGGAAACCTGTTGCACAGGCTCTGGACATCCTCAACTTCAGTACCAAGAAAGGTGCTGTGTTGGTGCGAAAAGTTGTCGAGTCTGCAATTGCCAACGCCGAGAACAACGAAGGCGCCGATATTGATGAGTTGAAGGTATCCAGTATCTTTGTAGATGAGGGATTAACCATGAAACGTATACGTCCACGGGCCAAGGGCCGAGCGGACAGAATTTTAAAGCGGTCCAGCCACATTACTGTGACTGTGTCTGACGTCTAACAGCCAGAATTTGTTGAGAAAAGTATGGGTCAGAAAGTACATCCAACCGGTATACGCCTAGGCATCGTCAAGGATCACACTTCGGTGTGGTACGCGGACAAGAAAACCTATGCGGGATACCTGCTTAATGATTTGGCAGTGCGCGATTATCTGCGCAAGCGCCTGGCAGATGCCTCAATCAGTCGTATTGACATTGAGCGTCCAGCGCAAACTGCACGTATCACCATTCACACTGCCCGTCCGGGTATCGTGATTGGTAAGAAAGGTGAGGATGTAGAGCGTCTGCGTGTTGAGCTGGCGAAGCGTATGGGTATGCCTGTACACGTTAACATTGAAGAAATTCGTAAGCCCGAGCTTGATGCCCAGCTGGTTGCGCAGAACGTCGCTCAGCAGCTGGAGCGACGTGTTCAGTTTCGCCGCGCTATGCGACGGGTGATTCAAAATGCCATGCGTCTGGGTGCAGAAGGCATCAAAGTGCGTGTGGCCGGTCGGTTGGGTGGTGCTGAAATTGCCCGCTCCGAGGTTTATCACGAGGGTCGAGTACCTTTGCACACGCTTCGGGCTGACATTGATTATTCAACCTGCGAAGCGCTGACAACCTACGGGATTATCGGCATCAAGGTTTGGATTTTCAAAGGCGAAGTAATTGGTACTGCGGACGAGTCATCCGCACAACAAGCGTAAGCGGTTGAGTAGACGAGAAAGACAAGATGTTACAGCCGAAAAGAACAAAATTTAGAAAAATGCACAAGGGCCGCAACCGCGGTCTCGCCGAGCGTGGCAGCAAAGTCAGCTTTGGTGAGTACGGCTTGAAGGCGGTTGGTCGTGGTCGTATGACGGCGCGCCAGATCGAAGCAGGTCGACGTGCAATGGTTCGCCATATCAAGCGTGGTGGTAAAACCTGGATACGTGTCTTTCCTGACAAGCCTATTACCAAAAAGCCTTTGGAAGTTCGTCAGGGTAAAGGTAAGGGTAGTGTTGAATATTGGGTGGCATTGATTCAGCCGGGCCGAGTCATCTATGAGATGGAAGGTGTACCGGAAGAAGTGGCTCGTGAGGCGTTTACGCTGGCGGCCGCAAAACTGCCTTTCAAAACTGTATTTGTGAAACGGACGGCGATGTAATGAAAGCCAAAGAGTTGCGCGAAAAGTCAATTGAGGAGCTCGGCGCTGAGCTTCTGCGCATGCGTAAGGACGAGTTTTCTCTGCGCATGCAGTACGCCAGCGGACAGCTGGGACAAACACATATGGTGAAAGAAGTCCGTCGCGACATCGCGCGGGTGAAGACGCTGATCAAGGAGAAGGCCAATGGCTGAAGCAAGCGCGCAGCGCCAGTCTAATCCCCGCACCGTTACCGGTGTCGTGGTCAGTGACAAAATGAATAAAACCATCACAGTGCGCGTAGAGCGTCGGGTGAAGCACCCGGTTTACGGCAAATTCGTACGTAAGTCTGCGAAGCTGCATGCGCATGATGAAGAAAACACCTGCCAGGTAGGCGACACCGTCACCGTGGTTGAGTGTCGACCCTTGGCAAAAACCAAAACGTGGATGCTGAAAAGCGTCGACGAGCGGGCAGGCGGAGTCTAGCGGACCATGATTCAGACAGAAACCATGCTGGAAATTGCTGACAACAGCGGCGCGCGGAAAGTGCAGTGCATTAAGGTGTTGGGCGGATCCAAGCGGCGTTACGCCGGGATCGGCGACATTATCAAGGTCACTGTGAAAGAGGCTATTCCTCGTGGTCGCGTACGTAAAGGTCAGGTGATGAACGCTGTTGTTGTACGCACTCGTAAAGGTGTCAGGCGCGCTGACGGTTCCCTGATCAAGTTTGATCACAACGCCGCAGTGTTGTTGAACCCACAGAATCAGCCTGTTGGCACACGTATTTTTGGCCCGGTTACGCGCGAACTGCGTACTGAAAACTTCATGCGCATTGTTTCCTTAGCGCCGGAAGTGATTTAGCGGATATTGAGACGCACATGTTGAAGATTAAGAAAGATGACGAAGTAGTAGTGCTCACCGGCCGTGATAAAGGCCGTCGGGGAGAAGTGCTGCGCGTAATGAAGGATGGCCGCCTGCTGGTAGGCGGCATCAATATGGTTAAGAAGGCCACTCGCCCTGACCCGAATGCGGGCGAGCAGGGTGGCTTGATCAGCAAAGAAGCGCCTATCCAGGTGTCGAACGTGGCGATCTGGAACCATGAAGAAAGCCGTGCTGATCGGGTTGCCTTTTCGGTTGATGATAATGGCAAGAAGATTCGCGTTTTCAAATCTAATGGTAAGGCGATCGAGGTTTAGGCATGGGTAAGTTGCAGACAGTTTATAACAGTGAGATCCGCTCGCAGCTCAAAGAAAGTTTAGGGCTGGCCAACATCATGGCGGTTCCGCGTATAGAGAAGGTGACGCTCAACATGGGTGTTGGTGAGGCGGTTGCTGATCGGAAAGTCATGGAGGCTGCCGTTGCAGACATGACAGCTATAGCGGGGCAGCGTCCCGTTGTGTGTAATGCGCGCAAGTCTGAAGCTGGTTTCAAAATACGTGAAGGCTGGCCGATTGGCTGCAAAGTGACGCTTCGCAGCGAGCGGATGTACGATTTCATTGAGCGCCTGGTGGGTATTGCGATTCCGCGTATTCGTGACTTTCGCGGCCTTAATCCTAAGTCCTTTGATGGACGTGGGAATTTCAGCATGGGTCTTACAGAGCAGATCGTTTTTCCGGAAATTGACTACGACAAGATCGATAAGATCCGTGGTCTGGACATCTGCATCACAACCAGCGCTGAAAATAATGAACATGCACTGGCACTGTTAAAAGCATTCAAGTTCCCGTTTCGAGTATAGAAGCGGCGAACCGATAAAAAGAGATAGGTAAAAGAGAACTGGTATGGCTAAGACATCGATGATCGAAAGGGAAAAGAAGCGCGCTAAAGTGCGTGCTAAGTACGCTAAGAAGCGTGCCACCCTGAAAGCTGTTATTGCTGATCGCAATTTGTCTGATGATGAGCGCTGGGACGCGCAGTTAAAGTTACAGGCGTTGCCACGTGACGCAAGTCCTGTGCGCGAACAACGACGCTGTGGCATTACTGGTCGCCCACACGGTGTCTACCGAAAATTTGGTTTAGCCCGCAACAAACTGCGCGAAGCAGCAATGCGTGGCGACGTGCCTGGGCTTGTTAAGGCCAGCTGGTAAGAAGGTAATTACAACATGACGATGCAAGACCCGATTTCTGATTTGTTGACCCGCATCCGCAATGCGCAGATGGCTGGCCATAAAAACGTTGAGATGCCTAACTCCAAAATCAAGCGCAGCATTTTAAAAGTGCTGTTGGATGAAGGTTTTATCGATGGTTTTACCGCAGACGAAGAAGTGAAGTCTGCTTTGAACGTAGACCTGCGCTACCACAATGGTTCTCCGGTAATCGAAGAGATCAAGCGTGTCAGCCGACCAGGTTTGCGGATCTACAAAGAGAGCAGCGAGATTCCCTCGGTACGAGGTGGATTGGGTGTGGCTATTGTCAGCACCAATAAAGGTGTCATGACAGATAAGCGTGCTCGCGCAGCCGGCGTCGGCGGTGAAGTTTTGTGCACGGTCTTTTAGGAGTAGACGATGTCTCGAGTTGCGAATAATCCGGTACAGGTGCCTGCAGGCGTTGAGATTAAGCTCAACGGTCAGGCGTTGTCCGTGAAAGGCTCCAAAGGCGAAATGAACTTTGGTGTGCACAATGCAGTGATCATTAACCAGGGCGACGGTGAGCTCACATTTGCGGCGCGTAATGGCGACACTGGTTCACGTGCGATGGCAGGCACCATGCGTGCGGTTGTGCAGAATATGGTCACAGGCGTCTCCACTGGGTTTGAACGCCGTCTTGAATTGCAGGGCGTCGGTTATCGTGCACAAGCACAGGGTAATACGTTGACGTTGCAGCTGGGTTTTTCTCACCCTGTTGTATACGAGTTGCCGAAGGGCATTGAGGCGCAAACGCCTAGTCAAACAGAGATCGTCATCTCCGGTATAGACAAGCAGCAAGTCGGGCAGGTTTGTGCAGAAATACGCTCATTCCGTCCGCCTGAGCCCTACAAGGGTAAAGGCGTGCGCTATCAGGGTGAGTATGTTCGCCGTAAAGAAGCAAAGAAAAAGTAAGACAAGCTGATGGGCTTTCAGGCCTGCAGTTGTTCGTAACCAAAGAAACGAAACAGATCAATGAATCAAAAGAATATCAGCAGACAACGCCGCGCACGACGAGGCCGCATGAAAATGCGGGAGCTTGGAGCAACACGGCTGAGTGTTACACGTACACCGCGGCACATTTACGCCCAGGTGTTATCCGCAGACGGCGGCACAGTGATTGCTCAAGCGTCTACTTTAGAAAAGACGCTGCGTGATGGCGCCACCGGGAATACGGATGCTGCGGCAAAGGTAGGGGCATTGGTTGCCGATCGTGCAAAACAGGCGGGCGTAACTGCGGTTGCGTTTGATCGATCCGGGTACAAGTACCATGGGCGTATAAAAGCGCTGGCGGATGCCGCCCGCGAAGCTGGTTTGGAGTTCTAGATGGCATATTCTGAAGAAATACGAGAAGAAGGCCTGGTTGAAAAACTGGTCCAGGTGAATCGAGTAGCCAAAGTGGTTAAAGGCGGACGCATATTCGGTTTCACCGCGCTCACTGTCGTGGGTGATGGTAACGGCCGGGTTGGTTTCGGTCGTGGTAAGGCGCGAGAAGTACCTCTGGCGATTCAGAAAGCTATGGAATCCGCACGTCGAAATATGATCGATATAGACCTGAACGGTACAACTCTGTGGTATCCGTTAGTAGGTCGTCATGGTGCTTCAAAAGTCTATATGCAGCCTGCATCAGAAGGTACAGGCGTGATTGCGGGCGGCACTATGCGCGCGCTTTTAGAAGCCGTTGGAATTCAAAACGTATTAGCCAAGTGCTATGGATCAACGAATCCGGTAAACGTGATCAATGCAACATTCAAAGCGTTGCAGAATATGCGTTCTCCCCAGGATATCGCGGCCAAGCGTGGCAAGCCCGTAGAAGATGTCGTCGCTTAGACGGCCCGAAAGTAGGTCAAGCTCATGAGTGACAAAACAGTAAAAGTGACGCTAACCAAAAGCCCTATTGGGCGTTTGAAGAATCATAAGGCGTGTGTGGCTGGATTAGGTCTGCGCCGCATTGGTCATACCGTAGAAGTAGAAGATACACCTTCAGTTCGCGGCATGATTAACCGCATCAGCTATATGTTGCTGGTGGAAGGAGAAGCTTAATGCGACTGAACGAGTTACAGCCGGGAGAAGGCAGCAAGCGCGCAAAACGTCGTGTGGGCCGTGGTCCCGGTTCTGGTTGGGGCAAAACAGCGGCGCGTGGTCAGAAAGGGCAGAAAGCCCGCTCTGGTGGTGGCGTTCGTCCAGGCTTTGAAGGCGGACAGCAGCCATTAAAAATACGTATTCCAAAGTTTGGTTTTCGCTCGCGCGTTGGCCTGGTCACAGCGGAAGTTCGGACCAGTGAACTGAACACGGTTCTGGGTGATGAAATCACGCTTGATTCGCTCAAGGCGGCAAATCTCGTCCGTCGTGATATGAAGCGAGCACGGATTATGCTGAGCGGCGATATTCAACGGGCGCTTAAAGTATCCGGTGAAGATATCAAGGTGACCAAAGGTGCTCAGTCAGCTATCGAAGCTGCTGGCGGCTCGGTCGCTTAGAAATAAGTTAAAGACGAAAGTTAGACGACACTAAAGACATGGCACGCAATCAAGGCGAAGTAGCAAACCAGTTAGCTGGCAACCAGGCGGGGATCGCAGAACTCCGCAGCCGTCTGCTGTTCGTATTGTTTGCATTGCTGGTCTACCGGATAGGCACGCACATTCCTGTGCCTGGCATTGATCCCGGTCAACTGGCCGCTTTGTTTGATCAAAGCCAGGGCGGTATTCTCGAGTTGTTTAACATGTTCTCGGGTGGCGCCTGGGAGCGTATGAGTATTCTGGCTCTGGGTGTTATTCCATACATTACGGCAAGTATCATCATGAATCTGATGACCATGATGTACCCCCAGTTTCAGCAATGGCGCAAAGAAGGTGATGCTGGTCGTCGCAAGATTACCAAAGTAACCCGCTATCTGACGCTGGCTATCGCAACGATCCAGGGTGTGTCCCTGGCCGTGACGCTGGCTAATCAGGGGTTAGCCTTCGATCCGAGCTTCACCTTCTACTTTGTTGCTTCGCTCACCCTGGTGACAGGCGCAGTATTCATGATGTGGTTGGGCGAGCAGATTACTGAGCGTGGTGTTGGTAATGGCATTTCGCTATTGATCTTTGCCGGTATTGTCTCCGGCTTCCCCTCAGCACTCGGCCAGGTTTTCGAAGCTGCACGGCAGGACCAGATTAACATCATCGCATTGTTGTTCATTACAGCTATCGCCGTCGGTGTGGTCTGGTTTATCGTTCGCGTCGAGCGCGGGCAGCGTCGGATTACGGTTAATTACGCCAAACGCCAGCAGGGTCGCCGTGTCTTCCAGGCGCAGAGCAGTCACCTGCCGTTAAAAATCAACATGGCCGGTGTTATCCCAGCGATTTTTGCCTCGAGTCTGCTGTTAGCCCCGGCGTCTATGGCCAGCTGGTTCGGCACCAACCCTGGTATGGGCTGGTTGCAGGAAATTTCTCTGGTTCTGTCTCCTGGGCAGCCGCTTTACATCATGATGTTTGCCGCGGGTATTATCTTTTTCAGCTTCTTTTACACCGCAATTATGTTTGACCCGAAAGATGTGGCGGACAATTTGAAGCGCCAGGGTGCCTATGTACCAGGTATACGGCCGGGGCAGCAGACCGCAAAATACATTGACGATGTCATTACCCGGCTGACCGTTTTCGGTGCTCTGTATGTGACGTTGGTATGTTTGTTACCGGAATTTATGATTGTAGCATTCGATATAACTTTTCAACTGGGCGGCACCGCGCTGCTGATTGTGGTGGTAGTGGCAATGGACTTCATGTCCCAGGTGCAATCTCACCTGATGTCCAGCCAGTACGCCAAGTTGATGGAAAAATCGAATCTACAGACTTACGGACGTCGTAAAGGCGGATAAGACTATGAAAGTTAGAGCATCAGTAAAGAAGATTTGCAGAAACTGCAAAGTGATCAAGCGGAAAGGCGTCGTGCGGGTTATCTGCAGCGCAGAACCACGTCACAAGCAGCGACAAGGCTAGCCTGACGGCAGCCAGCAGGAATTTAACGGAGCGTATAAATGGCACGTATTGCCGGCATAAACATACCTGATAACAAGCATGCGAGAATATCGCTGACTTATATCTATGGCATTGGTCTAACGACAGCGAAAAAGATCTGTGAGCAGGCGGGTGTCAGCCCTTCCGCGAAAGTAGGTGAGTTGGACGAAGCTAATCTTGATGCGATTCGCAGTGAAGTTGCGAAGCTCAGTGTAGAGGGCGATCTGCGTCGAGAGACATCGATGAACATCAAACGCCTGATGGATCTGGGTTGCTATCGCGGTATGCGACATAGACGCCACCTGCCTGTACACGGTCAACGTACCCGTACCAATGCGCGTACGCGTAAAGGTCCAACGCGTCCAATTCGCAGATAAGCATAAGTTAAGAAGCGTAACTAGGAATTTTAGGAAATGGCAGAGCGTAAAAAAGCCAAGCGAGTGGTTATTGACGGAGTGGCACACATCCATGCGTCATTTAACAACACCATCATCTCTATCAGCGACCGACAGGGTAATACCCTGTGTTGGGCGACTTCTGGTGGATCAGGTTTCCGTGGCTCGCGTAAAAGCACGCCTTTTGCCGCGCAGGTTGCAGCAGAGCGTGCCAGCAATACTGCCCTGGAATTCGGCATGAAGAGCGTGGACGTATTCGTGAAGGGCCCAGGGCCCGGTCGTGAATCTGCGGTACGAGCGCTGAACGCTGCAGGATTGAAAATAAACAGCATCTCGGATGTGACACCCATTCCGCATAATGGATGCCGTCCACCGAAAAGACGACGCGTTTAAGCGTCTAGCAAACTAAGAGGTAAGTTATGGCCCGATATCTAGGTCCAAAACTAAAACTGAGCCGACGCGAAGGCACCGATCTTTTCTTAAAGAGTGGTGTTCGTCCCATCGATTCGAAATGTAAAATTGATCAGGCTCCTGGCCAGCACGGTATTCGCCGTGGTCGCCTGTCTGACTATGCAGTGCAGCTGCGTGAAAAACAGAAAGTGCGTCGTATCTACGGTGTACTGGAGAAGCAGTTCCGTAATTACTACAAGAAGGCCGACCGTCAGAAAGGTGCTACGGGTACCAATCTGCTGCAACTGCTTGAATGCCGCTTGGATAATGTGGTTTACCGCATGGGCTATGGCTCAACACGGGCTGAGTCCCGCCAGCTGGTTTCACACAAGTCGATCACCGTTAACGGCGGTATCGTAAACATTGCGTCTTATCAGGTTAAGCCCGATGACGTGGTAGCAGTTGCAGAGAAATCCCGCGGACAAATGCGTATTCAGGCCGCAGTGCAGTTGTCAGCTCAACGATCTCCCATCGAATGGGTTGATGTTGCAGTGGACAAACTGGAAGGTGTTTTTAAGCGCCTGCCTGACCGCGAAGAACTTCCCGTAGAAATTAATGAAAACCTCATAGTTGAGCTTTACTCGAAGTAAGTAAACTAGCGCGCCATTGGCGCTCTCAGGAGACGACATATATGTCACAGTTGGCAAACGAGTTTTTGACCCCGCGAAATATCGAGATTCAATCCGACACGCCTACCCGGGCGAAAGTCACATTGGAGCCGTTAGAGCGTGGCTTTGGCCATACCTTAGGCAATACGCTCCGAAGAATTCTGCTGTCTTCAATGCCTGGATGCGCAATTACCGAAGTTCAGATTGATGGCGTTCTGCATGAATACAGCACGCTGGAAGGTGTTCAGGAAGATGTCATTGATATCCTGCTGAACCTGAAGGGTATTGCTGTTGTACTGCACAACCAGGACGAAGCCATTATCACTTTGTCAAAGTCAGGCGGCGGCCAGGTAACAGCTGGCGACTTCCAGTTAAACCAGGATGTAGAGATCGCAAATCCTGATCACATTGTGTGTTCACTGAATGACAGTGGCGCTATCCGCATCGAAGCGCGTGTCACACGCGGTCGCGGTTATGTACCCGTTGATGCAGTGGGCAGCGAAGAAGATGAAAGTCGCCCGATAGGCGTACTGCGTCTGGATGCATCTTACAGCCCGATGCAGCGTGTGGCGTACAGTGTAGAAAGCACACGTGTTGAGCAGCGTACAGACTTGGATAAACTGATTCTCGATCTGGAAACCAACGGCACCATTGATCCGGAAGAAGCGATTCGTCGGGCGGCGACAATACTGCAGCATCAGCTGGCTGTATTTGTTGACCTTGAAAGCGAAGGTGAGCAGGTAGTTGAAGAGAAAGAAGACGAAATTGATCCGATTCTGATACGCCCTGTTGATGACCTTGAGCTGACCGTGCGGTCTGCAAACTGTTTGAAAGCAGAGAATATCTACTATATCGGTGATCTGATTCAACGCACAGAAGTGGAGTTGCTGAAAACTCCAAACCTGGGCAAGAAATCACTGACAGAAATCAAAGACGTTCTCGCATCGCGTGGCCTGTCGCTGGGTATGCGTTTAGAAAATTGGCCGCCGTCAAACTTGCATGGTGGACGTGTAGCTTAGTCAGCTGCAGGTTGTTTACATAGGAAACTGAGAAATGCGTCATCGTAAGAGTGGCAGACAACTAAACCGTAACAGCTCACATCGCCAGGCGATGTTTCGCAACATGGCGGTGTCGTTGATCGAGCACGAAGTGATTAAAACCACTGTACCGAAAGCCAAAGAGCTGCGTCGGATTGCAGAACCTTTGATCACACTAGCCAAACAAGACTCAGTGGCAAATCGCCGACTGGCTTTTTCCCGTACCCGTGATAAAGCCGCGGTAGGTAAATTGTTTGCTGAGTTGGGGCCTCGATACGAGGCTCGTGGCGGTGGCTATACCCGTATTTTAAAGTGTGGTTTTCGCCCCGGCGATTCTGCACCTATGGCCTTTATTGAACTGGTTGATCGTCCGGTAGAAGATTTTGACTACGATGAAGATGTGGTTGTAGAGGACGAGGCTGAAACAGCTCAAGATAGTTCAGACGATATTGAAGATGCGGAAATCGTCGAAGAAGAAGCGGCTAAAGACAAAAGCTAGTGTCCGATTACGCTAGGTTTATCCCTACACCGAGAACACTGATGGGCCCAGGCCCATCAGATGTACACCCCCGGGTTCTTGCCGCAACAGCGCAACCCACCATAGGCCACCTTGATCCTGAATTTGTAGGTTTGATGGACGACATCAAATCGCTGATGCGTTATGCATTTCAGACATCCAACAGCTTAACCTTACCTCTGTCCGCTCCAGGCTCAGCAGCTATGGAAGCGGCTTTTGCCAATCTGATTGAGCCGGGTGACAAAGTGATCATCTGCATTAATGGCGTGTTTGGCAATCGTATGGCTGAAAACGTTCGGCGCATGGGTGGTGAACTGGTCACCGTTGAAGACGAGTGGGGCACTCAGGTAGACCCGCAAAAACTTAAAGAAGCTTTGCAGCAACATCCTGACGCCAAAGTAGTTGGGTTTGTGCACGCGGAAACTTCAACCGGAGTCTGTTCTGACGTTCAAACTTTGTGTGCGCTGGCAAAAGAAGCCGGCTGTTTAACAATTGTTGATAGCGTGACGGGTTTGGGTGGCGTAGAACTGCGTGTTGATGACTGGCAGGTAGATGTTGCGTACTCAGGTAGCCAGAAGTGTTTGTCCTGTCCACCTGGAATCAGTCTGATCACCTACAGTGATGCAGCGGCAGCCAGGGTGAAAGCGCGAAACTCAGCGGTACAGAGCTGGTTTCTGGATCTTTCTCTGTTAATGGCCTACTGGGACGGTGAAGGTGCCCGCACCTATCATCACACGGCGCCGGTTAACGCCATGTACGGACTGCACGAAGCGTTGTTAATGCTGCATGAAGAAGGACTGGAAAACTCATGGCAGCGCCATCGAGATATGCACAATCTGCTGGCGCACGGCTTAAGCGAACTTGGCCTGGAAATGGTGGTAGATGCAAGCTACCGATTGCCACAACTCAATGTGGTTGCTGCTCCTTCCGGTGTTAACGAAGCGGATGTGCGTAAACACCTTCTGGCAGAATACAATCTTGAGATTGGTGCCGGGTTAGGGGTTTTTGCCGGCAAAGTCTGGCGCATCGGTTTGATGGGATATGCGGCACGCAAAGAAAACGTTCTGCTGTGTGTTAACGCGCTGGCCAACGCCCTTAAATAGAGACGCCTCTCTGTTGTCAGGTTAAGCGCCAGGTTCTAGCGCTTAGCCCCACTGCCTACCAACGGTTTCAGAAAACGTCCGGTATGAGATTTGCGTACCTTTGCAACTGCTTCAGGTGTGCCGGTCGCAACAATAGTGCCGCCACCGGAGCCGCCTTCAGGTCCCAGATCAATCACCCAGTCAGCTGTTTTGATGACATCCAGATTGTGTTCGATAACCACAACCGTGTTGCCCGCATCGCGCAACCTGTGCAGTACATCCAACAATTGAGCGATATCGTGAAAGTGCAGGCCGGTTGTTGGTTCGTCAAGAATATACAGCGTCTGTCCAGTATCCCGCTTAGACAGCTCCCGTGACAGCTTCACTCGCTGCGCTTCGCCACCGGATAAGGTGGTCGCCGATTGTCCCAGCCTCACATACGACAAGCCGACATCCATCAGTGTCTGTAGTTTGCGAGAGAGCATGGGGACAGCATCAAAAAATGTTCGTGCATCTTCGATGGTCATATCCAGAACTTCGTGGATGTTTTTACCTTTGTAGCGTACGTCCAGAGTCTCCCGGTTGTAGCGCTTGCCGTTGCAGACGTCACAAGGCACGTAGATATCCGGCAGAAAATGCATTTCTACTTTGATGACACCATCACCCTGACACGCCTCACAGCGACCGCCTTTAACGTTGAAACTGAATCGCCCGGGTTTGTACCCGCGCGCGCGGGATTCCTGTACCTGGGCAAACAACTCTCTTATGGGGGTGAACAGGCCAGTATAGGTCGCCGGGTTGCTGCGTGGCGTGCGCCCTATCGGGCTCTGATCAATGTCGACCACCTTGTCCAGATGATGCATGCCTTCCATGTGATCAAATGGTGCAGGCTTCAGTGTCTCAGCCCGGTTCAGCGCAGTGGCAGCTAAAGGATAAAGGGTTTGATTGATCAGCGTTGATTTACCTGATCCTGAAACGCCGGTAACGCAGGTCAGCAGGCCGCAAGGTATAGTGACCGTCACGTCCTGCAGGTTATTACCCTTGGCACCGATCAGAGTGATCACCTTTTCTTCATCAAACGGCGTGCGTACGCCGGGCACGGCGATGGATTTGCGCCCGGAAAGATACTGGCCCGTGATGGAGTCTTTTGCCTTGAGGATATCTTTGATGCCACCTGCGGCGACGATTTTACCGCCGTGAACACCTGCGCCGGGGCCAATATCGATCAGGTAGTCTGCAGCGCGAATGGCTTCTTCATCATGTTCAACCACCAGTACGGTGTTACCCAGATCGCGCAAATGTTCCAGGGTGCGTAACAGGCGTTCATTGTCACGCTGGTGCAAGCCAATAGAAGGTTCATCAAGAATGTACATGACACCGACCAGGCCAGCACCAATCTGGCTGGCCAGACGAATACGTTGCGCCTCGCCACCGGACAGCGTATCTGCACTTCGATCCAGGGTCAGATAATTGAGGCCGACATCCACCAGAAAACGCAGACGGGCAATAATTTCTTTCAGAATTTTGTCTGCAATAGTGGCGCGCTGGCCTTTCAACTTCAGAGATTCAAAGTGCTTCAGCGTGTCTTCGACCGAGCCATGGGTAATTTCCGGCAGGTTGCTGGTACCAATAAACACATGGCGGGACTCCTGTCGTAAACGTGTGCCGGCACAGCTGGGGCAATCGGCCACACGCAGATATTTCTGCAGGTTCTCCCGCACCATATTGGAGTCGGTCTCGTGGTAACGACGCTCCATGTTGGGGATGACACCTTCAAAGCGGTGGCGCCGCTTGATCACATCACCTCGATCATTGGCGTAGCTGAAATCGATACGGGTCTGCCCGCTGCCGAACAATATGGCCTGACGTTGCTTCTTATTGAGCTTTTTAAAAGGCATCTCAACGTCGAAGCCGTAGTGATCAGCCAGCGAGGTCAACATATGGAAATAGTAGACGTTGCGTCTGTCCCAGCCACGAATGGCACCCTCCGCAAGGGTCAGGTCTTCGTCGGCGACCACAAGTTCTGGATCAAAGAAATTGGTAACGCCCAGACCATCACACGAATCGCACGCCCCGGCAGGGTTGTTAAAAGAAAACATGCGAGGCTCTAGCTCGGAAATGCTGTAGCCACATTGCGGGCAGGCAAAGCGCGCTGAAAAAATCTGCGGCGGCGCTTTTTCGTCTTCCATGCTGCGCACCAGAGCAACCCCGTCAGACAGCTGCAGCGCGGTTTCAAAACTTTCTGCCAGTCGTTGTTGCAGGCCATCGCGAATGCGTACGCGGTCGATGACCGCCTCAATGGTGTGTTTTTTGTTCTTGTCCAGGTCAGGGGTGGCGTCGAGATCAACAACAATGTTGTCGACGCGGGCGCGCACGAAACCGTTGCTGCGTAATTCTGCAAAAACGTGCTGGTGCTCGCCTTTACGCTCTGAAATGACTGGCGCGAGAATCATGATGCGCTCGCCATCCTGCATCTGCAGCACCTGATCAACCATCTGGCTGACAGTCTGCGCGGCCAGTGGTTCGTCGTGATCTGGACAGCGCGGCTCACCTACTCTGGCAAACAACAGGCGCAGATAGTCGTAGATTTCTGTGATCGTGCCTACGGTAGAGCGTGGGTTGTGTGAGGTCGATTTCTGTTCAATCGAAATGGCGGGTGATAACCCTTCAATATGGTCGACGTCTGGCTTTTCCATCATCGACAGAAACTGTCGCGCGTAGGCGGACAGCGATTCGACGTAGCGACGCTGACCTTCAGCATAGAGCGTATCAAATGCCAGAGAAGACTTACCTGATCCGGACAAGCCAGTGATTATCACCAGCTTGTCGCGTGGAATATCCAGATCGATGTTCTGCAGGTTATGGGTGCGCGCACCACGCACTGAAATGGTATCCACGGATTACACTCGGGAGAAAACCGCCCAAGTTATCCTGCTCAGGTTTGTGTAGCAACTCTATTTCCGTCGGGTCAGCAGCAGAGTGGGTATCAGGCTTAATGCGAGGATAAATAGCGCTGCGGTTGATGCTTCAGGCAGGCGTTCATCAGCGGCCAGTCGATACACCCGGGTTGCCAGGGTTTCGAAATTAAAGGGCCGCATGATCAGTGTAGCGGGCAGTTCTTTGACCACATCGATGAAGGTCAGCAGACCCGCATAGGCAATGGTTGACGTTAACAGAGGTACATGGATGCGGCCGAAAAGTCGGGTTGGCGATGCGCCTAAGGTGCGGGCAGCGTCATCAAGAGACGGATGAATCTGCCCCAGTCCGCCTTGCACACTGTTGAAAGCAACCGTCATGAAGCGTGCGATATAGACGAATACCAGACCAGCGATTGTGCCGGTGATCATCAGTGAGTTAATGCTGTCAAACTCTGTTGCCAGCCACTGGTCGATAGCGGTCAGCGGTAAAAGGGCGCCGGTCGCCAGCACCAGCCCTGGAATCGCGTATCCTAAAGTGGCAACGCGAATGCCGTACCTCACCGGTACGGTAGGCCTCAGTCGAGCGGCATAGGCCAGCCACATGGCACCGATCACACACAAAGCGGCGGCGATGGTGGAAACGTAAAGTGAGTTTTTTACAAACCCGATAAAACGTGTGCTGAGCAGTGGATCCCCGGTTTCCAGAGCATAATTCAGCAGTAAACCTGCCGGCAGTACAAAACCCAGAACAACAGGTAACAGGCAGACAATAAGGGCAAGAGCGCTTCTGAAGCCTGTGAGTCTCTGTTTTCTGGCAGGCTTGTCTGGTGTCGCCAGGTTGAAGCGCTGGCCTCTGCGGGTCGCCTGCTCGAGCGCAACCAGGAATATCACCAGCAGGAATAACCATGCGGCCAACTGGAGCGCTGCACCGCGCTCTCCCATAGACAGCCAGGTTCGGAATACGCCGGTGGTCAGTGTGGCCACCCCAAAGTGTTCCACAACCCCGAACTCGGCTGCGGTTTCCATCAGGACAAGCGCCAGCCCGCCTGCTATGGCAGGTCTGGCCAGTGGCAGGGTCACTCTGCGGAACAGCTCAAAATTAGAAGCGCCCAGCGTGCGTGAGGCGTCGGACAGCATGCTCGATTGTGAGTCCAGATTAACCCGCACTAACAGATAGACGTAGGGGTAGAGGACCAGTGACATGACCATGGCGGCTCCGGGTAGAGAACGTATGGGTGGCAGGCGAAATTCGCTGACCCCCCAACCAGTGATTTCCCGGATAAATGCCTGCACGGGACCAGACACTTCCAGCAGGTCAGCGTAGACGTAGCCGGCCACGTAAGTGGGCAGAGCCAGGGGCAATACCAGTGCTGGTGCAACCCAGCGGTGGCCGGCAAATTCATAGTGAGTACTCAACCAGGCGGTGCTGATGCCAAAAACACCCGCGAGCAGCCCGGTCAGTAACATCAGCAGCAGCGTATTGAGGACATATTCAGCCAGCAGATATTCACGCAGGTGTAACCAGACCTCATCAGCCGGTCCGAACAGCGCCGCCAGCACAATAATCAGCGGCAGGGCAACCGGAATGGCAATCAGCAGCGTGCCGAGGTCGAGGATGCGAGGTCGATTACTCATCTAAATTTGATGCGTGGACGTAGAACACTGAGAATGGCTGACCGATGTATAGGACTTTCGCGTGAGTATAACCTTCCGCAGCATTCAACACGCTTACACTGATGTGTCTGTTTTACGCGATATCGACTTGGCCGTTGAGAGCGGTGAGATCGTCTGTGTCCTTGGACCTTCGGGCAGTGGCAAATCAACTTTGCTGAAACTCGTTGCCGGGCTCGAAACGCTGCAGGCTGGCAGCATCGAACTGCCTGATTTAAAGGTCACGCCGCAACGCTGCCCGCCGCCAGAAAAGCGTCCAGTGGGCCTGGTGATGCAGGAGCATGCTTTGTTTCCGCACCTTACAGTAGCGGCCAATGTGGCATTCGGACTGCATGGCCTGGCCCGCAATGAGCAGGATGAGCGGGTTAAGCGGTTGCTGGCACTGGCAGGTCTGGAGATGATGGCTGACCGATATCCACATACCCTGTCTGGCGGTCAGCAACAGCGTGTTGCTCTGGCTCGTGCTCTAGCGCCGGAGCCGGCGGTGATGTTGCTGGACGAGCCGTTTGCCAGTATCGATGTGCTCCTGCGCAATCGACTGCGCAGTGATACGCGACAATTACTCAAAGCATCTGCAACAACAGCGTTACTGGTCACCCATGACCCTGCTGACGCGATGGCGGTAGCTGATCGTATCGCGGTGGTGGTCGCTGGTGAGCTGGTTCAATTTGGCGAGCCCAAAGCACTTTGGGAGGCGCCGGCGCATCCTTTTGTGGCTGAAGTTCTGGCGGGTCGCCAGCTGTTTACTGCGGTTTTCACCCAAGGCACCTTGGTCTCGGTGTTTGGTACCTTTGCCACACACGCCACACTGACTGAAAACGCGCCTGTTCAGGTAGCTGTAGCGCCCGCCCGAATCAATCTGGTGCCGTCCTCGCAGGGGCAGGTCTCAATTGTTGATATCCGATTTTCAGGTCAGCATTTCACGATTCAACTGGACGCTGCGGGGCAATTGCTGGAGGCGCAGGTGTCCGATGCCAGCCACTTCAAGCTTGGGCAATCCATTGCAATTGAGATTGCGCCCGAAGATGTGCTGATATATGGTTGAGAATGATTCTCATTTAAGTTGTATTATGATTCGATCTGTTGCCCTTGTGCTCCTGTTACTGCTGCCGCTGACATCAATTTCAGCTGCGGAACTCAATCTGTATTCTGCTCGGCACTACGACACCGACTTCTCTCTATATGATCGTTTTACTGAAGATACCGGCATAAAGGTCAATCTTATCGAAGGCGGCAGTGATGCGTTGATAGAACGTATTCTTGCCGAAGGCGAGCTAAGTCCAGCTGATATTCTGATCACCGTTGATGCCGGCCGGCTCTGGCGTGCTGCACAAGCTGGCGTTTTTCAATCCATAGATTCCCCAACCCTGAATGCGCGTGTACCGCAATACCTCAGAGATCCGGACAATCTCTGGTTTGGTCTCTCCAAGCGTGCGCGGGTCATTGCCTATCGCAAATCAGAGGGCCTGCCCGCACCGGTGACCTACGAAGATCTGGCAAAGCCAGCGTACCGGAACCGCGTCTGTATGCGTTCTTCTTCGAATATCTACAACTTGTCGTTGCTGGCCGGGATGATTGAAACAGCTGGGAATGAGGCTGCCATGCAATGGGCGCAGGGTGTTGTGCAGAACTTTGCGCGGGCTCCTCAGGGTAATGACACCGCTCAACTGCGCGCTGTGGCCAGTGGTGAGTGCGGAGTAACCATAGCCAACACCTACTATCTGGGGCGGATGATGGCCTCCAGTGATCCTGCGGACAAGGCTGTGGTGGCGGAGCTGGGAATTGTTTTCCCCGATCAGGATGGTCGCGGTACCCACGTGAATATCAGCGGTGCGGGGGTGACGCGTTATGCGCCAAATAAACCTGCGGCAATTGCGTTTATGGAATATCTGACCAGCGAATTTGCTCAGCGTCTGTTTGCTGAAGGAAACAATGAGTATCCGGTGGTGGGAAAGGCTACCGGCCCTATTTCTGAACTCGGTGATTTCAAAGAAGAACAGATTAATGCTGCGATCTTTGGCAAGCGGCAGGCCCAGGCGGTGATGATTTTTGATCGGGCGGGCTGGCGCTGATTATTAAAAGCTGTAATCCCACGTGTATCTGCGCGGTTTATCCGTTGGGCTGCGTCAATCAATCCATTACACTAGTACCACTTGAAATAAAAAGAGCAGGACCATGGCCAGGGGAATCAACAAAGTCATCCTAATTGGTAATCTGGGCAGAGACCCGGAAACGCGTTATGCGCAGAATGGTGGTGCGGTCACCAACTTCAGTGTGGCCACTTCAGAATCCTGGCGCGATAAAGCCAGCGGTGAAAATCAGGAGCGTACTGAATGGCACAATGTTGTGTGCTTTGCGCGTCTGGCAGAAATTGCAGGCGAATACCTGCGTAAAGGCTCAAAGGTCTACATAGAAGGCAGTTTGCGCACCACCAGCTGGGAGCAGGATGGCCAGAAAAAATACCGTACAGAAATTATGGCCCGCGAACTGCAAATGTTAGACAGCCGCGGTGGTAATATGGACGGCGGTATGGGTGGCGGCATGGGCGCTGACCAGGGCTCACGCAGAGCGCCGGCGGGTGCGCCAACAGGGTTTGAATCTAATTCACCCGCAATGGCGGACAATGCACCGACACTGTCTGACGATACCGACTTCGAAGACGATATTCCGTTTTAGTCCGGGCCAGCCACCCAGGCCTGGTTGATTGGGGCTGGGCCTGCTACAGCAGATATATGGCAAACAGGGCCGTGCCCAACAGCAGCCGGTAGATCACATAGGGGGTCATACCGGTTCGCTCAACCAGGGCGATAAAGAAGTGAATACAGGTGTAGGCTGCCAGGCCTGAAAGAACCGCGCCGCTGACAAGATCCCACCACTGCTGTTGCGCAGCGTCGCGAGCCAGGTCAATACTGAGCAATACCTGGGCACCTAAAATCGTTGGAATGGCCAACAGGAAAGAAAAGCGGGCTGCGCCGGTGCGACTGAGACCCACCATCAGCGCTGCAGTAATGGTAATACCCGAACGGGAAGTGCCGGGAATCAATGCCAGCATCTGCATGCCGCCAACAAATGCCGCCTGACCCCATGATAAAAGGTCCTGCTTGCCAGGTTTGCGGTCAGCCAGCCACAGCAGAATACCAAACACGATTGTTGTGGTGGCAATCACAGGCACACTGCGCAGGTGGGCTTCGATCAAATCTTTGCCAAGTAGGCCTGCCACCATAACCGGTAAGGTGGCGAGGGCAAGTTTGAAGACCAGGTCAATTTCGGGTTTGTAAATACGATGTGCAGGATAGGTGGCCACCGCTGTGGCCATCTGCAGCAAGTCTGCGCGGAAGTAAGCAATCACCGCAATCAGTGTGCCGAAGTGTACACCTACGTCAAAGGCCAGCCCCTGATCCGGCCAGTCTGTCAGCAGCGAAGGCAGAATCAGATGCGCAGAGCTGGAGATCGGCAGGAATTCGGTTAAGCCCTGTACCAGGCTCAGGAAAATGATCTGTAGCCAATCCACGATAAATCAGGCGCGTAGTTTCTGATCGAAATACGACAGCACATCGTCCAGCGCCTGTTGTGCAGGGGTGCCGCCTTTGATGAGGTCCAGGGTTAGAACGGAATGTCCGTTGCCTGGCAGCTCCACCAGCGTTATGCGTTTTTTGTCATTGTTAAATGCCTGGTCCAGTGCTCTGAATTTATCGGCAGTGCACAGTTTGTCACCGGCGAAGCGCAGCGCCAGCATCGGACCGTGTTCGTCGAGGCGTTGGCGGGCCTGATTAACTTCATCCGCGGACATATGCAGCGCGTGTTGATCAAACAGCGGCATGGAGGGTTGTGAGGCAACGCCGGCCAGGACATGCTCATCTGCCATTAACGAAATGGCAAAATTGCCGGTCAGACACATGCCGATCACACCTATTGCGCTGGCCTCGCGCTGTGTTTTCAAATCGCGACACAACGCTTTCAGCCAATCTACAATCGGACTGCTGGCATTTTTCTCAAACAGTTTAAACTCACGTCGCAGACAGAACACGCGAGCCACATTCCCGACCAGCGACACCTTACCCAGTGGTCCAAACAGGTGCGGTAATACCACCTGGTAGCCGTGTTCTACGAATGTGTTGGCAAGGCTGACGGTTTGGGGGCCGATGCCCGGCAATTCCTGGATGATAACAACTGTGGGTCCGCCATCACCTTTGCTGTAGACATCGTGGGTCACTGGCTGCCCATCGCTTAAAGGCGCGGTGAATGCGCGTCTGTCGAAGGTATCTAACATGGTTAAAGCCGCTGTGATGTCGCGCGAAAGTATACATGCCGACACCATTTTTTGAGCCTTGCAAATGTAAGTGGCTGGGGGCTGTATAATGCCCCGGCATCCAGGCTACACCAGAGTGTCCATGACCACTGATCAGAGCGTTGAAATCCCCCTTTTTCCGCTGCGCAGCGTGCTGTTTCCCGGTGGTGTGCTGCCGTTGCGCATTTTCGAACCCCGCTATGTGGATATGGTAAGTCGCTGTATGCGTGAGGGAATCGGATTTGGTGTTGTACTGATACGCGAAGGCGCTGAAGCGCGCCTGGAGAATGACGCACAACAGCCGGATGTCTTTCATATCGGTACCGAAGCGGAGATCGTCGATTTCAATCAGGCTGATAACGGACTGTTGGGCATTGTGACCCGTGGGCGAAGAAAGTTCATGGTGCTTGAAAGCTATGAAACTGCGGACCACCTTTTAATAGGCCGTGTGGATTTTCTTGCCGAAGAAGCCCCTGGAGAGTTATTGCCCGAACACGACGCACTGGTGAGCGTGCTCAAAGAGCTGACCCAACATCCACTGGTGCAGAAACTGAATATTGAAGTTGATTTTGCAGAAGCACGATCGGTCAGCTTGCGTCTTGCTGAACTGCTGCCGATTGAGCCGGAGATCAAGCAGGCTTTGCTGCAATTGCGATGGCCACGTGAGCGTCTTGCTGAACTGTCCCGCATCGTGGGTAAATTTCAGGGCTGAATTGGTTCTTGCTACCTGTTTGGTACCTCTTTGGTACCTCTTTGGTACCTTATTGGCACTGGGTATGCGTAGCGTGCCTGCGTATAATGGGTCCATGTCAGAAACTCTCAAACAGTATGTCAATGAACTCGGGGTTGCCGCTCGCGCTGCGTCCCGGGTACTGGCCGCTGCAACGACAAAAACCAAATCCGCGGCGCTGCAGGCGATTGCCACGGCGACGGATAAGGCGCGTGCAGAAATAAAGCAGGCCAATGCGCTGGATATGGCTGCGGCTCAGCAAAATGGTATCGATCAACCCCTGATTGATCGTCTGCTGCTCGACGATACCGGCATTGATCGCATGATCGAGGGTATTCTGCAGGTAGATGCGTTGGCAGATCCTGTTGGCGAGGTAAGCGACCTGCGCTACCAACCTTCGGGTATTCAGGTAGGTAAAATGCGCGTGCCCCTGGGTGTGATTGCCATGATCTACGAGTCGCGGCCTAACGTTACCGTGGATGCGGCCAGCTTATCGATCAAATCCGGCAATGCCTGTATTTTGCGTGGTGGTTCCGAGGCCTTTGCATCGAACCAGGCGATTGGAAAATGTGTGAGCCAGGGTCTGGCGCAAGCGGGTTTGCCGGTAACCGCCGTACAGTTGCTGAACACAACTGATCGTGATGCAGTGGGAGAGCTGCTGACGCTGGATGAGTATGTTGATGTCATCGTGCCACGTGGCGGGAAGGGTTTGATTGAGCGCATCATGCGCAACTCAAGTATTCCGATCATCAAGCACCTCGATGGCGTTTGTCATGTCTACATCGACGCCGAAGCAAATATCGACATGGCCGCGGATATTGCCTTCAATTCGAAAGTAGAAAAGTTTGCGGTCTGCAATGCGCTTGAGACCCTCCTGGTACATGAACAGGCAGCGCCTCTGGTATTGCCTGAGTTGTGCCAACGTTTTCAGGTCGCCGGTGTTGAAGTGCGAGGCTGTGAGCGGACGTTAGAGGTTGTCGGGCATGTGAAGCCGGCAGTGGAGGCCGACTGGTACGAGGAATACCTGGGCCCTGTGCTTGCCGTGCGGGTGGTAGATGGTCTTGATCAGGCCATTGCGCACATCAACCAATATGGGTCCCAGCACACTGATGCCATTGTCACAACCGATTACGCTCGCGCCCGTCGGTTTGTAACGGAAGTAGATTCAGCGTCAGTGATGGTAAATACCTCAACCCAGTTTGCAGACGGTTTTGAGTATGGCCTGGGCGCTGAAGTCGGGATTTCCACCGATAAAATCCATGCGCGCGGTCCTGTCGGGCTGGAAGGGCTGACCTCGCAGAAATATGTGGTATATGGCAACGGTGAAATACGCAAACGCTGAGACACCTTTTCAGCCTGAGATTTCAAGCTGGTGTTAGTCGGTCTTTACGGCGGTACTTTTGACCCCATCCACACAGGCCACCTGCACGCAGCTCAAGCCGCTCGCGAAGAGCTCAATCTGTCCAGCGTACATCTGATCCTGTCCGCTCGTCCCGGACACCGATCAGCGCCAGCAGAAGATACAGCCCATCGCTGGCAGATGTTGCAGCTTGCCTGCTCGGTATCCCCAGGATTGGTTGCGGATGACAGTGAACTTCGACGCAGTGGGCTGTCTTATACAATCGATACGTTGGTGGCGTGGACACACGCCCATCCTGGCGTCTTGCCGTGTTGGATCATGGGCCAGGATGCGTTTGCCACGCTGCCCATCTGGCATCGCTGGTTAGAGCTGATGCAGTGGTGCAACATCATTGTCCTGCGCCGACCGGGTGATGAGCGCGTGGAACCTGCGGAAGTAGCGCAATTATGTCGGCGCCACGAAGTCGACGTCATGGATGACCAGAAAATCGGGCAGATCTACCGTGTGCATCGACCTATGCTGGAAGTGTCAGCAACCGATGTGCGAGACAGATTGAAAAAAGGTCTACCGGCCAAAGATTTGCTTGCTGACCCGGTATACACCTATATTAAGGCTCACCACCTTTACGAATATTCGGAGAAGGCTATTTGACCGCAACAAAACTGCGTGATCATATTGTAGAAGCCCTGGAAGAGGGCAAAGGACAAGACATTCAGGCGTTAGACGTCTCCAACCTCACCCCCATTACGGATTTTATGGTGCTGGTCACCGGCACCTCAAACCGTCACGTTAAATCTCTCGTCGATCAGGTTATCGAGGCTGCGAAAGGCTTTGGTGGCAGGGTGCGCGGCGTGGAAGGGCGCGAAAGTAATGAGTGGGTGCTGGTGGATCTGGGTGATGTCATTGTCCATGCCATGCAGAAAGAGGCCCGCGAGTTTTACGACCTGGAGCGACTCTGGGCGGAAATGCCCGCTGACAGCGAAACCCGCGTCTAATTTCTGTCGCTGATGAAACTGACGATTGTTGCTGTGGGCAACAAGTCACCGGCCTGGGTAAAAGCGGGTTATGACGAATACGCCAAACGTTTCCCCCGCGAGTTACCCCTCGACCTGATTGAGATTCCTGCACCACGGCATCACCGCGATCCATCCAGGTTCAAGCTGTTGGAAGGCGAGAAAATGCTGGCTTGCCTGGCCTCTGATGACTGGGTGGTGGCGCTGGAAGAAGGCGGGCGTGCGGTCACCAGTCCGCAACTTGCTGAAAAGCTCTCTGCATGGCAGATGAACGGCCAGAATGTGGTATTTCTGGTGGGTGGCTCAGATGGTTTGGCAGATATCGCACTGAACCGAGCTAACGAACGTATGTCTTTGTCTTCATTAACATTTCCCCATTACGCAGTACGTGTAATTCTTGCCGAAGCGTTGTATCGTGCGCGCAGTATCGGTACTGGTCATCCTTATCACCGGGCATAAACGGCAGCCTGCGTTTGGCAGGTGTGGACAGGCATAGAGTAGGACAACTCAATTGGTTGGTTTAGCCATAAAAGATCCCAGCAGGGAGAAGCAGTTATTTGCGTCGCGTGCGCTTGCGCTGTTCGTGATTATTCTGCTCATGGCTGCTCTGCTGATCCTGCGCTTTGTACAGCTGCAGATCTGGGAGCATGAGACCTATCAGACCCGCTCTGATCAGAATCGCATTCAAATTCAGCCTCTGCCCCCACCGCGAGGTCTCATTTTTGACCGCAACGGTGAATTGCTTGCCGATAATCGAGATAGATCCAGTTTGTCGTTGGTTACCGAGCGAATCGATAATCTGGCCGCTACCCTTGAGCGCCTGGGCCGTCTGGTGAGCGTCACGCCAGCAGATATCTCTGAATTTGAGAATCGTCTGCGCCGTAAACGGCGACCATTTGAGCCGGTAGCTTTGCGGCAAGCTTTAGACGAAGACGAAATAGCCTTGCTGGCGGTTAATCGGCATCAGTTTTCCGGTGTTGAAGTCACTACAGAGCTCATCCGAAATTACCCCTATGGTGAATTGTTTGCTCATGCGGTGGGCTCTGTGCGTCGAATTACCGAGAGTGATTTGAACACACTCGACCCGGTGACTTACAGTGCAACCAAGTTTGTTGGCAAGCGCGGCGTTGAGAAATTTTATGAGCGATCGCTGCATGGCGAAGTGGGATATCAGCAGGTTGAAACGGACGCGCATGGACGAATCCGTCAGGTGCTGGATATCAGTCCTCCAGTTGCCGGTCAGAATATAAGCCTGCAGCTGGACAGTCGGTTGCAGATTGCGGCGACCGCAGCCCTGGGAGATCGTCGCGGTGCTGTAGTCGCGATGGACCCTCGCTCGGGGGGCTTGCTGGCTCTGGTGAGTCATCCGGGTTATGACCCGAATCTATTTATCACCGGTATGAGCTCAGAGCAGTATGCTGAGATGTCCCATTCGCTGTATAAGCCGTTGTTCAATCGCGCCATTAATGGTCAATACGCGCCGGGTTCAACTTTCAAGCCTGTGGTGGGGCTTGCGGCTATAGTTGAACGGGTAACCACCTGGGAAGACACCATAGACGATCACGGCTTTTTTAAACTGCCCAATCAGGACCGAATCTATCGGGACTGGACTTGGAAGGTCAACAATTCTGGTGGTCAGGGCACGGTAGATCTGCATCGCGCTATATACCGGTCCTCCAACGTTTTCTTTTACGATATGGCAACGCGCATGCCGGTGGAACGGTTGGTTTCTTTTGCGCGGCAATTTGGTTTTGGCAAGAATCTGGCTTTTGATATCGCCGACGCGAGTGTCGGATTAATGCCGGATCCGATATGGAAACGGGGTTATAAAGGGGAAGTCTGGTATCCAGGTGACTCGATCAATATGGGTATTGGTCAAGGTGACGTGCTGGTTACCCCGATGCAGATGGCGGTTGTGGCCTCAACGCTGGCAAATCGTGGTGCCATGGTGCGGCCTCGGTTGTTGTTGTCCAGTGATGCACCACTGCCTGAAATAGATCCACCTCCGCCGCTGCCTCAAGTGGAAGGTCCGAGTCCGCAAGACTGGGAGAACATGGTTGATGCCATGGAAGATGTGGTGCACCGTGGTAACAAAGGGTTTCGTGGCAACGGCACAGCCTGGTTCTATATCGGGCAGGATATTTCTTACCGCATGGCGGGAAAGTCCGGCACCGCACAGGTAATCGAAATTCCCCAGGGTGAGGAATATGACGCTGACCTGATTGAGGAATTTAATCAGAAACATGCGTGGTTTATTGCTTTTGCGCCGGCTGACGATCCGAAGATTGCGCTGGCAGTACTGGTTGAAAACGGTGGGGGTGGTAGCGAGTTTGCGGCACCTATCGCGCGTCAGGTAATCGACGCCTACCTGCTGCCGCAATTGGCGGCGCGGTAAGATGAGCAGCGATTTTATCCGGGCTTTACCCCAGCACGAGCGCGATCTGCGTGCAAACTGGTTCTACAAGATTCATATAGACCCTATCCTGTTTTTCCTTCTGAGCGCGGTGGTCGTATACGGCCTGATTGTTCTGTATAGCGCAGTGGGGCAGAGTGACGCATTGTTTCAGGCGCAGCTGGTTCGATTGGTGCTGGCTTTTGCTGTACTGATCGTGGCTGCGCAATTGCCGCCACAGTTGTATATCCGCTGGGCGCCTGTGGTCTACCTGCTTGGCCTGGTATTGCTGGTACTTGTGTTGCTGGTTGGCGTTACCGTCAAAGGCTCGCAACGCTGGTTAGACATTCCCGGACTGATTCGCTTCCAACCTTCGGAATTGATGAAAATCGCTGTGCCCATGGCTGTGGCCTGGTACTTCCACAGCCGCCCCTTGCCGCCGTCGTTTAAGGACGTTTGTGTTGCGCTTGCGATAGTTGCCATGCCTGCAGGGTTGATCATTATGCAGCCTGATCTGGGTACCGGTATTTTAGTAGCTGGAGCGGGCCTTGCCGTGGTGTTGCTGGCGGGTTTGCCCTGGCGCTGGATTTTGTATGCGTTTCTGGCCTTTGCAGCTGCTGCGCCGGGATTGTGGTACACCTTACAGGACTATCAGCGTCAGCGAATTCTGACACTCTTTGACCCCGAAAGTGATCCGCTGGGGGCTGGCTGGAATATCATTCAGTCAACTACCGCAATTGGGTCTGGCGGTTTGTTTGGCAAAGGCCTGTTACAGGGCACCCAGAGTCACCTGGAGTTTTTGCCTGAAGCGCGGACTGATTTTATTATCGCCGTTGTTGGTGAGGAGCTGGGTCTGGTTGGAGTAGTGGCGCTTCTGATCCTTTATCTGCTCTTGATTGGTCGGGGCCTGTACATGGCAGCCCATGCGGAAAGCACGTTTGGCCGTCTGCTTTCAGGCGCGCTCATCCTGACCTTTTTCGTCTACGTTTTTGTCAATATCGCTATGGTGAGTGGATTACTGCCCGTCGTCGGTGTGCCGCTGCCATTGGTCAGCTATGGTGGCACCTCTGCTATCACGCTGATGGCGAGTTTTGGAATTCTTATGGCCATTAGGATGCATAAAGCATGGTGATGCGAAAAATCTTATATCTCTGCTGTTTTGTCCTGGCCTGGCCCGCGCTTGCACAGGAGAGTTTTCCTCAGCCTTACGCTGAGCGTGCAGATGTGGCCGCATATATTTCAGAATTGGCGGAGCAGCATGGATTTGCGGAGTCTGAGCTCAAGGCTTTGTTTGCCCGTGCGCAACAGCGCCAGGACATTATAGAGCGCATCTCCCGTCCCGCGGAAAAGACCTGGTCATGGGCCCGATATCGAAAGCTGTTAGTTGACGAAGCGCGCATTGAGAAAGGCGTTGCGTTCTGGGCGGATCATGTCGAAACGTTGGCGCAGGCACAGCAGGTTTTTGGTGTCGAGCCGGAATATGTACTGGCGATACTGGGTATCGAAACCCGCTATGGCGAAGTGAAAGGCAGTTTTCACGTGCTGGATGCACTGGCGACTTTGGGTTTCGATTATCCACCCAGAGCCGATTTTTTCCGCAGCGAGCTCACCCAGTTTCTGCTGCTGGCTCGTGAAGAAGGCAAAGATCCCGCTGAATTGCTTGGCTCTTACGCTGGCGCCATGGGTTATGGACAGTTCATTTCCTCCAGCTACCGGCATTATGCCGTCGATTTCGATGAAGATGGCGTCAGAGATATCTGGTCGAATCCGGTTGATGCGATTGGCAGTATTGCCAACTATTTTGCGCAGCACAAATGGCGTGCAGGTGAACTGGTCGCGCGTAAACTGAATGTGTCTGCAGCTGAGGCGCAGCCATGGCTGACAACGGGTTTGTCGCTACCCCATGCCGTTGCTCAACTGGCAGCGAGCGGTTTGCCGGTGTCCGAACTGCCGGGCGATGCCGATGTGGCCCTGTACCGTATGGATGCGCAGGAGGGTGACGAATACTGGCTGGGACTGCACAATTTTTATGTAATTACACGTTACAACCGCAGTCATATGTATGCATTGGCGGTACATCAACTGAGTCAGGAAATTAAGCGCAGATACACTTTGTTGGAGATGCAATGATCAGACAGAACAAGTTTTGGATCGCCTCAGCTCTGGTATGGCTGGCAAGCGGTTGCGCCTACACCGGTGGTGTCAAGATCCCCGGTGCGCCCAAGCCGCAGCAGGATACTGCGCCGCGCCTACCGCATACTACGCTGGCACAAATGCAGCAGCTTCCCGATCCTCCGGTTCTTGATGAGCCTCGCAGCAGGCGTGGTAATGGTCCGGTGTATACCGTTTGGGGTAAATCCTATCGTGTGATGGATTCCGCTGAGGGTTTTGTGCAGGAAGGCACCGCATCCTGGTACGGGACAAAATTCCACGGGCGCGAAACATCCAGTGGTGAGGTTTACGATATTTATCGTCTGACAGCTGCGCATAAGCATCTGCCGCTGCCCACGTATGTGCGCGTGACCAATTTAGCCAACGGCAAAGAGACCGTCGTGAAGGTGAATGACCGCGGACCGTTCCATGGTGATCGCATCATTGATTTGTCTTACGCGGCAGCGGTGAAGCTTGGCTTCCATGAGCATGGTACAAGCCGCGTCCGGGTTGAGGTGCTTGAGCCTGTTTCTGAACCTGAAACGTTTATGGTGCAGGCAGGTGCTTTCAGTGAGTTTGACCGCGCCGATCGAAGTCACCGAGAATTGCAGGCGCTTACTGGCTTCAAGGGCGTCGTGGTGAAAATGCCTTCGGATGGCTTTTATCGTGTCAGGCTGGGACCGGTCTCCGCTGATGATATCCCACGCTTGCAAAATCTTCTGCAGGCGGCAGATTACGGTATGCCTAAATTGATTCCCGCACCTCAGGGTGCCCGTTGAAGGATGGCAGAATAGCCTGGCTCAACGACAAGTAGTATATGGATGAATTTGATGACTGATTGGTTAAAGCGCGGCTTAAAGCTTGCGGGTATGTGGATTGTTCTAGCAGGGGCTTTGGCTAGCCAGGCAGCTGCACCAATTATCCCGCCGCCACCGGATATCGCAGCCAGTTCCTACCTGCTGGTAGACGCGGCATCGAAAAAGGTCCTGGTTGAACATAATGCTCATGCCCGCATTCCACCCGCCAGTCTGACTAAGATCATGACCAGCTACCTGGTCGAGCAGGAAGTCTCGAGCCAGCGGATAAACCTTGAAGACCAGGTGATGATCAGCGTTAACGCCTGGCGCACAGGAGGCTCAAAAACATTTGTGCGTGAAGGCACAACAGCCTCGGTCGACGACCTGCTGAAAGGTATTATTATTCAATCAGGCAATGACGCCAGTATTGCTATGGCTGAGCATATCGCCGGTAGCGAAGCGGCGTTTGCCAACATGATGAATCAACAGGCTGCCGTTCTCGGCATGAAAGACAGTCATTTCACCAACTCAACGGGATTGCCAGATTCAGAACACTACAGCTCGGCATGGGATCAGGCTATTTTGACCATAGATCTGATTGAGCGTTTTCCTGAACACTACGATCTGTATTCCCAGCGCAGCTTCAGCTACAACGATATTGATCAGCCGAATAGAAACAAGCTGCTCTGGCGTGATAAATCTGTGGATGGGGTGAAAACCGGTTACACCAAAGAGGCGGGCTATTGCCTGGTTGCTTCCGCTGTACGCCAGGGCATGCGCTTGGTCTCGGTAGTGATGGGCACGGACAGCGATCAGGCGCGCATGCGTGAGAGTCAGAAGTTGCTGTCGTATGGTTTCCGCTACTATGAAACCCAGTCCCTGTATGAAGCAGATGTCATGCTCAAAGAGCAGGATATTTATTACGCTGAAGCTGACACCATCAGTCTTGGAGTTGCCGATGATGTTGTGCTGACGTTCCCGCGCGGTTATTACAAAGATATCGAAGCCGAGCTGGAAGTGCCCAAGGTGCTTGAGGCGCCGCTGAGCGCCGGTGATGAGGTTGGGGAGCTCAAGCTGAAGTTGCATGGCGAGATCATTTTTGAAGCACCATTGATCACTCTCGCCGATGCCCCTGAAGCAGGTATCTTCAGCCGCTTAGGTGATTTCCTGACGTTGTTTTTCAAAGAGCTGTTGGACTCCTGATTGTATGGAACCGCCACGCATAGAATTCCCCTGCGATTACCCCATCAAGGTGATCGGTGAAGTCAGTGACGATGGCATCGGTGAGATTGTTGCCATTGTTCGTCAGCATGCCCCTGAAGTCACCCCTGATCAGGTGAGCATCCGTGATAGCCGAAACGGTAATTTTCGTTCTGTCCGCGTCACCATTGTTGCCACCGGCGAAGAGCAGCTGCGTATTCTGCATGAAGACCTGATAGCACTGCCAAATGTCCGTCTGGTGTTGTAATGCACCCGGTGATCATCACAGACCTGGGTGTCAGTCTTTATGAAACTGTCTTCCAGGATATGCAGGCTTTTACCGCGGCAAGGGATGACAGTACCTCAGATGAAATCTGGCTGACCGAGCACCATCCGGTTTTCACTCAGGGGCAGGCGGGCAAAGCCGAACACCTTTTGGCGCCCGGGAACATTCCCGTTGTGCAATCTGATCGCGGTGGTCAGGTCACCTATCACGGTCCAGGTCAGATAACGGCCTACCTGATGTTCGACCTTCGTCGTCTGGGCTTAGGGGTGCGTAATCTCGTTACTGGTATTGAAGAAGCCATGGTGGATACGCTGGCTGCATACGAAATCGAAGCCGCGCCGCGGGCAGATGCACCCGGCGTTTACATTGGCGATGACAAAATTGGTTCCCTGGGCTTAAGGGTCCGCAGGGGCTGCAGCTACCATGGTTTAAGTCTTAATGTGGATATGGATCTCGAGCCATTTTCGCGTATAAACCCATGCGGGTTGTTTGGTATTCAGGTGGCTCATATGGCGCAGTTTAGAGCCGTTAAGCTGCAGGATGTTCAACGTCAGCTGGTGGCGTCGCTGCTTAGCCAATTCAAGCTTGAGGAGAGCAAACAGGACAGTTAAGACGCTTGTTGAGGGTCAATTTGCGCCATTCCATGTATTTTGCATCGAAATAGAGCACATGCCCAACTAAACTCTCGCCAACACCTGTTATCAGCTTTACCGCCTCAAGTGCCTGACACGTCCCGATCACGCCCACTAGCGGTGCTATCACCCCATTTTCGGCGCAGTTCAAATCTGCACCTTCCTGATCCGGATAGAGGCAGCTGTAGCAGGGCGATGTTTTCTGGTTAGCATCAAAAACAGCGACCTGGCCTTCCCAACGTATTGCTGCCCCGCTCACGAGGGGTGTGCTCGTCTGCCAACAGGTTTTGTTGATCATATGTCGACTGGCAAAATTATCCGTGCAATCCAGCACCAGGTCGACATCTGCAATTTTCGCGCGAAGCTCGTTCTCTTCAAGACGTGTCGTTTGTGTTTCTGTTTGTACGTAGGGATTGAGTGCCTGGATAGTCTGCGCTGCAGACACAGCTTTGTTTGTTCCGATAGCGTCCTGTGTATGTGCGATCTGGCGTTGCAGATTTGATAACTCAACCTCATCGTCATCGCACAGGAGCAATCTGCCAACGCCTGCTGCAGCCAGGTAGAGTGCTGCAGGTGAGCCAAGGCCGCCAATGCCCATAATCATCACACGGCTGTTCTGTAGCGCTTCCTGGCCGGCGATGTCTACCTCCGGCAGCATGATCTGCCGGCTATAGCGGAGTAACTCAGCGTCCTGCATGTTGGGCCATTGTGACGCGGTTAATGCCGGCCAGATCTTTTCTGGACTGTACGTTCACCAGTCCAGCGGCAGACATCAGTTGTTGTACGGCTATGGCCTGATCGTATCCGTGTTCGATGAGCAAGTACCCGTCTGGATTCAGCTGCCTCGACGCCTGGCAAATAATCTGCCGTATATCATCCAGCCCGTCCTTGCCGGCAACCAGTGCCTGTCTGGGTTCAGCCAGCAGGTCTGGTAAATGCGGGTCGCTGTCGGCGATGTAAGGTGGATTGCTGACAATCACGTCCCATTGTGATGTGTTGTCCTGTAACCAGGATTGCTGGCGAAAGGTCACGTCAACATTCAGGTTGCAGGCATTGTCGCGCGCTACGTTGAGCGCAGCGCAAGATAAATCAATGGCGGTGATAGCCAGATCGGGCCGTTCGGTCTTTGCCGCGATAGCGATCGCGCCGCTACCGGTGCCCAGATCGATCATGCTGCCTCCGATCGGGGCCAGCTCGATAACCAGTTCAACTAACAATTCTGTTTCCGGTCGAGGAATGAGGACATCTGGCGTTACGCGTAGATCCAGACCCCAGAATTCTCTGCTGCCAGTGATGTAAGCAAACGGCTTACCCTCGTGCAGCTGGTTAATGAAAAGCTGTAATTGCTGCAGGGCATGGGGGGGTATTTCGCGTTCGGGGTAAGCCAGTATCTGTGCCCGACTCAGATCCATGACCTGACCCAGCAAAAGCTCGCATTCGATCAGCGGTAGATCGCTATTATGCTGGAGCCATTGTTTTACCGGTGTCACTGAGTCGCGCCAAGTTGCTGCAGAAGGTCCGCCTGGTGCTCCTGGATGAGCGGTTCTATAACGGAGTCCAGTGCGCCTTCCATGACCTCATCGAGCTTGTACAACGTCAGGTTTATGCGGTGATCTGTGACGCGACCCTGAGGGAAGTTATAGGTGCGTATCCTTTCTGATCGGTCACCTGAGCCTACAAGCTCGCGACGATTTTCTGCCTGCTCGGTTTCCTGTGCACTGCGTGCTGCGTCCAACAGCTTGGCCTGTAACAGAGACAGCGCTCGAGCTCTGTTCTTGTGTTGAGAGCGTTCATCCTGGCATTCAACAACGGTACCGGTGGGCAAGTGGGTCAGGCGTATCGCCGAATCAGTTTTATTGACGTGCTGGCCGCCTGCGCCGGATGCGCGAAAGGTATCTTCGCGAATATCTTTTTTATCAATGGCAATGCTGTTGATCTCATCGACCTCAGGCATGATGGCAACTGTACAGGCCGAGGTATGTATTCGACCTTGCGATTCGGTTTCGGGAACACGCTGCACTCGGTGCGCACCTGACTCAAACTTCAGCTGGCTGAAGACGTCTTTACCTTCAATGCGAGAAATAATTTCCTTAAAGCCGCCGTGTTCGCCGGGTCGTTCGTTGAGCACCTCTACGCGCCAACCTTTCTGCTCCGCGAACTTGCTGTACATGCGAAACAGATTGCCGGAAAACAAAGCGGCTTCGTCACCTCCCGTGCCCGCGCGGATTTCCAGAAAGACGTTGGAGTGATCGTTAGGGTCTCTGGGCAGTAACAGCGTCTGCAGTTTTGCAGTCAGTGTATCCAGGGCAATATTGGTCTGGGCAATATCTTCTTCCGCCAAAGCCCGCATTTCAGCGTCATCTTCAGCCAGAATGGCCTGGCTGTCTTCAAGGTCTGTTTCCAGTTTCTGTACGTCTCGATAGCACAAAACAACCGGTTCCAGCTCCGCAAATTCACGTGATAACCCGGCGAATTTTTCTCGATCTGCCATGACCTCAGGATCGGACAGCAGCGCGGAAACTTCTTCAAAACGGTCGTTCAAGCCGGCCAGCTTGTAGACCATAGACTCGGTGAGGGCCATCGGCGTTATTCTTCTTGGTTTTTGATTTGATCGGGGTCGGTGTCGACATCATAAAGAATGCGCAGGTAGTCGAGCAGGTCAGCTCGACCGTCTGCACTGGCGTCACGGATAGCCATGGTCGGGGCGTGTATCAACTTGTTAGTCAGATCGTTGCTCAGGCGCTCCAGCACTCGCTCCGGGTCGGTGCCGCGCTGTAAATCTTTTTTGGCCCGCGACAGAGACTCCGCCTGTATGGTTTTCGCCTGATCGCGAAATGCCCGCAGCAGGGCCTGGTCTTTCTGCACTCTGCTTTCGCGTAAAAACAGCTTGGCCCCTTGGTGGACAAAGGTTTCTGCGGAGGCTGCAGCCTGTCGTCGTTGGGCGATATTGCCTTCAATAATCGCGGATAGATCATCGATTGTGTACAGGTAAACATCGGGCAATTCACCAACACCGGCTTCAATGTCTCGCGGTACAGCAATGTCCACCATGAATATCGGGCGTCGGCGTCTCAGTTTGATGGCTGCCTCAGCCGCGCCTTTTCCAACAATGGGTAGTGAGCTGCCAGTCGAGCCAATCACGATATCGAATTCAGCTAACCGCTCAGCAACATCGGTCAACTGCATATAATCGGCTTCGTACTTTGCAGCCAGCAGTTCAGCGTTGACCAATGTACGGTTGGCAATCGCCATGTGGCCTATACCCTGGCTGGCGAGGTGTTCCGCTACCAGGCCGATGGTTTCGCCGGCACCTAACAGAAGTGCACGTTTGGAGCTCAGGTCACTGAATATCTGCTGTGCTAAGGAAACGGCGGCGTATGCCACTGAAATCGGATTGCGGCCGATATCTGTCTGGGTGCGGACTTCTTTTGCGGTGCGCAGAATAATTTGTGACAGCAGTCCCAGTTCCGGGCCCATGGTGCCGCAGGCGCGTGCCGTCTCGTAGGCGGCTTTGACCTGCCCCATAATTTGCGGCTCACCCAATACCTGGCTGTCGAGGCCTGCGGCTACCCGAATCTGGTGCCTGGCTGCGTCCTGATCCCAATGTGTGTATGAGGCATCTTGTAATTCACTGGTTGATACTGGCCGATAGCGGCTCAACCAGGCGGCCAGGTCGGGTTCCGCCTCGGGATGCAGCGCACAGTACAGCTCAGTGCGATTGCACGTAGAGATGATGGCCGCTTCCTGCACGCCGGGCACGTCGCGCTTAACCTGAACTAAGGCATCGGTGACGTAGTCTTCCGGGAAAGCCACGCGCTCACGCAGCTCGACGGAAGCCGTGCGATAGTTTAAACCGTATGCCAATATGCTCATTGCGTGGAAAATGGACCCGAAGTAGGGCGGATGATAGCAGATTGTGGACAGAACAACTTAGTAGCTAAGTCTCTAATTTTAAACAGCATTTTGTTGACGTTTTTGCTAGCGGGCTGTGTTGCCAAACCGCTTGTACCGCCGGACGAGCTGAATTTTCAGATTTTAGGCAAAATTGGCGTCAAACAGGACGGCGAAGGCTTTTCGGCTAATTTTGACTGGCGGCAGCACAGTCAGGCGCGCTACGAGATCGATGTGTGGGGTCCTTTGGGCCAGGGGCGGACACAACTCAAGGGAGACCAGAGGGCTATGCAAGTCAGCCGTGGCGAGCAGATACTGGCTCTGGGGCAGCCTGAAGAGGTCATGTTGGCCCATCTGGGCTGGTCTCTGCCGCTGGATGTGCTGCCAGCCTGGATTCGCGGGGAGCCCGCTGCTCAGTACCGTTACGATACGACAGGCCGCGATGAACAGGGCAGGTTTGTCGAATTTACCCAGGCTGGTTGGGTGGTTTCTCTGAGCCGTTACGATCAGCGCGATGGCTTAACTACGCCCGGGCGCATCAAAGCCAGTCAGGCGGATAAGACCATTACGGTGGTTGTGCGTGAATATCTGCAATAAACCGTCGATTTCAAGCTTTTGGGATACCTGCAGCGTCTGCCGCATTCGTTTGACACTGGGGGTGCTGATCAGCACAATAGCGCGCTCGAAAAATTGGGGTGTCGCCAAGCGGTAAGGCACCGGGTTTTGATCCCGGCATGCGCAGGTTCGAATCCTGCCACCCCAGCCATACTCTGCAAAGATCCAGTATGTTCACACGCATAATTATTAGCGGGAGAAACAATCTTGGCTAATTTGATGCTTTTTGCCGGTGGCGCTAATCCGGAACTGGCGCGGCGCGTAGCAAAAAAGTTGCGGGTGGAACTGGGCAGAGCGGACGTGGGTCGGTTCAGTGATGGCGAGGTCATGGTCGAAATTCATGAGAACGTCCGCGGTCACGATGTGTTCCTGTTGCAATCAACATGTGCGCCGACAAACGACAGCCTGATGGAACTGCTGATCATGGCTGATGCAATCAAGCGTGCATCTGCCACTCGGGTCACCGCGGTGATTCCGTATTTTGGCTACGCTCGACAGGATCGTCGGCCGCGATCGGCGAGAGTCTCGATCAGTGCAAAAGTGGTTGCGGACATGATAGGTGCGGTGGGTGTGGATCGAATCCTGACCGTGGATCTGCATGCTGACCAGATCCAGGGATTTTTTAATATTGCAGTAGACAATGTTTACGGTTCGCCAGTACTGGTCGACCATGTCTCTGCGCAGGGATACAGCAACCCGATAGTGGTATCGCCAGACGTTGGCGGTGTGGTTCGAGCCAGAGCCATTGCGAAACAGATTGACGATCTGGATCTGGCCATTATTGATAAGCGGCGTCCACAGGCCAATGAATCGAAGGTCATGAACGTTATAGGTGACGTCCGGAGTAAAGTCTGCATTCTGGTAGACGACATTGTTGATACGGCGGGAACGTTGTGCACCGCTGCCCAGGCGTTAAAAGATGAAGGTGCGGCGCAGGTAGTGGCTTATATCACGCATGCGGTTTTGTCCGGACCTGCAATCGAGCGAATTGCTGATTCGCAGATCGACCAGATGGTGGTCACCGATACCATCCCGCTCAGTGAAGCGGCACGAGCGTGTCAGAAAATCACGCAGTTGAGTTTAGATAGCTTGCTGGCCGAATCGATTCGGCGGGTGAGTAATGAAGAGTCTATATCAGCTATGTTCAGATAAGCGGTTCTAATCGGACCCGCGCTGAACAAGACTGAGATAGACACAACTGTCCGTTTGGTTGGTCGCAGATCAGACGGATTTATTAACTTGAAGGAGAAGCGAATGTCAGATGTATTAGAACTGACTGCTGAGCTCCGTACAGACGTAGGGAAAGGTGCGAGCCGCCGCCTGCGTCGTGCGGGTAAAAGAGTTCCGGCAATTATTTATGGTGGCGAAGAGTCCCCCCAGAACCTGACCCTGGCTGTGAACCAGCTGGTTAAGGTGATGGAACAGGAAACTTTTTACTCGCAGATCTTAAACGTCGTTGTTGATGGTCAACCTACCAAGGCGGTTGTACGCGATCTGCAGCGTGATCCTGCGTCGAACAAAGTGCACCACGTGGACTTTCAACGCATTGACATGTCCAAAGTCATGCACGCGACAGTGCCAATCCACTTCATTAACGAAGACAACTGTGTCGGCGTAAAAATGAATGGCGGTAGCATTCTGCACAACATGACCGATGTTGAGATCAGCTGTCTGCCGACAGATCTACCTGAATACATTGAAGTGGACATGAAGGATGTAGATGTTGGCTATTCCATACATCTTTCTGGTCTGGCTTTACCAGCGGGTGTCTCCTTGTTGGCGTTCTCTCACGGCGATGATGATCAGGATCACGATATCCAGGTCGTGAGCGTGGAAGTCCTGCGTGGCAGCGAAGCGGCAGAAGACGAAGATGCTGTAGAGCCAGCTGGCGAAGTTCCAACTGTCGCTGACGACGATAAAGACAACGCAGACGACGAGTCTTAAGCAAGCCAGTGGGTCTGTGATGAACATATCCACTGCGGCTTATGTCTGCCATTAGACTGATAGTTGGCCTCGGTAACCCCGGTGCCAGCTATCAAGCCACTCGGCATAACGTTGGTGAATGCTGGGTGCGTGAGCTGGCCGAGCGTTTTGCAATCACTCTGGCGTCGGAAACTAAATTCAAAGGTGACATCGGGCGTGGAGATATCCTCGGTCATGATGTGCGATTGCTCATTCCCACAACCTATATGAATCTCTCTGGAGACTCGGTGGGTGCTGTACAGCGCTTCTTTAAGATTCCGCCGGAGTCGATTCTTGTTGTTTATGATGAAATGGCTTTTGTGCCAGGGGTCGTGCGCCTGAAACAAGGTGGTGGTGACAACGGTCATAATGGCATCAGAAGCGTGCGTTCCGGACTGGGAAACAATCCCGATTTTATGCGCCTGCGTATTGGTGTTGGTCACCCTGGTAGTCCTTCAAAGGTGACCGCTTATCTCACGCAACAGGTAATGCCTTTGGATGAGCGTATTGAAGTTGAGCGGTGCACGGCATTTGACGACGATTTATTAAATAACATTCTGCAAGGCAATTGGCAGCAGGCCATGAACGTCTTGCATGCAACCGGAGAATCCTAGTGGGCTTTAAATGCGGCATTGTTGGTATGCCTAATGTGGGTAAATCCACTTTGTTTAATGCATTAACCAAAGCGGGTATTGACGCTGAAAATTTCCCTTTCTGCACCATCGACCCCAACACGGGTATTGTGCCGGTTCCAGATCCTCGTCTGGAAAAGCTTGCGGAGCTTGTACATCCAGAAAAGATTGTGCCCGCGACCATGGAGTTTGTGGATATTGCAGGGCTCGTTGCCGGCGCGGCTCAGGGTGAAGGGTTGGGTAACAAATTCCTTGCGCATATCCGCGAAACAGATGCGATTGCTCACGTCGTCCGATGTTTTGACGATGACAACGTGGTGCACGTGTCAGGAAAAGTTTCGCCGAAAGACGATATCGAAATCATTAACACAGAGCTTGCACTTGCGGATCTGGAAACGCTGGAACGGGTTTACGATCGTAATCGCAGAGTGTCCAGCTCTGGTGATAAAGCCGCGCTGGCGATGCTTCAGATTCTCGACAAGGTGAAGGACAAACTGGAAGCAGGTTTGCCAGTACGATCGGCGGGTTTGACAGATGATGAAAAACTGGCGATACGCGAGTTTCACTTCATCACCAGTAAACCGGTCCTGTACATCGCCAATGTGGCGGAAGATGGTTTAACCGATAATCCGCTGGTCGACATTGTGAGAGATATTGCTGAGCAGGAGCATGCTGAAGTGGTTGTTGTCAGCAACCAGATCGAGTCGGAAGTGGCTGAGCTTGATGATATTGAGCGGGCAGAGTTTCTCGAAGATCTGGGTATTGAAGAGCCGGGCTTGAACCGGGTAATACGCGCAGGGAACAAGTTGTTAGGCCTGCAGCAGTACTTCACCGCCGGACCTCTGGAAGTGAGGGCGTGGACTATACCCATAGGCGCAAAAGCGCCAAAAGCAGCCAGCGTTATTCACACAGATTTTGAGAAAGGTTTCATTCGTGCCGAGGTGATCAGCTACGATGACTTTGTTACCTACAAAGGTGAACAAGGGGCTAAAGACGCCGGTCGCTGGCGCCTGGAAGGTAAGGAATATGTTGTCGCCGATGGCGACGTTGTGCACTTTCGCTTTAACGTATAAGCAAAGCAGGGAGGCCCCGGATCAGATTTCGTCCGGGGTGTTCACGAACAGTGCGATAAGCGCAATCATACCGCCATAGCGAAATGCGGAATCCAGTACAGGGCCGCGCATAACATCTGAACGCCACAGCTCGTACCAGGTTTCGGCGATGACAATAAAGCCCCCAAACAACATGAACAACGCTATCGCACAGCCGCTCAAGGCTAGCTGTTTGCTGCGTTGAAATTCCGCTGTGCTGGCGCGCCGCGCGCGCCACATCTGCCTGCTACCCGCCAGACAGAGTCCACCGCTGATAATCTTGCTGACAACGATAAATAAAGCACCCAGCCAGATTAGAATGTTGTTGGAGGTTGCCTGCCAGCTTTCGGCACCATCTTCGAACGTGGCCATTGAGGTTGCTGCGCCAACAGCGCCGAGTGTACCCTGCCAATCAGCAAAGTTCTGAAAAGCAGCAAGCAAACCCCAGCTGGCGACAACCAGAATCAGAAGCGTTTTTGTAATACGCAGCATGCTGAGGCCTGAAAATTATTTCTTGGCTTTCTTTTTCAGGCGCTTTTTCAGCTTTTTATTGGCTTTGCGCAGCGCCGCAATCTCATCCTGCAGGCTTTCTTTGGCGGATGCCTTTTTAGCTGAAAAATGTTCTTTACGACTTTTCAGAATCACTTTTTTACGGTCGAAGTTCGAATTGAAAACAGTCACCCCTTCAAGATTTTCGCTGCCGGTGTTGCACACGGCGTGAAACTTGCCGGCCGGTACAATCGCAACGGAACCAGGGCACAAATCGAACGTGTCGTTCTCGATTTGAATCTGTCCGTGGCCTTTCTGCACGATGAGCATCTCTTCGACTATGGTATGACTATGGCCAGCGTTGGCTTCTCCCGGTGCCATACACACGGCGACAAAACCCAGTTCGTTTAATTTGGCGGCACGTACCGCCCGCGCGGCTTCAAAGTCTGTTGAATTCAGTACGGTTTGCATGATTCGAGCGCCTTAGATTTGTTCGGTCGATTACTTTAGCGGCAAATTCCCGGAAAATCACGGCTATCTGTCTGTGTTACAGGCATAAAAAAAGCAGCGTTGAGAACAACGCTGCTTTTCGGTTCAAGCTTCGGTCTGTTTAGGACGTTGCTGCTTTTCGTGCCTTCACTTCTGTGATGACGCTTTCTGACACATTTGCCGGACACGGTGCGTAGTGTGAGAACTCCATGGAGAACTGACCACGACCAGACGTCATGGTGCGCAGGTCGCCAATGTAGCCAAACATTTCGGCCAGCGGACAATCAGCTTTGACGCGAACGCCGGTTACGCCCGCCTCTTGAGATTTGATCATGCCGCGTCGACGGTTAAGGTCACCGATAACATCACCAACATGATCGTCAGGTGTGAACACATCCACCTTCATCACAGGCTCCAGCAGCTGTGGTGAAGCTTTAGGAATACTCTGACGGTAGGCAGCTTTGGCAGCCAGTTCGTAAGCAATTGCTGAAGAGTCGACGGGGTGGAAACCACCATCAGTCAGCGTGACTTTGACGTCGAGCAGCGGGAAGCCGGCGAGGGTGCCTTCTTCCATGGAAACGCCAAAGGCTTTTTCAACTGCGGGCCAGAATTCCCGTGGTACGTTGCCGCCGGTGACCTTGGATTCAAACTCGTAGCCGCTGCCGGCTTCACCAGGCTCGATGATGTAGTCGATTTTCGCAAACTGACCTGCACCACCTGTCTGTTTCTTGTGCGTGTAGCTGTCTTCGATACGCGTGGTGATGGTTTCGCGGTAAGCAACTTGAGGTTTGCCCACATCCACATCGATACCGTGGGTTCGCTTCAAGATGTCTACTTTGATGTCCAGGTGTAATTCACCCATGCCGCGCATGATGGTTTCACCTGATTCTTCGTCAGTTTCAACATAGAAGGACGGGTCTTCAGCAATCATCTTGGACAATGCGATGCCCATTTTCTCCGCGCCAGCTTTGTCACGTGGCGCAATCGCCACGGAGATAACCGGTGCTGGGAATACCATCGGTTCCAGGGTTGCGGGTTTAACCGGATCACACAGGGTGTGGCCTGTCTGGGTATTTTTCATGCCCAGCAGCGCAACAATGTCACCCGCCTGAGCTGAATCCATCTCATTCCGCGAGTCTGCATGCATCTCCACGATCCGGCCGATACGCTCAGTTTTGCCGGTGAATGTGTTGAGGACGGTGTCCCCTTTAGCAATGCGGCCTGAGTAGATACGGGTAAACGTAAGTGCACCGTAACGGTCATCCATAATTTTGAACGCCAGCGCTCGCAGTGGGTAATCTGGATCGACAATGGCTTTACCGCCGGTTTCGTTACCTTCCAGATCTACTTCGGGTTGAGGCTCTACTTCCATTGGGTTGGGCAGATAATCGACTACACCATTCAGAACGTTCTGTACGCCTTTATTTTTGAACGCTGAACCACAGAATGTCGGGAAAAAATCTAATGCAATGGTACCTTTGCGGATACAACGCTTGATGTCATCAATTGAAGGCTCTTCGCCCTCAAGATAGGCTTCCATGAGGTCATCGTCCTGCTCAAGGGCGGTTTCCACCAGCTTTTCACGGAACTCTTCAACCTTATCTACCATGTCGGCAGGTACTTCTTTGATGTCGTAGGCTTCCGGATTGCCACTCTCGTCCCAGACGTATGCTTCGCGGGTCAGTACATCCACCACGCCGCAGAAATTGTCTTCTTCACCAATAGGCAAGGTCATAACCAGCGGTACTGCGCCGAGAACTTTTTCGACCTGATCAATAACGCGGTAGAAGTCGGCGCCAAGGCGGTCCAGCTTGTTGACAAAAATCAGGCGGGCAACCTCAGATTCGTTAGCGTAGCGCCAGTTGGTTTCTGACTGAGGTTCAACCCCGCCGGACCCACAGAATACGCCAACACCACCATCCAGTACTTTCAGCGAACGATATACTTCAATGGTGAAGTCAACGTGTCCCGGTGTGTCAATGATATTCAGACGGTGTCCATTCCATTCACACGACGTCGCAGCGGATTGAATCGTAATCCCGCGCTCCTGCTCTTGTTCCATGAAGTCGGTGGTTGCTGCACCATCATGAACTTCGCCGGTTTTATGGATTTTACCGGTGAGTTTAAGGATGCGTTCGGTCGTGGTGGTTTTACCCGCATCCACGTGTGCAAAGATGCCGATGTTCCGATAGAGCGCTAAGTCAGTCATGTTGGTTCTCTAAAAGTCTCTTTATGGGTAGCTCTCGCAACGTAACTTATTGATAAATAAGGATATTTTAATAGAGCAGAATTCTCGAGCGCGTACCTTACCATTGAACGTGTTAAAGCTCACGTGAATTATTAGGCCAGTCTGCGCTCTAATTTAATGTCAGCTGTGCAGATCGGCATATACAGGAGCGTGATCGGAGGCGGTAAGGCCATCAAGCTTTTTGCGATAATCTCGATCTATGACCACTTCCCGGGTAGCTGCCACTGCTGCTTGAGTGCCGAGCAGAAAATCGATGCGCAGACCGTGTTTACGGTGGAATGCGCCCCCTCGATAGTCCCACCATGAAAAGGCCTGTTCTTCAGGATAAAGATGGCGATAGAGGTCGGTCAGACCGGTATCCATGACAGCCGCAAAACGTTTGCGCTCATCCTCTGTGTAAAAAATGGTACCTGCGCCGGCCTCACCACGCCAGCCGTCAAGTGCGGTTGGCACAATGTTGAAATCTCCGCATAGAACACGCTTGGGGTGATCGCCCGCAGACCAGTGTGCAACCAGGCTGTCATACCAGGCCAGTTTGTTTGCATAGTCGTCATGTTGCAGCGACTTGCCATTGGGGCAATAGACCGTGGTGAATTCAATCCCGCCGTCAATCTCTGCCGTAATCAAACGTGCGCCCCAGTCCTCCTGGCCTGGCAGCCCGACCTGGCGTAATTCTGCGTCTACATTTGTCAGAATGGCTACGCCATTCCAACTCTTCTGCCCGTGTACAAGGGCCTTGTATCCGAGCGCTTCGAATTCCTCATGCGGAAAGTCTTCTGTGGGTGTCTTCAGCTCCTGCAAGCCGACGACATTGGGTTTTCGGTCTGCAAGCCAGAGCTTCATGAAGTCTAATCGGGCGCGTAGCCCATTGATGTTCCAGGTCGCTATTCGCATGTTGTGTTTGTGCCAGTCCCGGCGGGTCATTTTTCGAACCGGCACAATACCGCAAGCAAGCCGTCATTGTCTCTCACCAGGTTGAGGCCGGTTGCCTCGCCTGCAAATTCAGGCGGATAATGCGCCGCTTATGCCGCACCGCTGTACTACTCATGTTGTCTAAAATTGTGCTTCGAGACCCCGACGAAGGGTGCTGGTATGTCTATGAGCATCCGGTTCAGGTGGTCTCCACAACCTGTCTGGCAGACGTTGAAGCCACTTTGCAGGTGGTCGAGGACCTGGTTGACAAGCAGGGGTGGTATGCCGCTGGCTTTGTGAGTTACGAGGCTGCTGCAGGGTTTGATGCAAAGCTGGAAACGCAACAGCCGGATTCGCTGCTGCCTCTGGTGTGTTTTGGTTTATTTGCTGCGCGTGTTCCACTGCAGAGTTTGACCAGTGAAACAGATTCGAGTGCAGACGCCGTCAGCAGTATTCGGGAGGCGCCAATAAACTGGCAGATGGTAGATACACCGGACAGCTACAAGACACGGGTAGAGTTGATCAAACAACATATCGCTGCCGGCGAAACCTACCAGGTCAACCTCACCACCCAACTACAGGGTGATGGGCAGGTGAACTTTGCCACTTTCTGCCGGATAGCCCGTGATGCACCCTACGGCGCCTATATCAGCGCTGCTAACTTTGACATCGTTTCAGCATCCCCTGAACTCTTTTTCCAGTGTGATCGGGATACGGTGACCTGCCTGCCGATGAAAGGCACCGCACCTCGCGGGTTCAGTGCAATGCAGGATCAACGCCAGGCGCAGTGGCTGCAAAACTCGGTAAAAAACCAAGCCGAAAATCTGATGATTACCGATATGGTGCGTAACGATCTGGGGCGGGTTGCGCTGCCTGGCTCGGTTGTGACGTCAGAGCTGTTTGATGTGAACGCTTTTTCAACAGTTTGGCAAATGACGTCCACAGTCACCGCGCAAACGCCCCTCGGTGTGACCGATCTGTTTCGCGTCCTGTTTCCGGGTGCCTCCATAACCGGGGCGCCAAAGCGGGCCAGCATGGCGTTTATCCAACAATATGAAACAACTGCGAGGGCAGTGTATACCGGCGCGATCGGGATGCTGGCGCCTGGTCGTATTGCTCGATTCAGTATCGCTATTCGCACCGCGTGGTCTGATAAGAAGAACAATAGAAGTTTTTATGGTGCCGGTTGCGGTATCGTTTGGGATTCTGATGCGGCTGCAGAATTGCGGGAACTGCAACTGAAAACTCAAGTGCTTGCAACGCAGCGGCAGGAATTTCGGTTGATAGAAACCATGCGCTGTACACCTGACGGTATTTTTATGCTGGACGGACATCTTGCCCGTCTCCAGAACAGCGCTGATTACTTCAGCTTTGTCTGCGATCAGCATGCAATAAAAGCAGAGCTGGCAGCTCTGCGTGTAGATCATCCCGTGAAAGTGCGTTTGACGCTGGCTCGAGATGGTCGCGTTGATATTGAAGTTACAGAAATTCCCAGCAACCCCTCACCACAGCCAATAATGCTGACGCCGAAAGCTGTTGATACCCAGCAACCCTGGCTCTATCACAAAACAACCTGTCGTGAGGTTTATGACGCGGCAAGCAGTCAGGTGCCAGATGGGTGTGAAGCAGTGCTGGTCAACAGCGCGGGGTTTGTTACCGAATCTGTTATTGCAAACGTTGTTTATCAGCTGGATGGGAAATTATTTACCCCACCCGTTGATGACGGCTTGTTACCCGGCGTCTTACGTACGGCTGAAGTTTCTGCAGGAAATGTGGTTGAGCGCTCGCTTCAGATTTCACACGTCGATGAAGTTGAACGATGGTTCCTTGTAAATACACTGCGGGGCTGGCGTGAAGCAAGCTTTCGTAAGGCAGCAAACTCGCCTTGAAAGCTTGATTGCCTGGGGCGACAGCGCGTCCTGGCTAGGACGCCAGGGCAATGTTTGCGGGTTCACGGAAGTCTTTGCGGCCGGGTATGTAGGTCGCTATCCTGGGCACTTCGCGCAGTGTGATACACATGTCTTTTAAACCGCGTTGTTCGGCGTCGCGTTCAACCAGGTTGCAAATTTCACGCGCCACATTGGCGCCAGTGACACATTGCAACATGCCATATTCCTCGTTGATACGCGCGCCGGCCAGATAGGCATCTGCACCAGCGGCGTTAAAACGTGCGTAAGCAATATTCAGTCCTGGCGCGCCAGCATCTAAAAGCATATCCATGACCATTGAGCATTGTTCTCGTTTGGCCCAGGCAGACAGGCAAACCTGCTCTTTTGCCTGTGTGGTTTCTGTTCGCAGAACGTCTACACCCACGCCGCGTCCCTGGCCACCGATATTAAACACAGACTGATCTCGCCAGTGCGTATGACCACTTAAGTGGTCGATGGCATTAATGATCTGCTGCATGTTGGCATCGTAGTGGTGATGAGAAATTCTACTGGGCAGGTTGAACATGCCACGATCGATTTTCAGTCGATACATGAATCCCCGGCCCGGCAAGTGCAGATCTCCTGCTTTAGCCATCGCTTCGAAGACACCGTCGGCATCGCTTTCTTCGGTGATCACCATCATCACCTCTTTTTCGTGTTCTTTGGTAATGCGCAGCCAACCCAGTCGGTCACGCAGGCCGCGTCCCTCACAGTAGTAAACAACCGGGCCATGTGTCCCTGAATTGATAGCTGCTTTGGACACGCGATCAGCATTATTGTGCCCCACTATGGCCAGGATGATGCTGAGGTCTTCGGTAAGGCTGTGTTGACTGCTTGTTACCCCTGCACCTTCACGACCAGGCCAGACGTGGAATTCGGAGCCCAGGTATACAGAATCACAAGGCGTACTGAATACTGCGCCAGTGGCCTGCTGGTGGAGGCGCCCGGTTTCAACAATGGTGCTCACAAGTCGCGCCACGTCCGCATCGGGTACAAGCATCTGCAGCATGGTTTTTGCCGGGCTGATGGGTGGCAGCCAACGCTTCCACCAGTGATCCTGTAACAACGTGCCGCGTGCTTTCCAGACCAGTGCGCTGGTGCCCGGGTCTTCAAGTACCACCGGCAAAACGCTGTTTGTATTTGCGTTAGGCAGGATGGCTGTAACAATCGAGAATTTGTCGCCATTTGCGAACATCAGGTTGCCTCCGCTTCGATCAGTTCGGCATCATCAGCTGATACCTCAGCAGTGTTGTCCCGCTGGCTGTATTGGGTATACAAACCCACCGTTAAAACTGTCAGGATCGGCCCCACGGATGCCAGTGCCAGAATGCCGAACCCATCGGCAACGCCAGGTACGTTGGCACCCACGCCGAGCCCCATTGCCAGAACTAACGGTACAGTTATGGGGCCGGTGGTTACACCTGCACTGTCCCAGCTGAAGTTGACAAAGCTATGAGGCGATATCCAGGTCAAAACCAGAACTAACAGATAAGGTGGAATCAGCATCCATATAAGGGGAAGGTTATAGGCCATTTTAAATATGCCGGCCGCGATCCCGAAACCGACCCCAACGGCAACACTCTGCATGAGCAGTTTTTTGCGGAAGGCGCCGACCGTAATTCGTTCAACCGTATCACCCAGTGCATTCAGTGCAGGTTCGGCCAACGTTGCACCATAGCCGAGGAAAAAGGCGAAACCGATGGCAACAAATTTGCCCCAGTGATCGCTGAATAATGGGCCTTCAACGTGGTCGAGTCCCCAGGGTAATATCTCTGCAAACGCAACAGGCACGTTGCTGCCCAGTTGACCACCCAGTGGTGTTAAACCCAGAGCAATACCCAGGCCAAACAAGGTCATGCCGGCAAAAGCAAACAGAACTCCGATACCGACGTCGTTGCGCGGCGCCAGCCGCTGGCGTAATACCAGCCGCAGCACGATATACAGGAACAGACACAGAGGGATGATGGCGCGCAGTGCATCCATTCCCGCGGCGCTGAGTTTGTCTGAAAAATTGCTTTGTTCGTCCCAGGTCTGATCGCTGAGGACTTCGAAGTCGCGCTGATACAATTTCTTGATGGTCAGATCAGGTCTCTCAACGGTTATAACGCCGTTATCCAGTTCTGCTGAACCGCCATGAAATTCAAGCACATATCCTTGAGGTAACTTGCCGCTGCGCAGGTATTCGGCGTATTCATCTGAATCGATGGGCTCAAGACTTTTTTCCAAGGTAGGTGTGCTGTTGTTGTTCTGAGCAGCTGTTTCAATTTCTGTGGAGCCTGTGTAGTTGGCTGCTCCCCAGTAGTCTTGTTGGGCATAGTGGAGCAGCGACAGGCACAGCACGGCAAGAATGGGAAACAAAGAAGCCAATGTGACGATTCCAAAACCGGAATGTCCACCACTGCCATTGCCGCTGCTGACAACACGACAGACACCTATGCCCAGGGCCAGTACCAGAGGAACAGTAACCGGTCCGGTGGTAACAGCGCCGCAGTCCCAGGCTAAACCCAGCACGTCAGCTAACACAGGCACGCGAGAAAAATAGAACGACAGCGCCAGTAACAGGCCGACAACAGGTATTGCCAGATATTTGAGCGGCCAGGCAAAAAAGAAGCGTAAGACACCAATCATCACGGCTAAGCCCACGCCAACGCCAACTGAGCCGACAAGCTGACCGGAGAAGTCGTTTAACAAGCTGTATAACAAAGGTGCCTGGTCTGGTTTTACACCTGCACCCGCTGCTTTGAGCACCGCGATGGCGGGTTCGGCAAAGGTGGCGCCAACACCAAGCAGAAAGGCAAAAAGAAGAATCACAGGCATGCGGCTGTTTTTGGGCAGAATCGAACCAATCTCTTCTCCCAGCGGCATAAGGCCCAGGCGCAGGCCTTCCATGAAAAACATGAGGCCGACAGCCACAACAAATATGCCGATCGCAATCATGGCGGCATAAACGATGGGTAACTGCAGAATCAGCAGCTGAAAAATAATCAGATACGCGACAATGAACCAGATACCTTCTACCTGATTCATGAAATTGCGTTTTACATATGGCCATAGGATACGCAGCGTATCGCGGGCGCCCAGTTTAAATCTGGGGTTGTCCATCATGTCTGCCATTTGCCTTCCATTGCTTTCAGCTCTCTCAAGGTGTATCGGCACCATTACGAAAGACTTGAGGCGATCGTCTAAGGGGTTTCTGCAATAGCGTGATGTTGATGTTCGCGCTACTCTCATAGCTGAATTTGAGAACCAGAAAGTCGGGAGAGTTGTGCCAGATGGATATACAAAAAATCATCACAGTCTTAGATAAACCCAAACATGATCAAGTGGCCTGGCGCCGGACTCTTGCGCTACAGAAAGTCAGTGGTGCAGCGGCGGAAGTGGTTTCTTTTTCCTGGAATGCAATGTGTGAGAGTTCATCAGGTTTGTCGGCAGATGAGCGGCGTAAACTCCGTCATTCACTGGTAGAAGAGCGCAAAGCCTGGTTGGAAGACCTGGTTGCAGGCCATTCGGTACGCAGTCGCACGATATGGACACATGATATTGCGCGCTGGGTTATTGAAGAAGTAGAAAAGAAAAAGCCTGATCTGGTGGTTAAGACGGTGCACAAATCAGGTTCTCTGGTGCACACACCGATTGATTGGCAGCTTCTGCAGGACTGTCCAGCACCTGTTCTGCTCACCACAAAAAGGCGTCGAAATTCAAACCGTGTGGTCATGGCGGCAATTGATCCACGTGCGACTGATACCAAGCATCGTCACCTCAATTGCAATGTGCTTGAAGCGGCCCATCGTTACGCGGCGTTGCACGATGCGCAGGTGCACGTTGTCTTCGCAGTAGAAGTTTCCAAGGTACTGCTGGATCTGGATATTATTGGCGAGCGAACCAGCAAAAAGAAAGTTGTCGAAAAAGTCACGCCGGAACTCGATCGTTTACTTGCGCCTTATAAAATTCCCAAATCGCGTATTCATATGCCGGTTGGCAAAGCTGGCGCGGTAGTGGCGCAAACGGCGCGTAAGTACAAAGTAGATACGCTGGTGGTTGGCACGTATGCCCAGCGAGCACGACGGGTGGTTGGGCTGGGTAATACGGCACAACGCATTGTGACTAAATCTGCGTGTGATGTACTTGCTGTACATCCCTGATTACGGGTATTGATATACCGCGTAGGGAGGGACCCAAACCTGATAGGTGGGTTCCAGAAAAGATGTGATGTCGATGAGCTGCTGTATTGACATCACCTCGTTGTAAACCGGCATGCGCGATTGGCCTTCTGGTGTAGTTGTCATCAGGTTAGTGCCGCGTGATAAACGGTGTGATGGATTGATGATTGAAGTAACCAGGTCGTCGTAGGTTTTTACGCGACTGACAGTGCCCCCAAGTTCAACGTGAATTGCACCGGGTGTGAGAGGCGCATGTTCAATCTGATTGGTAACGCTGTGGCAGCTGTTGCATTTTAGTTCGGTGAACGCCTGCTTGCCCGCAGCTTTGTCACCAGGCGGAAGAACAAACTCTTTGCGCTCGCAACCGGCGGCGGCCAGCAGGGTCGCGATAAGCATGATCAGGGCTCGATAACCGAACCTGGTGTTGATTAAGTCAGGCATAATGGTTCATTCATATGGTTTTACCTGCAAGTTAGCGTGTGATATCCATCTGGCATATAGGGGATAAGCGTCTGCGCCTACGTAGAATTGCGCATCCGCACGGTACTAGAGTTTTGTTTGTATAGACAATTGAATCACGCGCAGAGTCTTAAGGGTCACGCATGCGAAAAATAATGATGTTCACTTACGTGATTGTACCTCTGCTTCTGCTTGCAGCGTGCCAGACACCAATGCAGACGGGTAATCAATGTGTCGTTGCCCCAGGGTTTCTGGCTGGGCAATCCACATTCACCTGGCGAGCAGATAAACCCATAGACGTGAATGACGGCACAGGTTACATCAGTCCACTCATGGAGCGCGGCCTTGCTGATGCGGTTATTGCGGAGTTATCCAGCAAAGGTTTCAGTTTTGTTGAACGCATTCCGGATGTCAGTGGCCTTGTCGATCAGCCCGCGGATATCGAGGTTGCACTGACTCTGCGCACCCGCCGCGAACTGGTATCCGTCACAGTAAACAATTCTCCTTGTCTGGACGCAGACTGCTGGGAGCGCATCGATCCGGGTTCCAGTACCCGGATGGATACACGCACGGTTGGTTTTATGGCTGCGGACGTTTATTTTGCGGGCGAGCCGATCTGGCGTGGCTGGGTTGAACGCGACCTGTTTCCTCAGGACCGGGATGCTGCTAAAGAGGTTATCAGCGAGTCGGTGCCCGCATTATTTGAATCTTTTCCACCCTGATCGTTAGTATTTTATGCAAAATGTTTTGGCAGGCTGGTTTAGCCTGGGTACTCAAGGAGCACACCTGAAGTGAAAAAAGTTTTAGTCGCGATCGAGTTGTCCGATGACGTTGCTCACTTTGTTATCGGTAAGGCGCTTGATGTTTGTGGTCCGCAAGCTCAGCTGGAAGTGGTTCATGTGGTGGACCCTGCTTCGGTAACCTACAGTGTTGATCCAACCATGACCGGGCAGATGTATCAGCAGATGTTTGAGCAGGTTATGAGTACCAGTAAACGCCGACTTGCTGAAATTTGTGCACCATTTGCCATTTCGACGGATCGTCAGCATGTGCGTTATGGCCGGGTTGCGCATGAAGTTCACGCCTTGTTGACGGAAGGCGAATTTGACGCCTGCATGGTTGGATCTCACGGCTACGCCGGATGGCGCAGGTTGCTGGGGTCAAAGGCGAACGCTATTTTACACGGCACGCCAGTCGACACCTGGGTGTTCAGCCTTGCACAGATGCAGGTCGAATCTACCAGCTAGGACGGATAGTCTCGTTTCAGTGCGATCCGCTGGAGAAAAAAACCAGCAGCAACATGTCTTCCTGAATCTCGAAAAAAGAATGTTCCTCCGCGGCACGGATGTATAACACCATGCCGGGTGTCACTTCTTTAACTTCGTCGCCCACCTTGAGCTGTGCATGTCCTTCAATGACGTAATACAACTCATCTTCATCGTGTGGGGTCTGCATGTCTTTCGAGCCTGCGCGCAGCCGGTAAAGACCGCAGTGCATTGCTGGTACATTGAGAAACTGGCTGTAACTCACTGGCGCATCTTCGCTCAGCTGCGCCTTGAGTGTTTTGATATCGAATATATCCCAGCCGGAATCTGCCATTTATGTGCCCCCAGGAGCTCTGCTGATCTGATGTAAGCCCAGTTGCCTGGGCTGAAGTTACGCTAGTAGGTGTACTCTGGCGCAGGTCCAAAGTCCCACAATAGTACGGTAACCGTCAACAGGCCGACAAAAGAAACCAGAGCTACTGCAAACACCGCGCTGGCGTACAGAAACCCCCGATCCCGAGCGATGCGCATCACCGGGCCTACGCCTGCATAGAGCAGGTAGATACTGTAAATGGCAACCGCCAGACCGATGATAATGTCGACCCACAACACCGGGTACAGACCGAGCAGACCCGAAACAAAAAAAGGCGTAGCTGTGTAACTGATCAGCGTCGCACCTTCTTTGAGGCCTGCGGGCTCACCGTAGGTGGTGGACATCCACTTGACCATCAAGCCGAGAAACAAGACGCCCAGAACACAGGCAAAGAAAAACATGATGCACATGGGTAATGCGCTTGCAGTAGTGAGCCGCATAGTGTCACCTGCGACTTCCCAGCCATACTGAGTGACGCCGACGTACCAGCAAGCGGCCGGGATGATCGATAATGGGATGGTGTGCAAACACAAAACTTTTGCGGCGCTGGGCGCGGCGTCAGCGATGGCTTGCCACGCCTTATTGGGCGCATACAACAGCCAGAGTCCGTGGATCAGTGTTTTCATTGTTTATCGCTCCCCGTGTCGTCCATCAGTATATCCATAGCCTGCTTGTCTAAATCATCAAACTGGCGATTGTTTACCGCCCATATAAAAGCCCATCCAGCAAGGCCCACCAGAACGATGGACAGTGGAATGAGTAGCACCAGAATTTCCATAAGTACGGCCCTTTAGTGTTTGGTTAGCGGCGTATTTAAGATCCGCGTTGCATTAAGCATCACGATCAGTGAGCTTGCTGACATACCCAGTGCCGCAGCCCACGGTGGGGCATAGCCGAAAGCGGCCAGAGGTATCGCGATAAGGTTGTATCCCAATGCCCACAGCAGGTTTTCATGCATAATTTTCTGTGTGCGGGAACCGATGTTGAAAAAGTCAGTAATCGCTCCCAGGCGGCGCGTCAGTAGCATGACGTCTGCTTTGGATTTCACCAGATCTGATGTCTCCATGGTGGCAACCGATATATCAGCGCTGGCAAGTGCTGGCAGATCATTAACACCATCGCCAACGTACATCACCCCACCTGTGTCGCGCTGTGCAGCTTTCAGTACTTCGGGTTTAGCTTCGGGCAGGCTGGTGGCAATAAAATTTATACCAACCTGCTGTGCCACGGCGGCACAATTTTCCGGGTTATCTCCGCTGAGCATCTGAACCGCCAGGCCGCGTTTTTTCAGGTCCGCGATGGTGCCTTCAGCATCTTCCCGAATTTCGCTCGTCAGGTGAAAAATTGCCGCAGGAGTGTTGTCCACAGACAGGTAAACAAGTTTGTTTGCTGAACTCGGGTGGGGGATGAAACCACAGAACTCGGCGCTGCCGATACGCACCTGGCGTCCATCGAGTTCGCCAGATACACCGTGTCCGGTAGTGATAAGAATTTCTCTGGTGGGTACAACAGTGTTTCTCTTAAAGGCTTGAGCAAGCGGGTGAGAGGAGTGGGCCTGTAACCCGGCCGCCCAGTCGAGACAATCATTCTGATCAAAACCACCCAGTACTTCGACCCGCTCAATTCTAGGTCGCGGATGGGTCAGCGTGCCGGTCTTATCGAAAAATACTTGTGTCAGGGAACGTGTGATCTCCAGAGCGCGGCTGTTCTTAACCACAACGCCACCCTGCCGCAGGCGCGTGAGCGCGGCGGTCAGCGCGGCGGGTGTTGCCAGTGAAAGCGCACAAGGGCAGCTCACGACCAGCACCGCCAGTGCTGCAGAAAGTGCTTGCTCAGGCGAGATCTGCAACCATACCCAGTAAGTTGTTGCCGCGATCGCGAGGATGGTTGGTATGAAAATACGTGCGACGCGATCAGCTATCGATGCCAGAGAATGTTTGGCTTCGAGTGCGGTTTGTGCAAGCTGGTCAATCTCCGCTGCGCGGGAATGGGCCAGGTCGGCGATGACATTGAGTTGGAATGCGGCGCCGCGATTGAGAGTGCCGGCGTAAATCACATCACCGGTATTTTTATCCTGCCAGTCACTCTCACCTGTTAACAGAGCCTCTTCAAGTTTGGCGTGAGCGCTTACCAGGGTGCCATCGACGGGCACGTGTGCGCCTTCTTCTATCCAGAGTTGATCGCCCGCTGAAACCTGTATCAGAGCAGTTACAACATATTGTCCATCAACGATACGTAACGCGGTACGAGGCATATTAGCGAGCAGGCTGTCAGCTACACCAAGTCGTTGGCGAAGACGCTGCTCAAGGTAACGTGCGCCCAGCATCAGGAAAGTGAACATCACCACCGAGTCATAGTACACCTCACCACGGCCTTCGAGTGTGTGCCAGAGGCTGACCGAAAATGCGATCGTCACCGCCAGAGCGATGGGTGCGTCCATGTTCAGACCGTGCCGGATTGAGGTCAGTGCACTTCTGAAGAAAGGCACTGCTGAATAGACAACTACCGGTATACAGAAAATCAGCGCGGTGAATTCCAGCAGGCGGCGTATGCCTTCTTCCATGCCCTGGAACATCCCGGCATATAAAGCGCCCTGAACCATCATGACCTGCATCATGCCAAGTCCGGCTACGCCAAGGCGTTTGAGGAGTGTATGACTTTCGTTCCATACCATGGATGAATCGCCGGCAAGCTGAGGATGAAAGCCAGCCAGTTCTATCTGTTCGATTAAAGTAGCGCTCGGCAGAGTGTCAGCGTGGGTGACAAATACCTGACGTCTAACCGGGTTAAACTGCAGGTTCTCAATGTCGCGAAGGTGCGCAAGCGCGTTGCTGATCTTGTTACTGCAAGCGGCACAATGCATGTCGACAACACTGATCGTAGTTACGGTCATGGCGCAGAGCTATCCGATGATGTGTTTCCGACCGCGTTCTCATCGACTGTTTCGTTTTCAGCTGAAGAGCGCCAGCTCGTTTTTGACATCGGTGCCTGGTCGTCCAGAACGCTTTGATCGTTTGAGGTGAATGCAAAGTAGAACATAACGCCACCGAAGCAGACGCTGGCCAGTGGGATACAGATGACCAAAGCGATCATGAGGCGTTTCATCGTGGGCCTCCAGCGTTCATCGGACCTAAGAAGGTGGTCTTTTCGGTAATGCAGTTTTCATTGGATCCCTGACAAACCCTGATTTCAACTGGCGTGCTGCCTGGTTGGGGTGAATCAGCCAGCAGGCGAAGGGTCAAATTCTCAATTTCGCCAGCATGGACCATGGTCTCGTAATCGCGATCCAGTCTTACCCAGTCGGGCTGAACAAGTTCGAGCGTGTAACGGCTGTCCTGTTGTGACTTGTTCATGATCTTTAGCTGATAGTCGTTGCTGATGCTGCCGTCGGCCTGGGTTTGGAACAGTTGCCCACGCTCACGCAAGATGTCGAAGGCAAATGTTTCGCGGTCGAATACCATCACAACAAAGGCACTTATCAGTGCCAGGCAGACTACGGCGTAGCCCACTGTACGTCCGCGTAGCCAGTGAGTTTTTTGGCCTGCCAGCTCATGTTCTGTGGTGTAGCGTATCAGCCCTGGGGCATAGTCCATTTTCTCCATCACCTGGGCGCAGGCATCTATGCAATGAGCACAGCCGATACATTCGTATTGCAGGCCATCGCGAATATCGATGCCTGTTGGGCAGACCTGAACGCACAGTTGGCAGTCAATACAATCACCCAGTTGTTTCTGTTCAGTGTTACGCTTGCGGGATCCTCGTGGTTCACCGCGCGCAGCGTCGTATGAGACAATCAGAGTGTCTTTGTCGAACATTGCTGATTGAAAACGCGCATACGGGCACATGTACAGGCAGACCTGTTCGCGCAGCCAGCCAGCATTAATGTAGGTGGCACAGGTGAAAAACAGAATCCAGAGCGCCGCCCAGCCGCCGACTTCAAACTGCGCTATAGAAACAGTCAGCTCCCGAATCGGCGTAAAATACCCGACAAAGGTAAGGCCTGTTAGAAATGCCCAACCCAGCCAGAGTGTATGTTTAGCAGCGCGGCGTCGTAGCTTGTTCCAGGACATGGGTGCTTTTTCAAGGCGAATACGTTGATGGCGAGCACCTTCGGTGATTTGTTCCACCCACATGAAAATGGCGGTCCATACAGTTTGTGGACAGGTGTAGCCGCACCATATTCGCCCAACGATTGTGGTGACGGTGAACAGGCCGAAGGCGGCAATCATCAGGATCCAGCCAAGTAGCCACAGGTCCTGTGGCCAGATTGTTAAACCAAAAATATGAAACTGCCGGGCAGGCAGATCAAACAGAATGGCCTGACGGTCACCCCACATAATCCATGGGGTCAGGAAGTAACCGAGCAGCAGGGGCCAGCCAGAGTAGAAGCGTAATTTCTGATACAAGCCACCAACGTAGCGGGTAAAAATCTTTTCCCGCCGTTTGTAGAGATCTTGGGGGCCAAAACCCTCCAGCTTTACAACTTCTTCAGGTACTTCTGGCCCGGCGCTGTTCACTGAGAAAGGCTCCTGATGTACGCCGCTAAGATATGGATTTTATCTTCGCTGAGGACGTCGGACTGAGCGGGCATATTGCCTTGCCGTCCATGCGTCAGCGTGAAGTTGATCTGATCAGCGCTGCCGCCGTACAACCAGATATCATTGGTCAGATCTGGAGAACCAAACAGCGTATTGCCTTTGCCTTCTGTGCCATGACAGGCGACACACAACATGTCGTATTGTGGCTTAGCGGCTGCGGCTTTCTCGGCATCGTGGTCCTGTCCAGACAACATCAGAACGTAGTTGGTCATGTTAACCACACCGTCTTCACCCAGTGCCGGCCCCCAGGGTGGCATGGCTGCAACACGTCCGCCAATCAGCGTGGTTTTGATGGACTGGTAGTCTCCACCCCACTGCCATTCTTCGTCCGTAAGGTTAGGGAAGCCAAAAACACCATTGGCGTTAACGCCGTGACAGGTGGAGCAGTTGTTGAGGTACAGGCGCCTGCCGACCTGCATTGCACGTCGGTCGCTCTGCAGCTCTGTTTCGCTCATACCGCCAAGCTCTGCGTAAAGTGGCGCAAAACGTGCTTCATGTTGGGCAACTTCAGCATCATGCTGGCCTTGAGAGGTCCAGTTGCCGCCACCATCCCAGTTGCCCAGGCCGCCGTAGTAAGCAACGTAAAGAAGCATAAAGATGATAGAAACTACAAACATCCCAACCCACCACATGGGAAGTGGGTTGTCTAATTCTTCAATGCCATCCCAGTTGTGACCGGTGGTGCCCTGGTTGGATTTATGGCGATTGGCAAATAGTAACCAACCCATAAACGCCAGGCTCAACAACGTACCCAGAACAACAAACCAATGCCAACCTGTACTCATGATTGACCTCCTTCTGATTTTTTCGGACTGGGACTGTCATCGTCCATAATACTTCGACCTTGGGATTCGAAACGGCTGCGGTTACTGGGTTTGTAGACCCAGAAGAACAGCAGCGAGAAACTGGCAACCATAAAAATCAGGGCAACAATTTGCATATTCACAATCTTATTCTCCTGATGTGCTTGCGGGCGCTTGGTAGTTACGCATATCCACACCTAAAGTCTGTAGATAAGCGATGAGGGCCTGGGCTTCCGTGCGTCCGGCAACTGCCGCCTGTGCGCCGTCAATTTCCGCGTCGGTATATGGTGTACCCAGCGCTTTGAGTGCCCGCATCTTAGCCGCCGTGTCCTCGCCACTGAGCGTGTTGGTAAACAACCAGGGGTAGCCCGGCATGTTGGATACCCGAACAACACTGCGCGGGTCCGCCAGGTGTGCTGCGTGCCAGTCATCACTGTAACGTCCGCCAACTCGGGCCAGATCAGGACCTGTGCGTTTAGAGCCCCACAGGAACGGGCGCTCGTAAACGTCTTCGCCAGCAACTGAGTAGTGCCCGTAACGCTGGGTTTCCGAACGCAGGGTTCTGACCATTTGCGTATGGCAGCCGACACAACCTTCGCGGATATATATGTCGCGGCCTTCCAATGTCAGTGCGCTGTAAGGCTTAACGGTATCTGTCGGTTTGGTGCTGCCGTCGAACACCAGAGGAAAGATCTCGATCATGCCACCAACGCTGACAGCAAATAGAGTTAAACCAATCAACAGGCCAACGCGGGTTTCAATCTTTTCATGTTTCATGTCACGCGCCTCCTGCTGTTGCTGGCTCTAACATGGGTGTGGCCGGAGACTCAGTCTCATCCCGGGTTTTGCCTTGCGTGGTCATATAGACGTTGAAGGCCATAACACACATACCGATGAAGAAGATGGCGCCGCCGACGAAGCGTGCGTAGTAGCCGGGGTAGCTCGCCTCTACTGCTTCGGCGAAACTGTAGGTCAAGGTGCCGTCGATACTGGTGGCTCGCCACATCAGGCCCTGCAAGAGGCCGTTAACCCACATGGAAGCGATATATATAACGGTGCCTAAAGTCGCCAGCCAGAAATGTAAGTTGATCAGTTTGATGCTGTACATTTCCCCTGCTTTGCGGCCAAACAGAATCGGGATCAGGTGATACATTGCACCCATGCTGACCATGGCAACCCAGCCCAGCGCACCAGAGTGCACATGGCCAATGGTCCAGTCGGTGTTGTGCGATAAGGCATTGATGGTCTTAATCGACATCATCGGGCCTTCGAAGGTGGACATACCGTAAAACGATATGGAGACGATCAGGAATTTGATGATCGGATCAGTGCGCAGTTTGTCCCATGCGCCAGACAGCGTCATGATGCCATTGATCATGCCACCCCATGAAGGAGCCAGCAGTACTAAAGACATGGCCATGCCCAGGCTCTGTGCCCAGTCAGGTAGAGAGGTGTAGTGTAGATGGTGAGGGCCAGCCCAGACATAAATGGCGATGAGCGCCCAGAAATGCACGATAGATAGACGATACGAATAAACCGGTCGACCTGCCTGTTTCGGCACAAAGTAGTACATGATGCCGAGAAAGCCAGCGGTCAGGAAAAAGCCCACTGCATTGTGTCCGTACCACCATTGCACCATGGCGTCGACAGAACCCGAGTAGATCGAGTAGCTCTTGGTCATGCTCACGGGTATGGCCAGAGAATTGAAAATATGCAGAATGGCAACACCGATAATCAACGCGCCGAAGAACCAGTTGGCCACGTAGATGTGCTCAACCTTTCTTTTCGCGATGGTGCCGAAGAATGAGATGGCAAACGCAACCCACACCAGGGTGATGAGGATATCGATTGGCCATTCCAGCTCTGCGTATTCTTTACTGGTTGTAATGCCCAGCGGTAGCGTGATGGCGGCGCTCAATATAACGAGTTGCCATCCCCAGAACACAAACCATGCCAGGCCGCGTGACAGCAGTGGGGTATAGCAGGTGCGTTGTACGACGTAAAACGCGCTGGCCATCAGCGCGCTGCCGCCAAACGCAAATATCACCGCGTTAGTATGGAGTGGCCGCAGGCGACCATAGCTGAGGTAGGCAATATCAAAATTGAGTGCTGGCCAGGCGAGTTGACCAGCTAATAATAATCCTACCCCCATGCCGACAATGCCCCAGACTATGGTGGCAATAGCAAAATAGCGTACGACACCTAAGTCGTAGGTGGGTTCTTCGACCGTCACGTGTGCATCCTTGTTGACGAGGAGTTGAGGGAAAGTTTAGGTGCCCGCTGGGGGTCGGTATATCCGTAGAACCCGAACCCGCCAGGTCGGAGGTGCACCTTCAAACAAACAATATGGGCCTTAAGCCTCTTCAGGGTGAATTTTCACCACCAGCACATCGCAGCCAACGCCATGGAGCACTGCGTTGGCTGTTGAACCAAGCAGTAGACCCAGGCCTTGACGTCCATGTGTGCCGATGACGATCAAATCCGCTTCAAGTTCTTCCGCCAGCGCGCGAATTTCTGCGGCAGGGGAGCCCATGCGAACATAGGCGTCACTGGATTTGATGCCAAACTCCTCACCGAGTTTGATCAGCTTGCCGTTTGCTTGCGTGCGCATTTCTTCTTCAAACGGCATGCCGGACACAACATTGGCCATATCCAGGCCGCCGTAGGTGCGGGCCAGCGGCCGGATGATGCTGCAGGCTGATAGTGTTGCGTTGTTGTCACTGGCGGCATTTTTCGCAGCGGTCAGGACTTCCTCAGCCTCTTCAGTAAGATCCACGGCAACAAGTACTTTTTTATACGGCATGGTTTAGTCTCCCTAATGATTTTTTAGCGCGATCTTCTTCTTAAATTCGCGTGACATACGTTACACGCACCAGGCGAAACGCGCCACGCGCTGCGCTGAGGTGGCCAGCATAGGCAGGCAGGCAGAGTTGGCCTATGCGTATATATAAAGTGGTTGATCAGGGATATCCCGTATAGGCGGTGATTACCTTTGTAGAGTGAACTGAATGGCTACGGAGGCACCCATGACGCTACCCAATCCACATTTTGAAAACAGTTACGCGCGGGTGTTTGGTCATGGCATTGGCATGAATAAAAACGCGGATGCCTTTTTTGCGCGATTTTATGAACACTTCCTGGCTACCCCCGAGGTTGCGGAAATGTTTGCTGACACTGATCTGCAGCAGCAACAGCTCATGTTGAAAAAGTCGGTTCTGCATCTGGTCACTTATTACGCCGTTGGTGCGCTCACCCCAGACCTGCAACGCCTGGCCGAACGTCACCGGCAGTTGAAAGTCGCCTCAGAACTTCTTGATGTCTGGATGCAGGCTCTGCTGACAACGCTACGCGAGTTTGATCGTGAAGCTGATGAAGTGACCGAGCTGGCCTGGTGTTGGGCGATGGCACCTGGCATTGCTTATATGCGCCAAGTCATGAGCCAAAAGTCATGAGCCAGACACCATCTGCATAAACCTAGGTACATTCCCGCATTGGCTAGATGGCGCTGAAGGTTAGTCTGCCGCAATGAATATTTCCCTGAATAGCCGTCCGTCAGACCAGATGGTTTGTGTTGTCGATGGTGATCCTGCGGTGCGTGACAGCCTGCAGTATCTCTGCAGTTCGCAGGGCTATCCGGCGCTGGGGTTTTCAACCTGCGCGGCATTTCTGCGCATGCTGGATACTCAGATGAGCGCACGCAGCGTTATCTGTGAAGCGCAGTTACCAGACGGCAACGGTCTGGATCTTTTTCAGGAATTACGAAGGCGTGGTATGGAAGTGCCTTTTGCACTGTTGATGAGCCGGGTTTCTCTGCCAGCTGTAACCCTCGCTACCCGCATGGGTGTCGAGTACGTCTGGCCAAAGCCATTGGTAGATCGGGCCCCGCTCATACGATTTTTAGATGGCTAAACAGCATTAAATTTGGTGGTTGCAGTGGCTTCAAAAGATAACGTTCAAGTGCAATTGATGGATCGGCTCAACAACGATCATTTTCATATTGCGACGGTCATGAACTCTCTGGAAAAAATGTTCAAGCAATTCCCCGACGACGACATCGACTGGACTTTGGTCAGCGATATGCTGAGCTATCTGCAGGAGTATCCGGATACGGTGCACCATCCATTGGAGGATCAGTTGTTTGATCGTGTGTTAGACAAAGGTTTAACTCCTGCAGAACGTGAGTTGGTCCATACAAACCTCGCCCAGCATGCTGAAATAATCAGCGCGACGCTACGCCTGGATCAGGATGTAAATCAAATTCTTAACGATTCTGTTGTGCCCATTGATAAGGTCCTCGAGCACTTTGAGCACTATATTGATTTACAGCGCGTACATATGCGCAATGAGAACACACACTTGTTTCCCCTGGCTGAACGGCTTTTGTCTGCGGAAGACTGGCGCGACGTGGAAGCAGAATATGCCAGCCACGTCGACCCTATGTTTGCCTTGAAACAAGGCAAGTTTGCCAGCCTGTTTGAGTACATCACCGAAGGCTGAGTCAGACCCGGTAGCCGTTTGCTGAAAGCCTCCGGCATGCGGATGTTTTACCCGCCGCGGACTTCGATGCTCAGCGGCCGGCGAGAGCGGTCTTTTGGCATAGTGACGCTCAACACACCTTTTTTATACTCAGCTTTTGTGCCTGCACGGGTTACGTTACAGGGCAGCGGGATAATCCGCTGAAATTTACCAAAAGCCCTTTCCGTAACCACAAGAGATCCTTCGTTGCGTGTCGTGCTGGAGTGTTTCTCTCCACTGATTACCAATGAATGCTCATGCACCTCAACAGTGAGATCTGCTTTCTTCATCCCCGGCAGTTCAAGCTCAACAGAAACCGAGTTTTTATCCTCGCTGACATCGGTGGCGAGCACTCCCCAGCGTTGGCTGGTTGTATTGTCTGCTTCATTGGCGGGAGAAAAGTAGGTCAATGCACTGACGGCTTTGTCACGTAGCGCATGCCAACCATTCATCAGCCATTGCCAGGCGCGGGTAGATTCACTGTGCTGCTGGGTTGTGGGGTTGGACACGTTGTTCTCCCTTGCGACTAGCTGATAGTAATTTTCTTAGGTTCACTCGTTTGCTTGTCCGGAATACGTACATGCAACACTCCGTCTTTCACCTGTGCTTCAATATCGTCGGTGATACAGCCACTTGGTAGATTGAATCGTCGTAAGAATTGTCCTGTGCGTCGTTCGCGACGAATGTAGTCTTCTTCTTTCTTTTCAGATTGCGTGCTGCGCGAACCCTGGATGGTGAGCACGTTTTCGTGCGCTTCTACATCGATATCTTCTGGCTTAAACCCCGGGGCTTCCATTTCGATCACGTAGGCATTTTCCTCACGTTTTATATCGACGGCTGGCATCCACAGGTCGTTTTCGCTGATCATTCTATTGGGCAGTCCAGCGCCGAACAGACTGCCAAAGGGACGATAGAATTCGTCGAATACGCTGCTGGGTTTGTCTATGAGGTTCACGGTCTACTCCTTGTCGTTTATCGGTTCCGGTTTAATGGGCACGAGGTGTAAATATTCCAGTACGTAGATATGCGTATCAGACTGCAACAATCACGGATAGAGAGCCCGAGGTCGGCTTTCTATCCTCGAAGAGACTTATATCCACCGGACTAACAGATGAATAAAGCTGCTGCAAAGGCTGTTCTTGAAGAGATGCTTGCGAGTATTCACGAGCGACGCGATAAGCTGGCCAGACACGTTCACCATCGTGAGGAACCGCTGCCACAGGATTTTGCAGAACAGGCTGTTGAACTTGAAAACAGTGAAACCATGTTGGCTCTGGAGCATGAACTGACCGGCAAAGAGAAAGAAACGATGCAGGCATTAGCTCGCCTTGAGGAAGGCACCTACGGTGTCTGTACCGGGTGTGGTGGAGACATCAGTGCGGCACGGCTGCAGGCGCTCCCGGCAGCAGGACTATGTTTTGACTGCGCCGATCTCAAAGGCTGATTAATAAATGGGGACGACAGGGGGTTTATGAACAAGATTATTTCTAATGATTGGGTTTGTTTGGACAGACAAAGACTGGCTGGGGTTTTTGCCGGCTTGTTAATAGTACTGGGTGGTTGCTCAGAAGCGCCGAAACAGGCAGCCGATGCGCCGCTAACGCCAGCCGCTGAAGAGATGACAGCAGAGCCCGTCCAGGCTGTGAAGCGATTACCGGTCAGTCTCAACACGGTAATGGTGGCCATGGTGAATCAGGCTGCAGATCCTCTCTGGGTGGCGGCCTGGCATAATCCGCAAACGGATGCGGATTGGCGGGAACTGGAGCGTAGAGCTGTGCAGCTGGAGCTAAGTGGTACGTTGCTTGCGGTGCCCGGGACTGGTCCACTGGATGATCAGTGGGTGGCAAGCGATCAGTGGCAGAACTGGGCGGGTGCCCTGCGTGATGTTGGCGAATTGGCGGTTGCCGCGGTAAAGGTCAGGGATGTGGATACCATTGCCATGGTGGGTGGTCAGATTGTTGATATCTGTGAAGGCTGTCACCGGGATTTCAAACTGGCATTGCCCACCGGTGGTGAATTTGGCGAACTGTCACCTACGTCAGAGGACTTCGAGCAACCTTAAGCAGGAACCTGGTCAAGCAGCCCGGCAAAGGCTGCTTGATTCCAGGGAAAAGATATCGCTGGAGACTAAATTCAATCCAACTCCCACAGCTGAGTGCGCGTCTTCGCGACATCTTCAGCTGTGATGTTCTGACCTTCGCCCCAGTTTCGCTGAATGTAGTTTACGGTTGCTGCCACATCGTCATCGGACAGTTGTCCCCATGCAGGCATGATGGGAATAGTGTGTCCGTTGAGCTCGCCGCCACGCTTGAAGCGGCCGGTTAAAACAGTCTCCACCATGTCGGCAGCCGTGCGCATACCTGCCAGGCGCTGCAGCGATGGGTACCAGGGCTCAACACCATCTCCACTGTCTCCATGACAGCTGGAGCAATGTTTGGCGAATATGTGTTCGCCCCGGGAAGCAGTCTCTTCATCACTGTCGGCGTAGCTTGTACCTGCGGCTGCCAGCAGCCCGACACACAGCAAGGTCAATTGGGTCTTCATTTGAGGTACCTTATCTGATGCGCAGGTTAACCATGTCCAGTTTACCACCCAGGTTGTCCAGTTCATATGTGAGCAGGACACGGGTTTCATCTTTGCCAAGGTGGTTCTGAAAATCTTCTATCGCTGAAATGATCAGTGCGCTAAGCATCTCCTTGCGATCCAGTCCTAGCTCTTTGCCATTTTCTACGACGCTGTTGATCGCGTCTTTAGCGGCACTGTATTTACTCATGTTGTTCTCCGATATGTCAGGTGTATAAATAACACGGCCCCTGCTGGTGGAAACTAAGGGATATCCGAGATCGAAGGCTGCAAAGGCACCGTCATTGGTGCCAGCGTGTTAGAGGTGCACAAAGTCGCCGCGACGAATTTTTGCCCCATCCACAAGTTCGGCTCGGGCGTAGCGCTCGGTAACTTCGACAACCTTGATCTGTCCCACTTCCCGCTCAATGGTGTCCAGCAATAACCCGGTGGCTGGATCAACAAGTTTGCGTACGACGGTCGAAACACGCATCAGGTCACCCTCGCGAATGCCGGAGGCTCGGTCTGCATTTAAATAAACTTCGTCAGCGTCTGTGCTGGCTATCTGAAAGCGCCGCTCCACCGATTGATTCAGATCGTTGGCGATCTTCAGCACGGCTTGGCCCAGTGCATTACGTGATGCGACGCCCAGGGGTGATTTGGCAAACGTGTCCCCGCCGAGACTGGCCCGTTTGTAATCGAGCCCCAAGGTCCATCCGCCGGTTTTAGAATCTGCTATCACTCGATGTGAAAAGCGGGTTTGTCCGTTGGTGGCGTCGATGATGCTGACATCAAGCCCAACGTGGGCCTTACTGCCATTGCGCCCGAGGCGCAGGCCTAAAGGTGTATTGGGTAACGCCATGCCCAAGGTAATGCCCCCACCTTTTTTGTTCGGGTCAAATTCCGTGATGGTCCCTTTGATGATGACTTCTGCGCCGACCAGTCGACCGGCGGCGGGTGCGGTCTCTCTGTTTACTACCCCCGCCAGGCCTAGCTCCTGTTCACGCAGCAAATTTGATAAACCGGTGCGATCCAGCACGATAAAGCAGTTTGTTCGAGTCAGCTCAGTAGCAAGCTGGGCCGCTAGACCATCGCCAATGTTGTAGCCTTCAAAAGATGCCAGTTTGCCGGTGGAAAAAAAGCTGTAGATTGCGACTCGAGGTTTAAGGCTGGGGCAGGTCATATTGTCCAATGCCTGTTCCAGATCTTCTGCTGCCATGGGTTTGGTCTTGCTGGTTTTTGCATCCGCGATGCCCGTAATCAAAAGAAGCAGTAGACCGATGATGGCGAAGGTGGTGAGTTTGGTAGAACGTGTCATGTCGCACTTCCTGTTAAATAAGTTGGCTTACGTATAGGTCACGGCGACTCGCCTTCAGGTTCATTTTCAGCGGCTTTTTTTTCCAGCAGCACTTCTAGGTAACGAATCTGCATCTGCTCAATGTAGGCATTTGAGGTATTGATGGGATACACATAAAACAGTTGACCATTCTTCAGCGGCAAAGCGCGTAATGATTGCTCTGCCATAAACCGTTGAACTGCTGGATCGTAGCGCTGCTCCGCCAGCACAATGAAGCCAGGCAACCCTTGAGAATGTAACAGCGGATTTGCCTGCCCTGCAGTTGTGCAGACAACCAATCCAGTTAAGAGGAGCATTTGTAAGGGTTTCATCGCTGTCCTCCCTGCACGGTGACGATGTCACGTTCTGCTGATACGTTGCTGCCAGTGATGTCGCCGCTGTTATCGCCGCAGATTACAACGGTGTTGCCGCTGTTGGCTTCGACTTCAACGTCCAGGCACTGAAACTGACTCTCAAAGCGTGCCAGTTGAGCGCTGGTTTGCTGGCGTAAACCTGAAACCGTTGGCGCATCTATGCTGCGATTACCGTTGTTGCTGCTGACCAGACGCACGTTGTTGCGGGCTTCGTTTTCCGCCTGCATGCGCTCCTGATCGAGCCGCATACGCAGTTGGTAAATACGTTGTAGCAGCTGCTGTTCTGGACTCGGTGCCGCCTGGGCCTGCTTGGCGTATGCCGTCTGACTTGCAGTTGTCAGCCAAAGGGCAGCGAGGATGCTGATGATTAAGATAAAGGTACGCATGGTCCGGTCCTTTTGCTGTCGAGCTTTAGTTTTTGTGTGAAAAAAACCAGAGGGCGTGGGCCCCTCTGGTTTGATTTGCTGCAGTCATTTTTCAAGATTACTTGCCGATGGCTGAGTTCATCTGATCAGCAATTGAGTTGCTTGAATCGCCAGACTGACCCAGTTGTGCACCGGAGCTCTGCATGGTGTCGCCAAACACTGTGGCTGAGGTGTTACCAACTGGTGCAAAGACACCTTTAGGTCCCATGTCCCGTCCAGCAAAGGTGTTGGACTGGCTGATGGGTGCGCCGTTGCTGCCCTGTACAAACAGGTTGTTCTGCGGCAGTTGGTTGGTGTTGTTGTTCACCATCGCAGGGCCGTAAAAAACCTGTTCGTCGTTGCCCGCGCTGACAACAGTAGGTCCGCCTGTTACGCCAACCGTGTGACCGCGTGCAGCACCCAGAACAGATTGGTCGGCTTGATGGCCGGCATCTTGTGCCTGGTACTTGTGTGAGGTCATTGTTGGTGTCGCTATCTGGAAGTCGATGTCAGTGCTTTCCTGCCAAGACTTCGTGATGTCGTTATCTTCTGAGATAGAAGTTGTGACATCGTTGTCTTCACTGTGAGCGTAGTCATTGTCCTCGCTGTTTGAGTAGCTGCTGGTGTAATCATTGTCTTCCGTGTTGGAGAAACGCAGATCAATATCGTTGTCTTCCTGCACTGAGCGGCGCACGTCAACGGCAACATCGTTGTCTTCGCTGTGGCTGGTTGTGCTCGTTGGGTTAAATGAATCTGCAACGGCAACTTCTGTTGTGCGAGACGCATCCCAATAAGCGTATGGGGTGTCGGCGGCAACAGTGCCAGTAGCAAGAATGCCAGCGAGGATCAGGGTGGGGGTAAATACTTTTTTCATGTCAATCTCCGATACTTTAGTGGTTTAGTTAGGCGCTTTGTGGCTGCCTTACTAAGTAAGTAACGGGGTCAGCAGATGGGGTTCAAAAAAAGTTTAAGTATTTTTCTACACACCCTGGCGGGCAAAAACACGGATTCAGATTAAGGGGTAGCGAATTCCGGGTGCATCACAAAGCTCAGCCGACCGTCTGCTGCGGGAGTCATGTGTAACGGGAAGCCAACGGTTCGGTATCGACCCTTTTCCACATGGGTAATATGAATCACCGCCAGCGTGTCGGGTTGTATCTCGCTGGGGTCCACACGAAATACTGCACCCGCCGTGCGAATGCCTTCTGTGGGTTTGGCGAATCCCATCTGCTGCCAGGCAGGCTGATCGATTTCACGCCGCAGCTGCGACAGATAAGCTTTGTCGGCATCCAGGACCAGTTGCATAGGCTCGCCGGGAAGTTGGTCCCACAATGAGAAGCCACGCGACACGTCAAACGTGCCGGATTTGGACCAACCCGACTGGCTGACAGATTGATCAACCAGGTCGCCGTTACGATAAGAACTGGTGGTTTTGGTGACACTGACGGACAGACTCCAGCTTCCCCATAACCCGTACTGTTGATATTGTTCCGGCCATATGCGGCTGCAGTCAGGTTGCTCCAGAAACATGGTGTGGAATGTTCCCTTGCCTGCTGCTTTGTCGACTCGCGCGCTGATCAACAGACCATTGCTGTAGTTTTGACCACCAATCTGCAGGCGAGCATCTCCGCTCGGGTGCTTAATCTTGTTCTTGAACTTCTTTTTGATCGGGTCTTTTGCCAGCTTTGGTTTTTTTGAGCTGCCACCGCTGCTACCTAAAAGACCACCAACCAGTTTGCCAATTGCGGCGTTGGCGGCTTTCCCCATGGTCTTGCTCATGAATCCCTGAGCATCGCCAAGATCTAATGGTGATGCGGCCAGAGGTGTTCCGCATCGGGTGGTGGCTGCTGTCGCAACCTGCGCTTCAATGGGGGCAAGATCCAGGGTGACCTGCGGATATGGTGTAGGTTCAGAGTACTGGAAGTCACCTTTGTCGCTGGGTGTGAAACTGGGTGCAACAAACGGCTCCGCCGCCAGCGACGGGGTACACAGCCATCCTGTGAGCGCGGCTGTGGCCAGAGTGGCCAGCCCAACTTTAGAAGCCATTGCGCGATACCTCTTCTGTCAGACACGTGAAGGCGTTTGCTGTGGCCGCAGCGGCGGCAGCGCAGACGTCGATTAGGCCGTGGCCAAAGGAAGTGTCTTTGCCGGTAGCGCCCAGATCTGTGCTGTGTCCACGTAATAGAAAGGCAATTTCAGCCGGCGATGACAATGGCATCAAAGGGTGCAGTAAAGCAGCGACGCCACTGACATGTGCTGCGGCCCAGGACGTGCCGGAACTGATAGGGAAGCTGCCGTCTGCTGCCAAAGTCACTATGTCGACGCCGGGCGCGGCCACATCAATGTACTCTCCCTGGTTCGCCTGGTCATACAGTTGGTTGCGGCTGTTGACTGCGGTTACCGCGAGTACACCCGGCAAAGCTGCTGGGAACGCGGGTTTAGCCAGCGCGCCACCGTTGCCCGCACCGGCAATAATCAGTCGTGACTGATCCACGGCCAATGCAACATATCTGGCTAGCAGCTCATCTGGTGGCCCGGCTAAGCTCATGTTGATGATTTTGGCGTCCTTCTGCATCGCGGCATCCAGGGCTTTGACCAGCGTACTGGTCCAGCACCGTGCGCGTAACCCGTTTGCAGTCTCTGGCTGGCAGGCTTTCAATGCGAGGATGTTTGCGGCTGGAGCGACTCCAAAGCTGCCCAGAGCATTATCCGCTGCTGCGGCAATAATGCTGCCAACTGCAGTACCGTGTGCGTCCGCACTCCAGCCTTTGCCGGTCAGATCCTGGGTTTCCACGCGACCGGCGAGGTCAGGGTGGTCCACCGCCATGCCGGTATCGATGACTGCAATGGTTTCTCCTGCACCGGTTGTTTCGCTATGCAGCGCCAGCGCTCCGGTGTGGGCGGGACCGTAGGTCAGTCCTGCCCAGGGATCTGAATAGGCCACTTCACTGGCTGCTGTGAGATAGATCAATTCTCGCTGCGCACTGACAATATCATTGTCTTGCGCAAGCAGGGTGAGCAGCTGTGCAACTGAACGTTGCGGCAGCGGGTTTAAGAACACCGTCAACACATCACCTGTACTTGCCAGGGTTGTCTGACTCAGGGCGAGCATCTGGTGTCGAGCAGCGACGCTGGCAACATCGCCGGTGACAACCGCTACAACCAGATTAGGTACCGAAGGTGGTGCCATGCTGGATAGAGGCACTTGGACGCTATTGCAGCCATCGCCAACAAGCACGGAGTAACCTGTTGTGTCTGCGGGCGTATTTGTAGTTTCCAGCAACGCCTGTCCATTGAAACCCGGTAACAGCTTTATTGCAAAATCGACGGCTGACAGCGGGCTCTGCGCGTTGGGTGCGTAGGGGTCAATAGGGTCAGGTCTGCTGCCATTCTGATTGTTCTGGCCGAGCCCTTGCAGATCCAGGCTTAAGTTGATGCCGGTGCCATCTGTTGGTGTATCGAACTCCGGCAAGGCGGCGGCAATTGAGCAGGTGCTTTCGCTGCTGTCATCTTCGGCGATGCTATCCAGTGAGGGTGGGTTGGCCACAATTCTGGCCTGGAGGCGTTGCGCATTTGAAACGTTGCCGACATGGCCTTTCAATTGAATGCTCTGACAGGCATCCGGATTACATTCGGATATGCCGGGTTGCCCGCAAAGCGCGTTCTGTTCTTGCTGCCATTGCTCTTGCGCCATATTGAACTGCACCAGAGTTGCGCGCCCCTGTGGCAATAGACGGGCATGGTTGAGTGGGTTCTGTGTCAGCCACTGCGCCGCGTCAATGTGTGATGCCAGCACCAGACTGCGCGCCGGGGCAGGCAGTATCAGGGCGGCGGGATCACGCCACGCTTGGGCAAAATCTTCCGCGGCAAGTGGTAGGTTCAAACCACAACACAGCAGCCCAAGAAGCGCTTGTTTAGGGTTCACTGGGCACCTCCGCAAAGTCGGCTTCAGGTACGGGCAGGTGCAAACTCATGGACGCCTCGCGCTGTGCGCCGTCAGCTGCAACAACTACTAACTTTAGGTCCCATTGGGTAGACCCGTTAGCCTGCTGAGTTAATGTGTTGATTTCGAACTGGCCGAGTTCGCCGTTGATGGCTTTGTCGAAGCTCGCTAACGTCTGCCACTGGTAAGGGTCGACGACGACCTTGTCGCGCTTCTTCTTTTTCTTCTTCTTGTTTGTCTCTTCAGCAACGGGGATGGAGCCCGCTGTTGGCCGAAACTGCAGGGTTGCGCTGATGAACTGATCAGCTTGCGCTTTACCAAGCAGGTTTACCCACAGACGGGTATCGATGAGTGACAAGCTGGCACCGTCCAAACGGGCCTGCACAAACTGCCCGGGCCGGGCATTCAGCGCCGCAATATAGTCCAACCCCCCGTACCCGGACAGTTGATCTACTCCGGGTGGTGCGATGTCTGCGGCGGACTGAATCAGTATCTGGCGCAGTTCCGCGCCGCTTAATTGAGGTTGGCGAGCGAGAATCGCAGAGGCTATACCCGTGGCGAAACCTGCAGAAAATGACGTGCCTGATGCTCGGTAATACTGCCCTTCTTCGCCCACAACAGCATCTTGCGATGCGTAATCCAGCGGCTGGGAAAGGGCAATAAAATCAGTATTTTTTGCGCGTAGTGAAAGTATTTCGACACCCGGTGCAAGCAAAGACAATTGTGCGCCGAAATTCGAAAAACCCGCACGCTGCCCATTGTTGTCGCTGGCCCCTACGGCAAGCACGCCAGGTAAGGCAGCATAGCCAAATTGATCCGCTGCAATGCCCCGGTTCCCGGCAGCAACAATGATCAGAACGCCTCGCTCAAGGGCAAACTCTGCTGCTTGAATCTCAAGGTCTGTGATCGTATCTCCGGCAAGGCTCAGATTAATAATACGTGCGCCGTGTTCAACCGCGTATCGTATGGCTGCAGCAACGCTTGAACTTCTGGCCTGGCCGGTAAAATTTGCCACCTTCAACGGCATGATCTGGGCGCCTGGGTTGATACCGGCAATACCTACACCGTTGTTTGTGCAGGCCGCAATCAGGCCCGCAATGTGGGTGCCGTGGCCGCTGAGATCCCAGGGGTTGTTGTTATTGTCCACATAGTTCCAGCCGATGAGGTCATCCACATAGCCGTTGCCATCGTCGTCCCTGCCATTTTTAGTCTCGGCCGGGTTACGCCACAGCTTGTTGGCGGCCAGGTCTTCATGGGTGTAGTCCAAACCTGTATCAATAACGGCAACAACAACGCGTTGCTCAGCAGGAGCAGGTGCAATATCTGCGTACACCCGCTGTTGCTGCAGTGCCCACTGGTCAGCATAGGCCTGTCCCCAGGAACCCTGGGCATTGTAGTGAGGGTCATTCGGGGCGTTTGCAGCCAGGGTCGGAACGCTGAAACCGGCACTTAAAAAACCAAAAAGTGCAGTTAACAGAAGCGTTTGCCGCACGCTTGTGAATGTCATGGTGCTGCCGCAGGTTGAACGTAGATGATTGCCGAATTCTGCCCGAGCTCTGTCTGTATCTGAGCGACATCTGCGCCGGCTGGCAGACTGATCGAATAGATACCAATACTGTTTGGGCCGGCGGTAATTTGCGCGTCCATATCCATTAACAGTTCACGCATCTGAGCCTCTGACGTGCCCGGCGCAAATCCGACCAGCAGATCTGCAGCCATGGCAGCACCGCTAACTGTTTGATATTGGTTGCCACCTAACTCGTCTGTATCTGTGCTGTCTGGTGACCCAATCATGACCGCCAGCGCCAGGAGCGCCGCGAACTGTGCGGTCAACGCCAGTTTTGCCATCCGTGGTGTGGCATCCCATTGGAAAATCTTACGGAGTTTTTCAAACAACCCCTCTTGGGCAGTAGTTTCCTGCACGATCAGCGGCTCAGGTGCTTCGCTCTGGGGTACCTCGTCCAGTTGATCCAAGACCTTATTCAGAATGGCCGGGTTGTATGCGGGCTCGTGTTCACTCTGGGTCCGGACGGTGTCCGCAAACAGAGTTAACTCATTGAGTTCCGTGTTGCTGATTTCACCGCTGTCGATGAACGCCTGCACGGCACGGCTTTCGTCTTCGTTTAACGTGCCGGCGACAAACCAAGGCAGTAGTTCTTGTGCTTCTTGTCGATTCATGAGGCCATCTCCACGCTTGAGGGATCCATGCCCGCTTCGCGTAAGTATCCTTGTAATAGTTTCTTTGCGTGAAACATCCGTGTTTTCACTGTGTTTTCGGGACATTGCACAATCTCGGCGATCTCCTGATAGGAGCAGCCGTGGAAATACGTCAGCTCTATCACGTCTCGATGTTCTGCTGACAGATGCCCCAGGGCACCGCGCAAGGTTGTTTTCAGGGTTGCAGCGTCGTGGGCCAGCGCCGCCTCATTCACCTTGGGGTCGGCAATTTCCGGTGCGTCATCAACATCCACCGTATCCAGTTGTTTGCGGCGTACCGCGTTGAGTGCAGTGTGCCGTGTGATACCCAGGAGCCAGGTGCTGACTTTGGAGCGTCCCTCAAATTTAACGGCGTTCTTCCAGACTTCCAGCATGACATCGTTGGTCACTTCTTCGGCCTTGCCAGCGTCGTTAATCAGCCGGTAGGCGTATCTGAAAACCCTCTCGCCGTGACTGCTGAATAGCTGCTCGAATGCGCGTTTATCACCCTGACCGATCCGTTCTACCAGGTGATGATCGCTGCTGTCGTGCGCGACTTCCTCAGTTTCATTGTGCGGTCGTGGTGTCGACATAGTACTCAAGTGTGCTAATGCCATGGTGTGCGACAACCTTGTTGCTCTTGCTCTTATCCAATGAGTAACGAGCTGGAGAAGAAAGGTTCAAACATTTGCTAATTAGTTTTTTGCAGTCGCTGCCATCGCAATGTGGCGTTCTATTATTGTTTGACTGATCAAAAATGACGCAAGGTTAATACCTAGAGCGAGCCCCCAGCCCCTAATATTGCGCAGACTGACTGTTGTTACAACCACGCAATATCAATTAGGGGCAGCAGGAGTCAGCAGTTAGACCAACCGCTGGTGGTATATATGCAGCCATCTGAGGTGCCACCAACGCCCAATTCCGCGGCGCGACTGTAGTGATTCCAGTCGCCTTTGGCGTTGCGTTCGCCGCTGCCGTAACGGGAAAACGTAGACACATTACCTTGTCCAAGACACCCGGACGTGGCGTTGCTGAGGTTTAACCAGCAGCCGTTGGCATCAGCCAGGTAGATGCCCGGAGCCACTTTGCCGCCCACTTGCTGTTCAAGCATGCGCAATTGATCCGTTGTCAGGCGTTGCCCGTTGATGGCGACATCGCTCCAACTGCTGGCAATGGCCATCTGGTTAGCGGTTAGTGCAATCACCACAATAATGAGTTTTCGATAAATAGGTTTCATGTTGTTCTCCGGTAATCGTTGACGCTTAGTCGCAAGCGTCAACGGTGGTGTCAGGGTTCTGGCCGAAAACGCGGCATATGCCGTCGTTAAAGACGTTGTTTGTCTCGACTGATTCGCGTATCTCGCCACCATTGGCAAAGTTGTCAGAATCCACGGTAAAAACGGTTTCCAGATCCCAATCGACAATGCGGTTAGGTATTGTGATCACGCCTATGACTGAGCGTGTACGGGTGCCGGGCGCCTGGCCATTGACGCGACCGGTAACGGTGACCGTTTGGGGAGGCACGTTTAAGCTGCTGATGGTGACAGTTGCGGTGACATCAAAGTCATTCGAAATAATGGAACCGTCATTGCCTGTTCGTACGGAGATCTGAACCGTTCTGCCATTGACGTAGTAGTCGCCGTCATCGGCGTACAGGTCGGGCATGAATATTGGCGTCACCGGGTCAATCACAAGATTGAGCAGATGCTCTTTGCCAAGATAGTCGGTTGTGAGGCAGTCGCCAATCCAGTAACCCCATTTGTTTTTCTCTATGACACAGGGCTTCGCGTCTGCGTCTGGGGCGATGAGTGCAGCGCCGATCATACTGCAGGCACAGATCACCAGGCTGATAGATTTTGAAATGGTCATGATCGTCTCCTTCGAGAGTGGTTTATGTAACAAGCTCATCTGGTGAGTCACAACCTGTCGTCAGAATGTTCACTGTTCCGGTGCCAACTGTCTGTGTGCCATCAATTCTGGTGGCATAACCGCGCTGCAAATCGCATTACCCTGCCGGCTAAGTTGGTTAGACCTGACCGGAACGCATCAAATGAACCTTTTTCTGCATTGCTGTTACCTACAACTGTGACCATGAAATTGCGTGGCACTGAGCAGGACGTAGAGCTTATGGCCGGCCTAGTTGCTAAAGATGAGCGTGCCTTGGGCGCGCTGATTGATTTATACGGCGAACAGGTCTTCCGCTTTGCATTGCGGCTGACGCGTCAAATTACGATTGCGGAAGAAGTGGCCAACGATGTGTTCCTGGAAGTCTGGTCGGCTGCTGCTGATTTCCGCGGCGACAGTGCGCTAACAACCTGGTTATTAGGCATAACGCGCTTTAAGGCGAGCAATGCAGTGCGTGGCAAAAAGCTGGCGCTGGTGGGTGACGAATACCTGGACGGAGTCGAAGACAGTTTGTACGACGTGGAAGCAGAAGTTCAGGCGCAGGAGCGACAACAATTGCTGAAGGTGCTGCGCGCTGCACTGCAGAAACTGAGTGTTGAGCACCGGGAAGTATTGGAACTGACCTTCTTTCATGAGCGCTCCTGCAAACAGATAGCCCAGATTGTGGGTGCACCTGAGGCCACGGTCCGCTCGCGCATGCACTACGCCAGGACAAAATTGCGTGAAGCTTTACAGGGTTTCGATGTTGAACGATGGCGCAATCTCACGGCACAAAAATAGACAGTTATAAAATAACCTTGGAGAAAGACATGAAGAAGATAGTGATTATTTTGCTGGCCCTGGGGTTCAGCAGTCAGTCACACGCTGACTATCGTGGGGAATTGGGCATTGACTACACCCGCGGCAGCGTGGGTGTTGGCAGTAGTTATAGTGTGCCCGACTATACGCCGCCAACGGGTGCTACTGATCCAGGCGAGCCGCCCATTGATCCGCCACCACCGGAGTTTTATGAAGGTGGCGACGATGACTTCAGCGGTTGGACGATCAGCGGCCAGTATTTTCTCGAGTCCGTGGACACGTCGCAGGGGCCATTGCAGCTTGCTGAATTCTTAAGTCGCGCGAGCAGCATTGGCGGCAGCTATGGCCAGCTCGAAACCGACGATACCAACATTGAAACCGACATGTGGCAGGTGTTCACTCGTTTGATCGTCGGCGAGTCGCTGGTGGTTGAAGCCAGCTATGGTCAGTCTGATATCGATACCGCTCCGGGTTCAGTGGACGTGGACATGTACACGGTTGCGGGTGGCTATTACATTGCGGACAACACACAGGTGCGTCTGGGCTACGATGTTGAAGAACAACAGCTATACGATTTTGAGCGCTGGTTGATAGACATCACTCATGTGCAGCAGATGGAAAATGGCATGACCTGGCAAGCCCATGCGCTGATTGCGACGGTCACCGTCGATGCCGATTTCGGACGAGACGATGATGGTTCCGACCTGGAGCTGGCGTTCAAATGGTTCTTCAACCATAACTTCGGTATCGGCGCGGATTATCAGATGTCGGATCGCGACTTCAGCGGCGACAGAGACGCATACCAGTTGTGGGCGAGTTATTTTCCCACCGATAAGATCTCCGTTACGCTGAGTTACTATGATGAAGAAAACGATGAGTTTGACGTAGATAGTGACGGCGTTGTGGTTGAGGCGAAATACCGATTCTAGGTGGTTCGCCTGCCTGTTTAAGGTAGGCGGCAAGCCCGGTTTTGTGACACGGTTTGTTGGCGGTCTGCGTTTAGCAGGCTGCCTCGTGCTGTGGCTTGTTGCAGGACACGCAGTGGCGGAGGTGCCTACCGATGTGGTTGTGCGGGATGCCCACCTCTACATCGGTGATGCTCCGCCGCAAGACCAGTTGCTGTATCAGCCTATTCAATTTACCGACTACTGGACCCGCTCACGTCGCCAACAGGGCGTGAACGGGGTCTATCAGCTGCAGGTTGATGTTCCGATAGGTGGTGGCGCTGAGCGGTTGCCCATGGCGGTTTACATCGCCAATCATTCAGGTCGCGCGACGGTGTTGTGGGATACCAATGTTATCGGGCGCAGTGTGCCGCTGACGGGTGTGGGCACGCCTATGGTGTCAGGGCCGCTACTGCTCAGTATCCCTGATGAACTGCTGAGTGAAGGCACACATGAACTGTTAATAGAGTTTCAAGGCAACACCACACAAACCAACTTCATGCGCAGCCCGCAAGTCCTGCCGCTTTATGATATCGAAGCCAAGTTTGTCTCGAAAAAGCTGACCCTTGTGTATCTGCCCGTTTCGCTGGGTGTTTTGAGCATGATGTTTGCACTGGTGTTTTACGCAGCCTATTACAAGGATGCAGCTGCAGGTGGAGTGAGCTGGCTGGTGATTGGTCTTGTTGCGTCTGCGTTTTCCGTGCTGGGGCTGTATGTCTCTGTGCCAGACCCCTGGGCGGAATGGCTGGGGCGAGCGCGACCCGTTGCTTTTCATTTTTCGTTTTTGTGCTTCTGGCTGGCTTTGCGCAAAATGGGAGGTGCGGCAGGGAAATGGTTCATAAGTCTTCTGTTGTTTGCCTATCTTGTGTTTGCCGTTCTGACGTTAACCGTCGATGCCGCGCAGGTATATATGGTGGCGGTGCTGTGGACACCTTTAACCTACGTTTTAGGTCTATACGTGCTTTATCAGGCTGTCCGTTTAGCGTCGCGCCCGCCCAGAAGAATTTATGCCTTGCTGCCCTTGGCTCTGGTGCCTGTCACGATAGTCCATGATGCGTTGGGTATTGGCGCGGGTGGCGAATTCTGGGCTGATCAGGCACTGACGATTTACAACCCGCCGCTGTTTGCCTTTGCCCTGATCCTGATGCTGGTTGCCCGTACGCGCATGCAACAAACTGATCTACGCATCTTGAATGCGCAGCTTGAGCAGCGGGTACAGGAAAAGCACGCGGAGCTTGAGGCAAACTACGAGAAAATCTCTGCAGCTGAACAGCGGGAGGCGGTTTTAAGTGAGCGTGAGCGTATGGTCCGCGAGATGCACGATGGTCTTGGCAACCAGTTGGTGTCTACCCTGGCAATGGTGGAAAGTGGCCAGTTTTCCAGCGCGGAAGTGGAAGAAGCGTTGCGTGATGCGTTGGATGACCTGCGCATTATGGTGCATTCTCTGGACCAGCAGGAAACGGATCTTCTGGGGCTCCTGGCCATCGTTCGGGAGCGCCTGGAGCCACGCCTGGCGCGTCAGGGACTACGATTCAACTGGCAGGTTGAAGACCTGCCGGATATCGCCCCGCTGGATCCTGAGGGCGCGGGCCACGTCCTGCGCATCGTCCAGGAATCGCTGACCAACATCATTAAACACGCCCACGCAGAGACTATTCTGATTGCGACCCGGATTGACGGTGATCGTCGCTGTTTGATTATTGAAGACGATGGCTGTGGTGGTGGCGATTTTGTGGCTGCAGCCGGGGGTGGGCGTGGTCTGGTGCATATGCGTGAACGTGCAGCACAGCTGGGTGGAGAGCTTGAAGTGACTGCCGGTACAGGTGGCAAAGGCACTCGAGTGACCTTGTGCCTTCCAGTTGTACAGCCGGACACCTCATAGCTGCCCTTAGAATTGTGGGCAGAGACCCCAGGCAAAGGTCGTTACACTGGGCGTATGGTTGAGAATAAGAATAATCAGAGACATACCGTTGCGGTTGTTGAGGATGATCCCAACACACGGGCCCGGCTTGCAGAGAAAGTGAACGCTCTGGCTGATTTTTCCGTGATCGTCAGTGCCGGGAGTGTGGTTGAAGCACAAGAGCTGCTGAGTCAGGCGACCCCTGATGTACTTTTAATCGATCTAGGATTGCCCGATGGCAGCGGGCTTGATGTGATCCGCCAGCAGAGCGACTTACACCCTGAGATGCCGATTCTGGTTATTTCCGTGTTTGGCGATGAAAAAAGTGTCATCCGCGCCATTGAAGCGGGTGCACAAGGCTATCTGTTGAAATCCGATTCCAGCCTGGCTATTGAGCAGTGTCTTGCGCAACTGCTTGCAGGCGGTGCGCCCATATCTGCAGCGATCGCCAGGCATCTTATTCGACGCCTGCGGCCAGAGCCCACCGAAGAGCAGCGTCAGGCACAGTCACTGCTGAGTGATCGTGAGCTGGAAGTGCTGCAGCTGGCGGCCAAAGGCTACAGCTACCAGGATATTGCGGAGCTGTTGCAGGTCAAAGTGAGCACTGTTGGGTCTTATACCCGACGTATGTATCAAAAGTTGTCTGTTCATTCCCGCAGTGAAGCGGTTTTTGAGGCGACCCGCATGGGCCTGATGGATGGACCGCTCAAGCGTGAATGAAGAGTTGTGACTGGTCGTTGACAGGCGGCGGCGGTGTGAGGAAAATGCGCCCCCCGCGGCATCTTGTAACGATGTTTGCGTTGTTCAGGAACGTTGAAAGGCAATGGCTACGTAGCTCAGCTGGTTAGAGCACAGCATTCATAATGCTGGGGTCGGTGGTTCAAGTCCACCCGTAGCTACCATATAAATCAAGGGGTTAGGCGGGAATGAGCCCGGCTATGAACTCGCGGTGACCATCTGGTGACCAAACGGTGACCACCTGCCGAGCCCAGCGCTTCTACGTCGCTCTAAATCGTATTGCCAGTTCATCCTCCTCCCATCGGAAGTCTTCATTCTGGGGGGATTCGGTTCGGTCGAAACGTGGCAGGTGAATGTAGGGTTATTTCTTAAGCAAACTCGATTCTCAGTGCCGTAGTACGCGTTTAGTCGTTATTTCTTATCTGGGTGACAACCGAAAGGAAAGTCGATGATTTCCGCATCGACCGAAGGATATGGAAGGCAGCACGTTTTAACTTTTTCAATAAACGAGACTGATTGGACAAAGCCGGCAGCGGACGGAATTCATAAGCTCTGCGTAAAAAACGGTTGGGAAGATCTACTTTCAGCGGAATTCGTAGCAGACCCAACACGAAATCATCTAGCGGACATACTGATAGACAACAAGACCTGCAGTTTCAAATTCATCGAAAGGCGAGAGTCAGTAAAGACTGTGGGTGAGATCCGAGATGGCGACGAAATAATTATTACTGAGTATAAGAAGAATAACCTACTTTTTCCTCGATTGCCCTGAGTATAGAGTCAAGTGGCATTGAAGTTGGCGTTGGCGAGTTGGTATTAAAAGATCTGTCGTGGTCGATTTTCTGTCGGCTGCATTGGTTGATCACGCACAGCCTATCGGGTGCAAAGGGAGTGCTGATAAATCGATGCGCAGAGTCGACTGTCGCCGCGGACATTTCAGCGCTCGGCGAACAGGTCGTTGGGATCATAGTGGGGCAGTGCGCGCCGTGGAGACAGGCGAGGCGGGTCACGATTCTGGATGTGGTTGAGTATCTTGGTGATGAGTTCCGGCTGTGTGATGTCTGCGATGACGCGAAGCTGGCCACCGCACAGAGGGCACAGTGTAATGTCGATTTCAAAGACGCGTTTTAGTTGCTGAGCCCAAGTAAGCGGTGCGGTGGTGCACTAAGCGCGAAGACACCGTGGAAGGACAATCTCGCCGGAGAGCCATGTGCCTGGTCTGCGATCTTGTGGCTCGCATGCAGCGAGCACAAGAGTGAAAGCAACCAGTGCGAGCTTAGGCGTTTTCAATTTGAGGCTTCATTTTGCCGAGGAGGGATCATAAGGCTTGTTGAGGACAGGGAAAATAACGTGTCTTTTCCCACGTTGCCAGTCGGATGACGGTACACCAGGATCTGTTCCGATGCCCACCGTTCAGCCTTCACGCTGCAACGCCTTGACCAGTTGCTCGACGCTTGCGATCTCTGCTGAAGCAGCCAGCTCAACCCGCACGTCGCCACGCAGGTGGAGTTGAATGGTGCTGCGGTGCACGGCGGGCAATGAGACCTTCTGCACGGGAGCAAAGGCGCCACTAGCGCGCTTGCGCGCGGCATTGGCAGCGTAACGGCGTTTGCGGAAAGTCACGAGTTTCAGTTCCTGCCGTTGGCAGAACTTGGCTTCGCGCTCGTCGCTGTCATTGAACTGTCGAATCAGCCCCGCCCACTGTGTAGCGCTGCGGTTCGGGTTTCGGGTGCTTATCGAGGTCTCTTCATTTGACTAATGAGGTTGCAGTGTTCAGCGAAAGCGCTAAGGGTTACAGGCTGAGCCGGATCGAGCACTTACGCACAAAAAAGGTACAGATGCTGTCTATGCCCACGATTACCGCTGCAGCCTGAATTTCAGCAGTACCAGATCGCGAACGACTTTCTGTATATCGGCCATATTGGGTGTGCCATCTGCTGCCAGCCTGACATTGGAATGCGGCGCATCTCTGGGTACAGCCCTTAGAAAAGCATCCAGAGCTGGCGCTAAAGTTTCTGAATCATCTAATACCACTTCTGGCGTGACGAAGACCCAGTGTCCCTTGATCAGTAGTTTGACGGGATCTCCGCCCCGCAGATTGCGCCACCAAATATTCGGCTTACCGGTGAAGCAATGAATGGCATCGTCTGTCTGCACATAGCTGATTGGCGTGCTCATCGTCCGACCAGACTTTCGGCCTTTGAATTCGATGATCAGCGTATTTGAACTCATGACACCATGCAGCGGCGACTTTAACAGTAGCTTGATTGGTGGGTTGATCATCTTGTACAGCAGCTTGCTCATGCTTAACTTCCGTGCCGAATTTTGGTCGGCTTCATCTCATACTTTACGAAGGCATCCGGGAATGACATCCAGGCATCGAGCTTGGCCTGATTCTCTGCAATGCTCATATCCCAATAGCGCCGGGCTAAAGTCTCTGCCAGCTCTATTCCACCTTCGTCACACAATTTGGCTTCGCCATCAAAGGCGACCCAGCCTTCTGGCTCTCCCACATTGTTGGTTACCAGCAAGCTGATCTCTGGGCTATTTTCCAGTCGCTTCACTTTCTTGCTGTTTCGGCCAGCAAAAAACTGAATGGTCTCTCCATTCCAATCAAACCAGACGGGCACGCCAATCGGTTGGCCATTCGATTTTTGGCTGAGTAGGATTCCAAGGCGCACGTCCTCTAGTAGTGAATTCGGCATCGCTGCTCTCCTAGTCTGCGATCTGAATGGAGGGGATCTTTTTCTGGTATTGGTCTTGATATTGGTTTTGCTCCTGTTCTTGTTTCTCCACAAAAGAATAAAAAGCAGGATCAAGCCTTTGGTGCAGGTAACGATAGAAGTACAGCAGGCATCGCTCTTTTTCACTGAGCAAGCCCGGCTCGCCATGACGGGAATAAGCATTGCGCTGCAGGTCCACCATCGCGGAGGCGTCCTGCAAATTGATGGCATCAATCGCGTCTGCATTCGCTTGTTTTAACGCTTCGTCATTTTGCAGTTGCTCGTACAAGACAGGGTGCGTCAATGCGCCGCCAATCACGCGGGTATGACCAACGTCGATTGGCAAGAAGGTAAGCCAGATGCTGGACATTTGACCGCAGGAAACCGCGCAGTTGGGAAAGAAGCCAAACTGGGGTGCGGTTGTCTGATCTTGTTCCGGAAACAGTTCAACAATGGGTTTGTAGGCTTCAAATTCGCCTTCGTAAACTGTAGCGAGCCGGAACAGCGTCCACTGCTCAGAAGTCGCCTCAAAGTCTGAACTGGAAGAAGGCATGAATTTGTCTATTGTGCCGTGATGTAGCCCCGTCACGTGGTAGCCTTCTAATGCGGTTTCCATAGCCAGCTTCCAGTTACCCGGCCACACCTCGTCAACCCAGGGTGTTACTTTCCAGTTCTCAATGCCATAGCTTTGCCAATGACTTTCGGCATCTTTGAGTTTTGGCAGCAAGGGTTCAGGCTGCTCATTGAGTGACACAAAGATAAAACCCAGCCAGGTTTCAAGATGGAATTCGGGTAGCCGACATCGATTGCCCTCAAGATCATTCAGATTGTCCATATGAGGCGCGCCGCGGAGCTGACCATCCAATTCATAAACCCAGCGATGATAACGACAGGTAAACCTTGTGGCATTACCAGCGCCCTCAGCGACGGTGAAGTATCGGTGACGGCAGATCGCACTCAGCGCCCGCACCTTCTCGTCTCGGCCGCGAACAATCACGATGGGCTCGCCCAATACTTCTCGAGTAAAAAAATCACCTACATTCTCAACCTGCTCAAGACGACCCAAACAGATCCATTCTTTGCGGAAAATGACCTCCTGCTCTAGCTTGAAGAGCGCCTCGGACGTGTAGTGATTCAAGGGCAGTGCACGCGCTTCGCCAATTTTCTGTGTTTGGTATTCCCCAAGTTGTTGCAGCGTCTGGCTCAGCGATTCCATAGATAACCTTTATCTATCTTGAATTTTTCGGGATAATAGGTCGACAACCTAAATATGTCAACGACCTATTATGAAGCGGAATCAAGAGACCCTGTCGAAGGGTGAGCGTAGACGTGCGGAGATCGTTGAGATTGCCCGGTCCGTTTTAACAACGGAAGGATACGGCGCATTTGCGCTGCGAGATATCGCGACGCGCGCCGATATGAAGCTCGGCAATTTGCAGTACTACTTTTCGACGAAGGAGTCTTTGCTGGAAGCCATTATCCGTGCCGAGGCAGATCAGGACTTAACACTGCTGGTGGATGAACTGCATCAGTTCGATGATCCGAAAACTCAAATCGCCTGTTTCTGTGAAACCATCATCACCCGTTGGCGTGGCGATAGCGGCAGGATCTTTACCCTGATGACTTTCCTCGCTAACGAAAACGAGGTCTTTGCAGAGATCTATCGAGAGATCTATAAAAATTTCTATGCTGCGTTGATTCCCATACTTAAGTCTCTTAATCCTGGACACAGCGCAACCGCGTACCACCGCCGCGCCATGCTTATCACAGCATTGATCGATGGTGCGCCCGCTCAGGTAACTCAGGGTAAATCGCAGCAGTTTCTTAAGGACGTGACAGTGCTTGCGGAGTCCATTGCGTTGGCAGAATCAGCCTAGAGACGAGTATCACGCAACCGACCGACAATATGACCCCGCCGCCATATTCCATTGGACTCAACGCTCTGTGGATAGGGAAAATAACGTGTCTTTTCCCGCGTTGCCAGTCGTATGGGAGGAGTTGGCGAAGCGGGCAGTGTTCGTTCAGTTGTTCGTCATCTATGTTCGGCGATCCGGTCGGGTGGTTTCTGGTGCGCCTCGGCGGCCCTTGGCGGCTGGTGCGGGGGTGCCCGGCTGTTGAGGTGGTCGAGGATCCTGCGAATGAGGTTGACACGTGGGCGTGGTACGAGGGCAGCAGGACGGGCGATGAAGTCTTGCGGGCTGAACAGAATGTGGGTGGTGCCGTCGTGGTCAGGGGCATGTCCTGGGGTTAGTACTGATGCTGCTGATGTACAGCTTTGGTCTTGTTCAGCCAGCCGAAGTATGTGGTTACCGTACAGGTGATTATAATTCCTGTAGCGCTCCGTTAGCGGACAGCAGGCAATTCGTAATTCTACAGAAGGAACCAGGAAAAAAATGACAAAGCTGGGTTATCTGATTCCTACCCGTGAACAGATTATGTCAGGGGTGCATGAGACAAAGCCTCTTCTCGAGTTGGCGCGATATGCGCAACAGCTAGGCTACGATTCTCTCTGGGTTGGTGATTCCCTCTTCTCGCGAGCCAGACACGATCCGTTAACCCTCATTGCCGCGTTAGCGACGGCGGTAAGTGATGTTGAACTGGGTACCGCGGTGCTGCTGCCTGCGCTACGCAATCCGGTTGTGCTGGCTCAACAACTGGCTACGCTCGACCAGATCTGTGAAGGCCGACTGATCATCGGAGCAGGAATTGCAGCTGATGCGCCGATGATCCACAACGAGTTCAGAGCAGCAGGCGTGCCCTTTGAAAAGCGTGTGGGACGTTTTAACGAGGGGTTTGATCTGTGTCGGGCGCTGTGGACAGGTGAACCTGTATCCTGGGATGGCCGATGGCATCTGGAGAATGTGCAACTTGCCCCGCGACCGTATCGGCAGGGTGGACCGCCCATATGGTTAGCCTCCCGTGTGGATGCCGGCGTGCGCCGCGCGGTGAGACGTTATGATGGATGGTTTCCGTTTGGACCAACTGCAGCGGAGGTGGCTCGCCAGCACAAAATCGCCAGACAGGAAGCGACAGCGCTTGCTAAAAGTTCAGTGACCGCGGTTTACCTGACAGTATGCGTGGGTGAAGTCAGAGAAGCGCCGGAACAACAGATCGATAACTATTTACACAGTTATTATGGTGCTCCGCCGAACCTGCTCAGGAGTGTGCAGGCCTGTTGTGGTGGTTCTTTGGAGGAGGTGAAGAGCTTTATTCGGTCTTTTGAGGAAGCTGGCGCATCGCATATTGTTTTAAGAATTGTGGGGGATCATCTCCGCACCCTCCGCCTGCTTTCTGAGCATCGATAACAAATAGGTGCCAGGCACGGAGCGGTCCATCGCGTGTACCTGGTCTTATGAATCGTTCAGGCGATCTGACGCTGGTCCAGTTCGATGATGTCAGCGGACATATGCATCTCTTCGTTCCAGTGGATGATTTTGAACTGTCCATGCTGGTCTTCCACCAGCGCTGTGCAGCTTTCCACCCATTCGCCACAGTTCATGTACTGCACGCCTTCAATATCATGAATTTCAGCATGGTGGATATGTCCACAGATGGCCCCGTCATAGCCCTGACGGCGGCATTGGTGAGCTATAGCGCCTTCAAACTCGCTGATGAAGTTATCGGTCTCAATCGCACGGACGACGATCGCAAGTACCCGGCTCAGGGTGTCGGGTTGACTCGCAAACAGCAGGCGCAGAGGCCAGGGAAAGGTGAGCACCCATTGCCGTGTGGGCACTGGCGGTATGACATGGTCGACCAGATGGGCTGACGGTTCGATCATGCGGTGAGCGCCGCAGGAGGGACAGAAGCCTCGCCGTTTGCAGGAGAAAGCGACCAGATGTTCATGGCTACAGCCGTTGCATTTGACGCGCAAGAATCCGAGTTCGAGCCGCCCACAGCGCAGGTAATCGTCGAACTCGTTCAGCACGAAGCGGGGAAGAGCGGTTTCATGCTTGCGAAGTTCATCTCGCAGGCTCGACAGGTGCTGCTCGACGATCGGATACAGCGCCGTGTTCTCTGGCTGATGTCGCTGATAGCGCTGGCGGCTACCGAAAGGCAGGTGATTCGACGGTGTTTCCATCGGACTACTATTGACGCTGGAGGCGTTCGATCCCAGCAGTCGATTGCGCCAGAGTACGTCATTCCTCTGCTCAGTCAGTCCCACACAGCGTTCTTCTCGTTCGTCAGTACGTGTCAAAATCTTGCAGGCGTGCAAGATCATTTGCCCGGTCGAGACAGGACCCCGTAGCTACCAACAACATCGAACGCCGATAATTGCTTGGCGACTTTAAAAAAACCAGCTGTCGTCTTCTTCCTCTGCGGCATCACACATCGAAGCTGCGTTCACCAGGTTGGCTTTCATCGTCTCATAATCAGATGCTGTTACCGCATCCTCTTCGAGAGCACGTTTCAAGTCTATGAGTTGTTGTCCCAGAGAGACGTCTCCCATCCTCAGGTTGCGTGGATTGTTTTCCTGTATACAGGAAGACAGCAGGAGCACAACAGCAATGGGGAGCAGCAATTTCATGTGAGGTCCTCGGCAGACTAAATAGAGATTCGCAGACCCTCTATTTTGCCGAGTTAACCACACGGCGCAAGGCAACCGGCTGTTAAATTGTCAGTGGTAGTCGCGGTCGCCTGGGGTTACCTGCCAGTTGTTGAAATCCAGAGCGCCCTCTGGATCATCTGGATAGGAAGCCTCAAACCAGTTGTTGGTTTTGTACGGCAGCATGCCGGCCTTTTTGAAAAGGGTCCAATGAGGCCAGGCGGGTGGCCCAAAGAAATTGACGTATCCCGTGCCAGCCTGGCGTGCAACCTCTATGGAGCGACGAAGGAGTTCCGCTGCAGTTAAAGGGTCGTTTGCAGGCGCTGCAAATTCGGCGAGTGTCGCCTGTGCGCCACCCATTCTGAGCACGCTGTAAGCCACCGGCGCATCATTTTTATATAGTACAAAGGCCTGGTAGGACTCCAGTGGGTGTTGCAGGTATCGCCAGTTTAAAAACTCCGCATTATGAGGACACCAGTAACCTTTGAAAGCCATGGTTTTGAGGGTGACGGCATCGATGTCGCTGGAGAAAGAAGAGATGTTGTCCAGTTGGTAATTTGTATCTTGTTGTCCACGTAGTACTCGTTTTGGCAACAGTGAGTGTAATGCGTTAGCACCGAATCCCGCGATGCTGCGGACAACGCTAGGTATCTGTGGTGCTGTATCTTCAAGCAGAACCCTTGCGTCCAGCAGGAATAATCCGCCTGCTAAGCACCCCAGAATCTGGTCAGCTTGCCCCGCTTTATTAGAGACCGTGCGCGAGCCTTCGTTTGGTCCAGAGATAGAACACACTTTGCCGTGGCTTTCGTGAGAGTATCGAACGTCTCTGCGAACACTCGATAACCCGGATCTCTGCCATTTAGGCACCGTTGCTGAATCGCCAGAGACTGCGCCTGGAACGGGTTGGTTACCACGCCAGATTGGCCACGGATATTTTGCGCCGGTTTTGACAATTTCTTTGGTTGCGTTGTCTTCCACAATCCACGCCAGTGCCCGGCCATATGGATTTTTCAGGTACATCCAGTCGTAAGCTTCCCGCGGCCGGACTTTACCGAACGCTGCATCTACACATCGGTAGATCCCCTCAAAGTCAGATTCGAGCGCCTGGCGGACCGTGAATCTTGGATCGCTACTGGATAGTTCCGCGGGATTGCGATGAAAGTCGTCAAAGGGATCTTCAGGTATCGCGATCAACTTTTTCTGTTCCGCCAATTGCGGATTAAAGGCGGTCACTGAAGAACTCGTAACGTAACGACAATTCGATTTCGTAAGACTGAGCGTCTTCGCTGGCGGCGAAGCTCGCTGGTCGTTCGCTATCCCGATAACGGAATTCCAGTCCGCCACTTAACAGGCGGGTGAAGTCATACCGACCGCCGACCAGTCCGGTGAGAACGTCTCGATCAATGTTGCCGCCGGCATCACTGATAAACGCGGCATCTCGAAGTGCAGATCCATCACTATCCTCTACAAGGGTATAGTCGATGATCAGTGCCTCAGTGATGGCGTCTCTTTTGTCCAATGTGAGACGAGCGTAGAGCTGCCAGCGCTCGCCAGCGGGTACGTAATCTGCTCCTAGTGCAAACTGATCCAGGCTGCTGGCGAGGGACTCACCTGCAGTTGCTGTCTGTCGGCGTGTATAGCTGGCTTCAAGCTCCCAATCGGAAACGCGTTTGGTGTACACCACGCTGCCGAAGAAGGTCACATCGTCGTCGCTGGTGTCAAAGCCGGTGAAATCCAGAAGGTAGCTTTGCCGAGGGCCAAGATCACCTGCGGGAATGGCTGGTGCGTTAGGGTCAGAAAAATCACACAAACTGGCTATTGGCTGGCCTTGACCGCCGCCGATGCCACAGGCGTTGAAGTTTGCACGCAACAGGTTGCGCCCGTTAGAACGTCCAACATTAGTATTGGTTACCGTCTGGCTGAGACGGTCCTGCTCGGTGTCAACCCAGGTTGGACCCCCTTCAATGGCCAGGCTTGAGAATTCATCGAACCGGTAAGTCCACAGTAGAGAAAGAGAGAAGTAGTCGCTTTCGGCACTGATACGATTATCTGCACCATCGAAATCCTGGCTGGCGTAGCGTACGCCCACGCCGATATCCTGTTTTTCACTGAGGAGATAATTGACAGCGACACCGACTTCGGTTGTGTCACTGTCGCTGCGGTTGATATTGCGCTTGAAGTCAATGGTCTGATAGCCGAGGTTGCCACTGACAGACCAGCGCCGAGAAAGCTCGCGCGTTAGATCAACGGTGATGTCATTGCGTTCGTATCGGTTCTGACTGATGTCAATACCTGTGTCACCGCTGTCGAAGTCTGCCAAATCAAATTGTAGATTCGAGACATCGCGATAACGCTGGTTAAGAATAATCTGCGTGATGGGATCAATGTCATAGTGAAGCCTGAAACGCTGACGATGTTCCATGGCATTGGCTTCGTCGGCTTCCGCGTAAGACTGGTAATCTCCCCGGTAGTTGAGCAGATAATCGAGGCGTCGCTCAGGATCGCTGCGCAATTCCAGTTCTGTACCGGCTTCCAGCAGCATGTCACTGTCTTCGTCACCATCTGTACCAAATACGTTGGAGTTATAGGCGGAAGAGCCAATGAAAGCCGCTGAAAACTCTGTGGCCTGGCCTGTCTGAGCCAGCGTGATGGCTGCAGCGATCAGGGCGAGTTTTGAGAAGTTAGTGTTTTTCATTCTGGTACCACCACGGTGTCACCCGGTGCAAGTAAAAAGTTAGAACTGCGGGTACGACCTTTGATGAAATCGACGTAGTCGAAACGAAGCTCTTCCTCAATGTTGTCGGTGGTCCGCAAAACCATGATGTCGCGCTTCTTGGCAAACGGGGTAAAGCCGCCCATTTCCGCAATAGCATCTAACACTCTCATATCGTGACGAAGTTCCAGCACGCCGGAGCGTTCTATGCCGCCACCGATGACGCTGACTACCTGGCTGCGCATTTCTACGACAGATATATCTACCTGGGGTTTGGCGACGTAGTCGACCAGGGCAATCTCAATGTGTTCAGCAAGTTCTTCCGGTGTTTTGCCTGCGGCGCGAATATCGCCAATCAAAGGTATGGAGATTTTGCCATCGGTGCGCACCAGTGCAGGTCCGGAGAGCTCTTCCTGTTGCCAGACCAAAACGTTCAGCAGATCTGGGATCCCAATTTTATACACATCTCCTGTGTCTTCTGGTTCAGCGGCAGACAGCTGGACACCGCTGATGCTGAATAGAATAAAGACAAGTGTCTTAAGGGCGGTGGATGAGCAGATGGTTGTTATATGTTTTGCTGTGATGTTCACGTGCTTACCTTGCTTCGAAAACTAAAATATTGATTGCCCAGGGCAATAACTGCCGGCAGCAGCAATGCGCGGAACAAGCCGAACTTATATCCCACCACAGGTAACCTTAATATTTCCTGACTGTCGGTGATGGGGAGTCGGTTGACGCCGCGTTGTCCGCCAAATGCTAATTCGTAGCCTGCCTGTCTGGATGCGCTGCGCACCGCGGAGTTCGTGGCGTTAGCCGGATACGCGAGCACGGCTATATCAGCATATGAGCCGAGCTCCGCCTGTAGCTTTGTTTGTGATTCCGTCAGATCTTCGCGGAGTTGTTCTGTATTCAACTGGCTCATCAAGGCATGGTCCCGCCCGTGGGAACATATACATAAGCCCTCAGCTGCCAGCTTACGCAACGCATCCCAATCCAGGACCTGGTTTAAGGGGGGAGGATGGCCGAGTATGTCTAACGTCTGCTCCACCCACGCCATGGCTTCGCCATGTGGTAACGACTTCACGTGATTGCGCATCATTTTGTAGGCCTGGCGCCTGAGGTGTGAATTCTCTAAGGATAGCTCCGGCAACGGAGCGCTCTGCAGGGAGGTCAGCTTTGTCTGTAGTAGTGCGGCATGAATCCGGTCCCACCAGAATCCGCGGTTTTCACCATCTGGAAAAGCTGTGGGCACAAACAGGGTGGCAGGCACACCAACATCTTTAAGGATTGGCCAAGCCACTTCAGCAAAATCCCGGTAGCCATCGTCGAAGGTCACCAGCACAGCTCTTGCAGGCAGTGTGGATTCGCCTCGGTGGGCTGCCAGCAGCTGAGCCATGGAGATTGGGTTATAGCGTTTTGCCAGCAGCTGCATCTGTTTTCTGAACTCTTCCGGGCTTGCGCTGATCAGCCCGGGTTCAAGATTAGGCGATTCGTCCGCATATCCAACACGGTGATAGGTTAATACGCGGAACTGCTGCTCACGTTTGTCAAAGTTTTCCATCAGTGCAAACAAGCCTATCGCGTCCAGGCCCGTCGCGATGGTTTCAACAAGCTTTTTCATGAATGCGTAGACTCGTTGAGATCGGATGCCCAGGGGTCAAACGCCTGACGGCCTTTGAACACTGCCCAGCACACACCGACTAATCCACCCAGCCCGCAGCAGAGGATGAAAACCAGTAACGGATTCGGCCATGTAGGTGCCTGGGGTTCTACCGGCTCCGCAATTAGTCGTGCAGTGACTCCAAACTCACCGGCATCCGCAAGCCGTTTGAGTAAACGTTGATCCAACAGTGCGCGACGTCGCTCGTCTACCAATTCCTGGGTTTGACTCAGTTCTTCAGCGACCATCCGTTCCTCTCTTCGAAGCCGCTCGGCTTGCGCCAGCGTCTCACGTTCTTCGTTGAGCACAGCTTTTAATTGTTCTTCCAGGCCCTTGGCTGCTTCCACTTCTTTGCTGATCAGAAGTGGCGTTGCCTTTTCAGTGCGTGTCAACTGGTTGCGCAGTAAGTCCACTTCGCGCTGCGCAGCCTCTACAGTCGGATGTCCCGCACGCAGTGTCTGTCGGGTCCGAGCGAGTTCTGCCTCCGCCTGTATCAGTCGGTCTTGGAGTGAGCGAGTGACGGGGTTGTCGTTCAGGGCGGAAGACATGCTCCCCGCGAGCAATTGGGTTTCAAGGGCAATACGATTCTGTCGCACGGTGCCCAGACGTTGAGTCTGATCGCGGATAATCTGTAACTGGGCGGCCACGGCATCTTCAGCGCTGCCACCATTGAAGTTGTTGCTACGCAGGGTATCGAGCTGCTGCTCAAGCGCCTGAATGTCAGCCAGCAGTGCGTCGTATTCAGCTTGTTTGGCGCTGAGTCGTTGTTCCTGGTTTTCGATTTCTTCCTGCTGCAGACGATTTCTGTAAGCGGTGACAGTTGCATCAAGCAGTTCTATACCGTAAACGGGGTCCAGCCCCAGATAACTTAAGGCAACCACTTGTGTGCCGCTGACCGCACTGGCCTGAATGGATTCCTGCGCGGCATCCAACTCGTCCTGCTCCGGATCCGGGTGTTCAAGTTGAGTCAGTTCGACTGCCCCTGCAAGTACCCGCCGGCTCTGCATCACTTCTGCCTGGGTCGCAATAAACGCTGAGCTGGTATTGACTGGCGCAACGCGGGTTTCGCTGGGGTCCTGTCGTTCCAGAACCACCTGGGCGGTTACCGTGTAAAGGGGAGCAGTCACTGAAAGGACAATAATGCTCAGCAAGACACCGGCAAGCAGACACATGGCGACAGTCCGCCAGTGCTCGCGTAACGCCATAAGCAACTCATCGATACCAAAAGAAATGCCGCCGTATTGGGCCCGGCCTGCCTGTTCTTCGGTATACAGTGACATCACCTGGCGGACGCCCGCCTGGGTTAACTCCAGGCGCACTTCCGGCAGGTTGCTGTCTTCACCCTCTGAATTGGGGTCGCTGGGTACGTTCATGTCGGCCATCTAATAGGTTTCCGTGCAACAGATTGTTAAAATTTTGTTAATTCAGTGAGTGGAATTACCGGCAGGGTGCCTAGTTTCTTAGTACTTATCTAGAATGCCTTTGTTTGCAAGGTGTGAGCACCTTGTATAACCGGGTTATTCCTTCGCCGTTTGCTTGCTAAGCTTGCCGCGGTTTGATTTCCACTGTTTTTTACGATTTTTAAGGTTTGCCACATTGAGCATGATTCATCCGATTCCAAAGTCCCTGGCGGCACCTGAGCGTGTGCTGGTGGCGAACGCGGAGTATGCCACGAGTAAGCGGGTTTTTGATCTACTGGTGTGTTTTGTAGCACTGCCGGTTCTGTTGCCGCTGGCTTGTTTAATCGCTGCAGCTGTTGCGGCATCCAGTAGGGGGCCGGTTTTCTTCCGGCAAGGGCGCACCGGTGCAGACGGGCGAAAATTTACCATGTTCAAATTCAGAACGATGGTGCAGAACGCTACCCAGCTGAGGTCTCAACTAGTCGCGGATGTGACCTCCAACGGGCCAGATTTCAAAATGCTGAATGACCCTCGCGTAACACGTGTGGGTAATTTTTTGCGCAAAACAAGTCTGGATGAATTGCCACAGCTCTGGAACGTTATTCGCGGTGACATGTCTTTGGTGGGTCCTCGTCCCACTTCATTTGGCAGTGAAACCTATGCGTTATGGCAGACCGAGCGGCTTGAAGTGAAGCCGGGCTTAACCGGTTTATGGCAGATAGAAAAACGTGGAGATCTCGACTTTGATGAGCGCGTTCGGCTCGACATCGCGTATCTGCGCAATCGCAGCCTGCGTCTGGATTTATGGATTTTATTACGTACTGTTCCGGCTGTGCTGGAACAACGTGGTGCTTACTGAGTAGTTATAAGTGAAGCAATTATTTGATAGATACGCGCTCTGGTCAGTGTGGACGATGCTGGCGGTGGTTTTTGTTGTTGCGGTTCCTCTGGGTGCCTGGGGGCTGCTTGGTGGTGTTGCTGCGGTTACTCCACTGGTGCTGCTGGTGAGGCCACGGCTGTATCGTCGTCACGCCTTACTCATCGGTCTGCTGGCCATCAGCTGTGTTGCACTTCTGAGCGGCGGTGTTGGCGGCATTCTGGCGATTCTTGCCTCGGTTGCAGTGTTGTGTGTCGGCATTGGGCTGGCTCCTGGTGTATCTGAGCGACGCAGTCTGGTAGACGGTGCACCGGTGAAGCATGTAGAAAACAAAGAGGCCTGTCTTGGCCTGCTTGCCGCTGAAGTAGGTCGTGCCAGACGCCATGAGCGACCGTTGCGTGTAGTTGCATTGGGTTACCAGGACAGCACCGAACGTACCACTAACGAACACCAGCTGTCTTTGCTCAAACAAGCAGTACAGCAGGAGGTGCACGTATACTGCCCCGTCTACCAGTTTGAAACCCATGTCGTTGTGGTCGTGCCAGAGCTAAAAGATGGTGACATGGAAGCCTTGGTTAATCGACTGCACGCAACGATTAATATGCAGGCGCTGCCGCCGGTTAACGCTGGCGTTGCAGCCTTTCCGGGTGACGCTGTCACCAGTGTTGGACTGTTAGACAAAGCGCTGGAGAACTGTTCTGGCTCTGCGCAGACCAAAGAAAACACACAAACTCTGACCGTGGTGGGTGGTACAGGTTTCAAAGCCGAGATGCCTTCGTCATGAGTAACTCCGCGGCGGCTGTGAGCGGCCGTGGGCATACCGTAGCGTACGTGATGTCACGGTTTCCTAAGTTGACCGAGACCTTTGTGCTGGATGAAATTGTGCAGCTCACGCGCAACGGTTGGGAAGTAAAAATATTTCCTCTTTGGCGTGAGCCTGCAAAACTGGTTCATGACGATGCGCTTGTCTGGGTGCAGGCGGCTCAATTTTTACCCATGCTGTCGCTAAAAATATTGACCGACAATGTTTACTGGATGCTCAATCGACCAGGGCGCTATTTTTCTGCGCTGTGGGACGTGGTGTCGCGTAACATTTCGAGCCCGCGTTTCTTGGCTGGTGCACTCGCTGCGTTTCCCAAAGCCAGTACTATGGCGCGTCGTATGCAGGCGCAGGGCGTACGTCACGTCCATGCCCATTTCGCCAGTCATCCTGCTGCAATTGTTTATGTTGTAAACAAGCTCACTGATATTCCCTGGAGTTTTACAGCGCACGGTTCCGATTTGCATCGCGAACAGGCGATGCTGGCGGAAAAAGTGTCCAGCGCGAAGTTTGCCGTTGCCATATCGCAATACAACAAGCGGGTTATTCTTGAACACTGCGCAACTGTCGATGCTGAAAAGGTAAAGGTGGTGCACTGTGGTGTGGATCTTTCCAACTTCAATCTGGTGCAGGCTGAAAAGACCGGTACCTGCCATGCCCATGGCTCATTGCGCATTGATGAGGCGGACGGTGTTATCAATATCGTCTGCATTGGCACCTTGCATGAAGTTAAAGGTCAGGCCTTTCTCATCAGAGCGTGTGCACAGCTCGAACAGACCAACTGGCAGTGCCATCTGATTGGCGATGGTGAAGATCGGGCGGCACTGGAATCTCTTGCGGCGACGTTAGGGGTAACAGATCGCATGGTTTTTCATGGTCAGTGCACTAGAGAAAAAGTCCGTGAACTGTTGAAACGAATGACCATAGCCTGCGCGCCAAGTGTGCCTACGCAAGATGGCCGGCGGGAAGGTATCCCGGTTGCGTTGATGGAGTCTGCGGCTGCTCAGCTGCCGCTGGTGGCCAGCGATTTGTCAGGCATCCCGGAACTGGTTGTGCACGAACAAACCGGATTGCTTACGGCTGTCGCCGATGTTGACTGTCTTGCCGCTGCGCTTTCCCGTCTCGCCCAGGATGTCGGCTTGCGCAATCGACTCAGTGAAGCGTGCCGCAAAAAAATCGAGCAGGAGTTTTCGCTCACCAGCAATGTCGCAATGTTACAAAAACTAATGCTCGAACCGGCGGCCTGATATGTTGTTGCCGATGTTTGTTTTACTGATGCTCATAGCCATACCCTTTACCGCCTATCCAATGCTGTTGTGGCTGCGTTCGCGCATTGCACCGCAGGTGATATTGCGCGAGCACATCACACCGTCGGTAGACCTTGTTATCTGTGCGCATAATGAAGCGGATGCTATTGAAGCGAAAATACAGAACGCTCTGGCCCTGAACTATCCTCAGGATGCGTTAACCATCTGGGTGGCCTCTGATGGATCAACTGACGCTACCGTGGCGCGGGCCAGCGCATTCATTTCTTCCCGGGTACACGTGTTGGATTTACCGCGTGGTGGTAAAGCCGCAGCGCTGAATCATATAGTCGGTCTGGGTGAGGCCGAAGTTGTTGCTTTTTCAGACGCCAACAGCATGTGGCAGGATGATGCGTTACTGGCGCTGGTATCCCCGCTGGCTGATCCGGATGTCGGCGGAACCGCGGGAGATCAACGCTATGAAAAGGCATTCGCGCAGAACAGCGGTGAGCGCGGCTACTGGAGTTTCGATCGTGTGTTGAAATCCTGGCAGAGCCGGGCAGGCAATGTCATATCCGCTACGGGTGCAATCTATTGCGTGCGGCGTGCGCTGTTTGAACCGGCACCTGCGGATGCAACGGATGACTTCATGGTTTCCACCGCAGTAATAGCTGCGGGCAAGCGCCTGGTGTTTGCAGAGGATGCGGTTGCGGTTGAGCCCGCAGCCGCAGCTTCGGGTATCGAGTTTCAACGTAAGGTGCGTGTCATTTCGCGTGGTTTGCGCAGCGTTTGGTATCGCCGGGCGTTGATGAATCCCGCTACCCATGGTCTGTATGCCTTGGAGCTGCTTGTGCATAAGCTCTGGCGCAGACTGGTTTGGATACCTCTACTGATACTTATACTGATGTCGCCTTTTGTGTTGAGTAGCGCAGCGTTGAGTAGCGGCACACTCAGTATCGACACTGTAGCTGCGCTTATCAGCCTTGGCCTGTTAGGTTTTACCTTCACTGCAGTCCTGGCTTTGTTTTGGTCGCCGGTTCGTCGCTTCAGGGCTTTTTCAATTGCAGGTTTTGTCATGATGGTTAATGTTGCCTGCGCGGTTGCGGCGTATAAATTTGTGACGGGTCAGCGCATGACTCAATGGAATCTGCCGCGCGGCTCAGAACCTGCGCCAAGTTCGGAAACCGAATCATGACCTTTGTAACCACCTTTTTATTGGGTTTGATCTATCTGAATGTACCGGCGGTTGCTGTACGTGAATTCGGCGTACCGTTCGCAGTGGGTGCCCTGATTCCGATGCTCCTGATTGTGCCTGTATTACATCGCGTCTTGATTAAAGGTGAGCCGCTCAGGTTCCCGTTGTTTCTGGTGCTGGCGATGGTGCTTCTGGTGTTGCACGCGTTGAGCGCTCTGGGTGGTATTCGCCCCCATGAGTCGCTTGCGATAGTAATTGACTGGGCGTTAGAAGGTGTTCTGCTGGCCGCATTGATTGTCAATGTGCTGCGCAGTAAAAATGATGTGATTGCGGCGGTGAAAGCATTAGTGCTGGCTGGGTTTGTCATGGGTGCGGTTGTGATCACCCAACAATTGACGGGTGCAACTGACAATAACTTCATGGGGTTCGGTCAGCTTGATTCGGCCATGGTCAGTGATTCAGGTCAACTGCAAACGCGTCTGGCGGGTCCGATTGGCGAGACTAACCGGTTTGCGCAGATCATGGCGGTGTTGATTCCGTTAGCCGCAGCGCTCGCGTTTATCAGCACCGGTGCAATGCGCTGGTTCTACTGGCTGGCAACCCTGGTAATCAGTGGGGGTATGGCTCTGGCGTTTTCCCGGGGTGCAATTGTGGCTCTGGCATTGGCGGCTCCGTTTGCTCTGGCTTTCAGGTTTATTCAGCTTCGGCACTTGCTGCTTGGTGCCTTCGGTGCACTTGTATTGCTCGCTCTGCTGCCCCATTACGCTGAACGAGTGGTCAGCATCGGGCAGGTTGCCGTGCAATCGCTGGGTTTGTCTCCTGGCGGGTTGCGTAACGCAGATGGTGCGGCGCGCGGCAGGATGACCGAGATGATGGCAGCGGGGCTGGTGTTTGTTGATCATCCTATCCTGGGTGCTGGCCCCGGCATGGCACAGGTCCACTATCCAAAATATGCCGCCAAGGTTGGCGGTAAAGTGCGGCCGGGCACACGGCGTTCGCACAATCTTTTTCTGCAGCTTGCCGCCGAAACGGGGGTTTTAGGTCTGGCCGCATTTTTTGCTGTTCTGGGCGTCGTTTTTGTTGGGCTTGAACGCGCCCGGCATCGACATTTTAATCGCGATAGAGACATGTGGGCAGTCATCTGCGGGCTGGAACTGGCGCTGATTATATCGCTGACCACCAGTTTGTTTCTGCATGCTGCTTACGTCCGTTATTTCTGGCTTCTGATGGGTTTGTGTGTGGCAGCATCGGCGGTGTCCAGTATTCCCGTGCTTGTTAGATTGCTCAGCCGTATGCTGGGTGAAACCATGGTAAGGCTCAGACCGCAGACATGACCGAAAACGCTGGTACGGGCCAGCAGGATACCCAGCGTCAGCTCCGTGGCTCCGGGCTGTTGCTGCTTGGGCGGCTTGGCTCAAAAGTTATTAATTTTGGGGTCCAGGTTGCCATTGTCCGCATCCTTACTAAGGATGATTTTGGCGCTTTTGCCTACGGGCTTGCGATTGTGGCTGCGGGTGAGCTGCTGGTTAAAATCGGCCTCGGTCAGGGCGCAAACCGGTTTATTCCTTATCATTTTGAGAGGCGCGAATATCCGGAGATGCTGGGTATTCTGGCCGCGGTCACGGCCATGATTGTGGGGTTGGGTTTGGTCGGCTGGTTGGCTTTGTTATGGCTTTCGCACGGTCAGGTCAGTGGCTTCCCATCCGCAAGCGGTGCGTTGGTGGTGCTGATCATTGCGTTTCTGGCGCCGTTGCAGGCGTTTGATTCCATCATGGTCCAGACGCTGGCCTGTTTTTCCAAAGCCAGACAGATTGTGATCCGCAAACACGTCATCGGACCGGGGTTGCGCGTTGCGGCAGTTGCGTGTGCTTTTTTTGCCGGTGGTAGTCCGGCCGTGCTCGCGGCAGCGTACCTTTTTGGTGGTGTTGTGGGCGTGGTGCTGTGTACCACGCTGGTGTTCAGACAGTTGTATGTGCATAACATTTTGCCCCTGACGCCGTCTCTGTGGCGCGTACCCTGGGCGCCGTTGTTGCGGTATTCGATTCCGCTGATCAGTAACGATGTGGTGTTCATTACCCTGACCGGCGTGACCACTGTGCTGTTGATGTCGACCGGTGGCGAAGCTGCTGTGGCGGCTATCCGTTCCGTCGCTCCTGCTGCGGCGTTAAACATGCTGGTGGCGCAGAGTTTTGTCATTCTGTTTCTACCCAGTGCTACCCGGTTGTTCGCGCGCGAAGACAAGGCAGGTCTTAGCCACCACCACTGGGAATCTGTTGCCTGGGTGGCGGTGTTGAGTTTCCCTCTGTTTGTCATGACGTTTGCGATTGCACCGGCACTGGTGCCTTTGTTGTTTGGTAGTGCATATGCTGATTCTGCAGTGATACTTGCAATCCTGGCGCTGGGGAGTTTTGCGTCGGTTCTAATGGCGTTTAACGGTGAGATCCTGCAGGTGGTTCACAAAACCAAGCCGTTGGTCTGGTCTAATCTTCTGGTCATCATCACATCTGTGCTGTTAGCGCTGTGGCTATGTCCGCCGCTAGGTGCGCTGGGTGCCGCGATTGCGGTGACCGTTGCGCGGATACTGGGCGTTGCTGCCAGACAGTTGTTTCTGGTGCGATCAGACGTCATTGGGCCGGTACCACGCACATTGAAAATGATCTGGTTGCGCCTGACGATTCTGTCGATGATTACCGGTCTGATCGGTTGGGTGTGGCAACCAAACGTATATGTTCAATTACTCACTGTTGGTATTGCCTGCTTATGGCTGTTGCGCGCCTGTGCTCGGACGCTGAACATTGCCAATACATTTCCTGAAGTGTTGCGCATCCCCTGGCTTGCGAAACTGGTCAGCGCATGACCCGTGTCTGGTGTTTCATAACCCTGGTGTTGTTGCTTCCAGCGGCTAACAGTTATGCAGAGCTGCCACAGTCAGGCATCTGGATCTCCGCAGCGGAAGTGATGCAACTTGATACTCAGGGCGAAGCCTGGCAGTCCGTGGTTGACTGGGCCAACAGACCGCTGCGCAGGCCGTCGCTGGCAGATCAGAACAATCCAGGTAACGTTCAAACCATGGCCTCGGCGTTGTATGCGGTACGCACCGGGGATGCAGAAATGCGGCGCCGTGTTGAGCAGACGCTGACAGATATTCAAGGTACTGAAAAGAACGCCACTGCGCTGGCCCTGTCCCGCGAGCTTGCGGCTTACGTCATAGCGGCCGACCTTATTCAGCTCCGAGGTGAGTCCCGGCGCCGCTTTGATCAGTGGTTAGAACATATGCGCCATGCGCAGTTCAAAGGCCGTTCAATAAGCAGCACCCATGAAGACCGGCCGAATAACTGGGGCACCCATGCAGGAGCGACACGCATCGCGCTGGCAATCTATCTGCAGGATAAAGAAGAGCTGCAGCAGGCGGCTCATGTGTTTAAAGGCTGGCTTGGTGAGCCTGATGGCTGGCGCGGGTTTGAATTTGGTGAGACCTGGTGGCAACCCTGGGGTTTTCGTAATTATGGCATCAATCCTGCGGGTGCAAGGTTGTGGGGACACTCTATCGATGGTGTGTTGCCGGACGATCAACGTCGCGGCGGGCGGTTTCACTGGCCTCCACCGAAAGAAAACTATGTTTACGAGGCACTTCAGGGTGCTGTTGCGCAAGCCGTCATGCTGGAACGCCAAGGTTTTGAGCCATGGGCTTGGGGTGATCAGGCTTTGTACCGCGCGTTTAAATGGTTACACGAACAGGCTGAGTTCCCAGCGGTGGGAGATGACATCTGGATGCCTCATGTGATTAACCAGGTTTATGGCAGCCAGTTTCCCGCACCTGTACCCAGCACGCCGGGTAAAGCAGTAGGCTTTACCGATTGGACCTATAGGCGATACGCTGCCCGCTGAAGAAACTGAGAGTGGCATAAAGATGGGCGTGACTGATACACAGGCAGAACTGGTTGCACTTCCTGCGCAGACGCAAGCTGTACCCTGGCCGGTTGGCAGGTGGCCGCAAGGTGCACTTGAATCGGTGAATCAGCCTGATACGCAGAAATACCTCGACCAGGCATTTGCTTTACGTCCAGGCGAAGGGGTCACCTACGGCCTGGTTCTGATCCAACGCGGCAAGCTGGTATATGAACGGTATGGACATGGCGCTAACGATGGCTACCTGCAGTACTCCTGGTCGATGGCAAAAAGTTTTGTGCATGCCCTGGTTGGGTTGTTGGTCCTGGACGGGAAGATTGACATCTTGCAACCTATCCCTGTACCTGAATGGCAGAATCAGGACGACCCCCGGCGGCTTATAACGTGGCACGATATGTTGCGCATGCGCGATGGGTTGGATTTTGTCGAAGACTACGTCGATGACGGCGTATCTGATGTGATTAACATGCTGTTTGCTCAGGGTCGCAGCGATGTAGGGGCTTATGCGGCGGGCCGCGCCGCAAAATATTTGCCTGGAGAGCGATTCAACTATTCCAGCGGTACAACAAATATCATCTGTCGAGAGCTGGCCAGGATTGTAGGCGATGGGCCAACCGGGATGCTGCGGTTTATGGAGCAACGGCTTTTTACTCCGCTGGGCATGCGCTCACCAACGCCGAAGTTTGACGCTGCGGGTACGTTTATAGGGAGCTCCTATCTCCTGGCGACACCACAGGATTTTGCTAAGTTCGGTCTGCTGTATCTGCGCGGCGGCGTCTGGGATGGGCAGCAGATTCTCCCGTCGGAGTGGATCGACTACGCCCGCACTTCTACGTACACAGACCCTGAGCAGGGTTACGGCGCGCATTGGTGGTTGTATCCGGAACGCCCGGGTTGGTTTTATGCCTCTGGCTACGATGGCCAGCGTATTCTTCTGGTGCCGGAAAAGGATCTTTTGGTAGTGCGGTGTGGACGCACCGATGCGGAACATGCGCCTGCAATCTGGGCAAATATAGACCGACTTGTGGATTCATTAGCTTAGCGCTAATTGTCAGTTAACCCGGTACCTTTGTTGGTATAGACTTCGCACCTCATTGGTGCTGCAGTTCTGTTTTAGTGCCAATCTGGTGCAAAAACCATCTGGGTGCGTGCAGAACAACAGGGTAAAGGAGATGTTACCTGGTTGTTGCAGGAGAGCACAGCGTCTTTCTTCCCTCGTAACGAGGGCGTAAAGAACTGGTTGCAGGGTAGTTGCTGCGCTACAACCGATTGGCATAGTGCTTGCACTCTTCGTGCTTGCAAAGTGACATTGGTCATACGCTGGTCTTCACAGAAGGCTGGTAACTCAAAAAATAAAAACTTGGGGGAAGAGATAGTGTTTGTAATCCGCAAACGTACGTTGCGTGATGCTGCGTTGGCCGTTCTATCGGTCGCCATGATCATGTCTGTCAGCCTTCGCGCTGGCGCTGAAGAAGCCGAAGAAGAATTTATGGAGGAGCTGGTTGTTACCGGTGACCTTCGCAGTCTTCCTGGTGAGAGTGTTGAATCTGTATTCGGCTTTGATAAATCTTTGCTTGAGCTGCCTCGCTCAGCGTCCACGGTGTCCTGGGAGCAGATCGAGCGCTTCAACATCAAAGAAATTGATGAACTGGTCGCGCTTGCACCGGGCACCTTTACCCAGTCATTCTTTGGTGTAGCGGGTGGTCTGGACATTCGCGGTACGCCTGGCGAAACTTATTTCCGCGGCATCCGCCGTCTGGATAACCCAGGTAACTATCCGACACCGATTGGCGCCGCAGACCGCATTGATATCGTGCGTGGCCCAGCCTCGCCGATTTTTGGCCCATCCAAAATTGGCGGTTTCATGAATTTTACGCCCAAGTCCGGGCGTGCAGCTTCAGGTCAGTATCTGACAGACAACGAAGGTGCGATATCCATGACAACTGGTAGCTGGAACAAAACAGTGCTCACCGCGGAAGTGGGTGGCCCTGGCTCCATAGCGGGCAAAGACTTCGGCTACTACGTCTACGGTGAAGTAGAAGATTCCGACAGTTACTACGACAACACAGCAACCGATCAGACCTTGTTGCAGGCATCATTCGATATGGATGTGAATGACAGGCTGCGCATCCAGGTTGGCGGTATGTACCACGATTACCAGGGTAACCAGGTAGCGGGCTGGAACCGTGTGACCCAGGATCTTATCGACAATGGCACCTACATCACCGGTACTCCGATACCTCTGGATACCAACGGTGACGGCTCCATTTCTCATCAGGAGTTTGATGCGAACAACGATGGTTTCACAGACATCAATCCTTTCCGGTTTGATTTCCTGTCCAGCCCGGAAGACCTTGGTTTGCCACCAGGCACTGATTTTGGTGGTGGCTTGATTCCAGGCAGTCCTGAAACCCTGGCTGATCTGGAAGCATTGGTAGGCGATCTGTCTTTGCTTGCGCTGCAGAACGTGGGCACTGCCAAGCTCGACGGCAGCGACGTTCTGGTTGCGCCAGACGATACTCTGGAAAGTGAAATTTACGTTTTTTACTTCGACATGATGTGGGCGTTTGATAACGGTATGGAATTGAAGAACCAGTTCTATTACGAAAGTTATGAGAATTTGAGTGAAAATGCCTACGGCTTTTCCCAGTTCCAGGAAGCCTGGGTCATCGAAGACAAGCTGGTTCTGTCCGGTAAAATTGAAACAGATGGCATAACCACTAACTGGCAGCTGTCACCTTCGATTCGTCACACCGATTTTGAACGTGGTGATGACTATACCAACGAATATTTTGACCGCCGCGATCTTACTGGACCGTCAACCGCGTTAGATCGTCGGTTGCTGTCGACACGCATTGATGATGATTACACCGAGTACTATATTGGCGATTATACCAATCTGGCTTTTGCAGCCATGGTTGACGTCACTTTCGATATGGGTCTCAACATCATCGCAGGTGCGCGTTATGATGTGCTTGATCTTGAGTCCAAGCAGCCATTTGAAAAGCTCCTGTTCGCCAGCTCAAACAACTTCTGTTTCCCAGCAACAGCTGCTGACTATGACGCAGATTGCGGCAACGCGCTGCAGGCAGACGATGAGGTGGAAGGTGTATCCTGGACCTTCAGTGTCAGCTATGACACACCGATCGGTCTTCGTCCGTACATCACGTTCTCTGAGCAATCTACGTTGATTGCGGGACAAGGCGCAGACCTGGGTACAAACAGTATTCGTGACGGTGGCGCGTTTGATACCTCTGAGCTGATGGAGTTTGGTCTTAAAGGCAGCCTGCTCGATGATAAGCTGTACTTCGCCCTGGCTTATTACGAGCAGGAGCGTACAGACTTTTCCGCCCAGTCTATTGTGACTAACCAGAGTACTGAAACGGAAGGTATTGAATTTGAATTGCGCTGGTCCGTCACCGACAAACTGTTAATGACAGCAGGCTGGTCAAACACAGAAGTTGTGAACATTAATACCCTCGATACGGGTTATCGTTTCAGCTTCATCGGTGCTGACGATCTGCCTAACGTACCAGCAGAAGCACTCTACGGCGGTACCTTGGGCGGCAACATTTACCGCCCCGGACGCAGTGGTGCGGTGCGTGCCGGTATGCCTGAGAATGTTTATTCCGTCACTGGTACCTACGATTTCACCGAACGCTTTGCCGGCCATTTCAGCGTAATCTATGCTGAAGAAACCAATTCAGGTTTCTCTGGCCAGGTAGAACTGCCTGACTACACATTGGTTAATATGGGTATGTTGTTCCACGGCGACCAGTGGATGCTGGGTGTGAATATCAAGAACGTTACCGACGAAGAGTATTTCCGCTCTAATTTCCCCAACCTGTTTGGCGGAACCATTGTTTTGCCGGAACTGCCACGTCACTATTCCGCGACGTTACAGTACAGCTTCTAAACGCGTAGTCAGCGTCTGAGGAAGCCCTCTGGAAAGCCTGATGCTCTGTTAAAGACATCAGGCTTTTTCTTTTGTGCCATGGCAGGGTTAAACTCGGGGTTTGCCTGACTACGGATAATGTCTTGGGTAGCGAAGTTAAACAGAGGTTTTTTGAAGCTGAAGATTTCAGCAATTTTCGAACTCGACTGGATGAAGAGACTGCGCTGCTGAAAGCGGTATTTGATCAGCAGGCTTTTTCGAGACGAGGTGATGTTGCTGGTTTTGAGCTTGAAGCCTGGTTGATTGATAAGCAGGGTAAACCGCTGGCGGAAAATGAGCAGTTTCTTGAGAAGCTCGCAAGTCCGCTGGTCGTACCCGAACTGGCCAAATTTAATATAGAACTCAACGGCAGCCCCTGCGCGCTGACCGGCAAGGTGTTTTCGCGATTGCATGATGAGCTGTGTGCCACCTGGCAACATTGTCTGGAAACAGCCGAACAGATGGGCTGCAATCTACTGACCATTGGCACCTGTCCCACCGCTCAACCCGAACTGTTTGTTGATGACAATATGTCGGGCATGTTGCGCTATAAATCTCTGAACGATCGAGTCATGGCCCTGCGAGATGGCCAGCAGCTGCTGATTGATATCGATGGTGATGATGCGCTGGCACTGCGTCATCACGATGTGATGCTGGAGGCTGCGGCGACCTCTTTCCAGATTCACCTGCAGTGTCGTCCGGAATATGCGGTTCGCGACTTTAACGCCAGCCTGATTGCTTCTGCACCGCTGGTCGCGGCAGGCGCAAACTCCCCGTTTTTATTTGGTAAAACCCTCTGGGATGAATCACGCATACCGCTGTTCGAACAAAGTGTGGATGTTGGACCGCGCAACAAACCGAGGGTGACCTTTGGCTCGGATTACGTACATGAATCATTGTTTGAAATATTTGAAGAGAATCGCACAGAACATCTGATTCTACTGCCTATGGTGCAGGATGACCCACCCAGCAAATTCAGTCATCTGCGTTTTCAGAACGGTACTATGTGGCGCTGGGTGCGGCCGCTGTTGGGGTTCGATTTTGATGGGCAGGTGCATCTGCGTATTGAGCAGCGTGTACCGAGTGCCGGCCCAACTCTGAAAGACTGCGTTGCCAACGCCGCTTTCTATTACGGTATGGTGCGTGGATTCAGTTTGCAGGAAACACCGCCTGAACAAAGCCTTAATTTTCATGACGCTCGCGAGAATTTCTATACCGCCGCGCGTTATGGTTTGAATGCCCAGGTCGTCCAGCATTCGGAACGGCCACGCCGCGAAATAAATATGTCAGCCTGGATTCTTGAAGACCTGATGCCGCTGGCGCGTTTGGGGCTGGCGGATCTTGATATCCCCGGAGATGAAATAGATGAGTATCTGGGCATAGTTGCGGCGCGGGTGGAAAATGGTCAGAACGGTGCTGCCTGGCAGCGACGCTGGAAAACTTTGAATCAGGGCTCGTTGCAGGATATGGTGCGGGTCTACCAGGAACTGCAGGACACTAACCAGCCCGTGCATACCTGGCCAGTTTAGCGGTCGGTCGGATTCAGTAAATATGTTGCAGTTCTTTGAACGTCCACCGGCGACGCTGTTTACAACGCCAGCGCACGAGTTAGAAAAGCTGTTAGGTGGTCCTGCGCTGATACATATAGCAGGACGACAAACGCCGCCGCTGTTTCTGTCGGTGTTATTGCATGGAAATGAAACCAGCGGGTGGCAGGCGTTATGTGAAGTTATGGCGAAGCTTGCATCCGCTGATGCGGAACCTGAGCGAAGCCTGATTCTTTTTGTGGGTAACGTGGCCGCGGCGGCACAAGGTGTGCGCAGCCTGCAGGGCCAGATGGATTTTAATCGCATCTGGCGCGGAGAACATGGTATGACCGTGCTGGCGTCGCAGGTGCTCGACAGGCTGGCGCAAATCGAATTGTTCGCCGCGCTGGATATTCACAACAATACCGGCCGTAATCCTCATTATACGGTGCTGACGCAGATAAATAGCGCCACCGTTGGTCTGGCGCTCCTGTTTTCCGAGAAGGCTGTACTGGTAGAAGAGCCGGATACTGTACTGACCCGTGCGGTTCAACAGTTCTGCCCCTCAACGACGGTAGAAGT